ATGAAGATGATGAAAGGATGAGGATGAGGATGAGGATGACAGAAAAAGATGTGTCAAAAAGGGGTCACAATGAGCTCTCATCTTCATCTCGAGATGAAGATGATCAAATTGATATTTACAATGCGTGTTAACTTGAGTTGTTTTGTTTTTGTTTGAAGTGTTGATAAGTTTTTTTTTATTTCATTTCTATTGGTAAATCATGATAATGATAATGATGATGATGATGATTGTAATTAGATTTTGGTGTGAGTGAGTTTGTTTTTCTTGTGTTCATCATCAGAATCATATTTATCCTCATTGGTATGTTGGTTTGAAAGCTTTACTTTAATTGTTGTTCCTTTCAAATTGTAAATTAATTGTAATTGTTATTTGTAAATGTGCTTTATTTTGTCACGATGTCTTTTTATCTGTGTTAATCATTGATGAGGATGAAAGATTTTAATTGTCAGAGTCAATTGGTGATTTAATAAGATACGTGTTAGCTTGAGAATTGAACAAAAAATTAAATCATTAATCATTTGAATGAGTATCTTTTTTTTTGATTACAATTAAAAAGCATAAGATGATTTTGATGGTTTACTTTTTATAATTGTTGCACCAGCGATCAATTTACTTTAATACATTTGAAATTAAAGGGTAATTAAACAAAACAATCAGCTGAGAAAGAGTGAAACAATTAATTATCAGTATTACATTTTAAGTAAACTAGAAACAAAATTAAGTTAATGTTTAATACTATGAAGGAGGAAGTGCAAGGATAACCGGAAAAGGAAAGGAAACTGATGCTGGAAAAATTTGAGTAAAATGTTATTGAATCAGTAAGATGTTGCATATGCAGGGGTATTGGTTGATGATGATGATGATGATGGTAGTGGGTATGAATGGATGAGGATGAAGATGAGGTTCAAACAGATGTTGCATGATGTTTGGAAGATGCTAAAAGGTTTGATTTTTTTGCTCTCTTTCTTCATCTTCTGAATCGCTAGTGAACTTTTGTTGTGAGACAATCAAAACATCATCATTGGTGAGATGATGATGGAAATGATGATAAGAGGTAAGAAGATGTTGGATGTTGGATGTTGGATGCTATTCAAAGTCTTGAAAGGTTGGAAACTTTTACTTTCTCGATGGACCAGTCAACATGTTGCCATCACTTTGGAACTGAAATCAGAAATATCTGCGGAAGATGCAAACTGATGATGATGATTAAGGTGATGATCAAGATGAAGAAGATTCTCAAGTAAAAGTGAGAAAACATGCAAGATACAAATTGAAAGATTAGCTCTTTAAATGGTACTTGTTGTTAGAGGATCTTTCAGTTATCGTCATCATCATCATTGCTTGAGAGAGACTTGAGGATGCAGGAAGATAAAGATGAAGATGAAGATGTAATTGTAGGATATAAAGTCTCTGAAGATGAAAGTGTCTGTGAATATTATCAAGTTTTTTTCGTTTATTTGATTGATTACCTTGATCTTATTCAACTTATCAGTTCAGGTTAACAGATTTTCTTAACGATAACTGTTCATCTAATCTGGTTCCAAGATTGTCACACTTTTCATGACAATTATCAGAGTACAAAAATGGTACCGTTAATATTGTTTATCGTTTGTGACATCATTTGGCGATATGAATGTGTGTATCTAGTTGATTAGTGATCTGATTATGATTCTGTTTGGAAAGTCAATTAAAGTGATTGATCATCTTGTTGGAATCTCTGAATTATTTCAAGGTGAATTTTCATTGAGCTAAATTTTAGATTTTTGTGAAAGAAAAAGAAAATTTCACTTGTTTTTCATTTGTCTTTTTCATCTTCATCTTCATCCTCATGATGATCATGTTTTTGTCAACAATTTACTTCTTACATGACAGCACAAGAGGTTATAAACTGAATTTCATGGTATCATTTCAAAGATTTCATGTTATTCATTGAAGAAAAGATGATGAAGAGTAATGAAGTAAGTTGGAGAGGAAAAGAAATAAAAAAGTTCTAACTCGAAATTTTATCAACCAAATAATAAAAAATCAAGGTAAAAGAAAAGATTCACAATCATCATCATTATCATCATTTCTTAATGGTGCTGATAAGATCAAGTCACTGGAAATAAAATCCATGGAGAGAAAAAAGAAAACAATATCTACATGAAATTTTCAATAATAGTAGAAACTAATTTCAATAATAATGATAACTATCATCGTAATGATAGTAATAAGCTGATAGTGTGACTTTTAACACAATCAACATCTTCCTATGGACAATTTACCTGAATTTTTGAGTAACTCTCTCTCTCTCTCTCTCTCTCTTACCTGTGTTATTATTATCATTTATGGTTATTACTATTTCACTGGTTTCTATGGAGATTCAATGTTTTCAGTGACAAAAAGTAATTTAAATGATAAACTTGATCACAATTCTCTCCATTGTTGTTATTTACCTGAATTTTATATTCTTTTTTATTGTTAATTGTTATTTTATCAAATTGTATCAGGTTAAATTAGATTAATTGTTTTCTTTTCTCTATCTTATTCTCATTTGAATTTTGAATGAATTTCTTTTCCAAGTGAAATTTTGTCCATGTTGTTATTATATATTTTCTATGACAATTTAAGGTTAGCTTTCATATTTTGTTTCTCTCATCAAGGTTATCATTAATATCATGAATTCTGGTTGATTTTTTATTCTACGGTTAATCATTACTATTATTGTTATAGAAATGATTTTGTTTTGTTTTTACCCGGAGGGTAAATTATGTTCACTCTGAATCAGCTCATTTCAACCATAATGATTTAAGGTAAAAATATGAAACTTGATTGGCTTAATAAGGTTAATACTTATTATTTTTTTTCTTAGCTCTCAAATTGATCAAGAGTTTAATCATGATTAAGATAATGATAATGGTTTGATCATCATCTTAATCATCTTCCCTTTGCGATTGGTTAACAATCAGATGAAAAACAATTGTCTTTGATTAACAGTCTAAATCCAGTTGGGAAAAAATTCTGATTACTTTTCTGATTTTATAATCATTATCGTCACTTGTATTTCCTAAGTTAATTACAACAATTAACTTTTACGAGTGATTGTTAACAAGTTTCATTTGATTTGCTTGCTGATTCTTTGGGATTTTTGATCGGATTAAAAAGTGTTCATCAATAATTAATGTTAATTGTGTTTCTTTACTTGATAATTAAGGTCAATGTTAATGGTTGAATTTGTGATTAGTAAATTTTTTGACACAATTTCACTTGAAAACCGCCCAATTAACATTGATTGTTGGATTTTGTGAATTGGATTAACAGCAAATCAAATTTAATTTGATGACTAAATGGGTGGAGAACCTGAATAATCAAGTAATCATAATTATAATTACGATAATCAAGGAAACAATTGATATAAATTGTGGTTCTTTGGCAAGAAAAATATATAATTTGTCACAATTAGTTAATCTATTAGTTTGTATCATGATTATTTCTGTAACAATTAACATAACTCAAGCTTATCTAATGATACAATTAAGTAAATATGATAATCGTTGATTAGAAATTGATTTTATTGAATGATTTAGTATTCCAACAATCAGATTATTATAAATAACAATAACTAATAGTTAATGAAAATAAATTGTTGATTTAAATAAAATGATACAAATAAAAAGTTAATAGTTATAGTTTTTTTTTTCCTGGACATTGAAAGTTAATCAAACAATTGTTTCTGCTGATTGTTCATGATTAAGTTAATCGTTATTATTGTTTATCAACATCAATCATCAGAATTTAATAATAATCATGATTATTGATCAATTTTGCTCTTTTATTCAATTCTCTGAACACAGAAGATGTTAAATCAATATGTTAATCTATTAATATGATATCATAATGATGATTGTTGATTGTTGATTGTTGTCCATGAATAAATTAAACTGTTCAGCTTGTTAACTGAAATCATAAGTCAGTTGGAGTTAATTGTTTCTCTTTTTATATATTTCGATATCGTTGATGATCATCACGAGATTTAAGATTCTTGTCTCAAGATGATATTCACATGATGATGAATATAAACAATCAGTTTTCAGGGAAAAGTTCCGATAGAATCATAAGGAAGAATAAGATGATTAAATTATCGAATTAAGAATAGAACTTTTTTTTTTCCTATTCTCTGTGTTTTCCTTAAAGATCATTAAATAAATGAAGAAAAAATAACAACCACAAGATGAAGATATTCTGGAATCATGAAGATTATCATGTTGAAGATATTGCATGATTTTCTTTCATTATGAAGCTGAGTAGCTTTTTTATTGGTTCTGTCATGCTATTCTAATTATCATCGAATTCAGTTCATCATTTCATTCACAATTAATGATCATTTGATGGACTTTAATCCATCCGAGGATCAACCATCTCGAGGAGTTACTTTAATCACCTCGTTCTTATTCAATAACAATAACAATTCACTGTTAATATGAGACAATTAACCTTTAAATTGGTTACATGGGATAATAATATTAATAGATTAACAATTTTGATTTGATTTCTGTTAGTAAATTCAAGGGATTGGATTAACTTCAATCCATTTGGATTAACCTTTATTTTCCTATTAATATTTCAATTGTAATCTAAATATTAGATTTAAAATTAAATATCTATATTTATATCTATTAAATAGTCTATACAATTTAATTAACCAATTTACTTAATTACTTTTCTTTTCTTTTTTTTCTCTTTTTCTTTTTCCTCTGGTCAACTCCTATTCTTTGGACATTGGAAAATAAATAAACAATCATCACCATTATTATTAATATATAACAATGATAATATCAACAATTGTCACCACCACAACGACTACAAATCATCACCCACTCTCGACAATTAAAATTACAATAACAACAAAACCTATTCAATCAACTTAATCACTTTACTTCATGTTACCTTTTGCTGTATTTTCACTTGATTGTTGACTCTCAATGGGTATTTAACTTTAAATTGTTGATACAATCGAGCAGCATGTAAACGTAAAGATGAACCGACCAGTAACATGACCTCAACCAACACCAACAATAACAATAATAACACCAATAATAATAATAACAATAATAATAATAATAACACCAGTACCAATAGTAACTCGGTGACAAGTAATAAACAAGCATCGGCACCTAAGAAGCCACGACTTGTGTTCACTGATCTTCAACGACGAACCCTTCAGGCCATTTTTAAGGAAACAAAGCGACCTTCAAAGGAGATGCAAATAACAATTTCACAACAATTAGGTCTTGATTTATCGACGGTGGGCAATTTTTTCATGAATGCCCGTCGTAGGTCACAAGATAAATGGATGGACGATGCATCGGACATTTCAAAGGCCTCGTCACCAATCAATTCAGCCTCCAACTCTCCTGCCTCATCAGCCTCCCATCATATCGGTGGACCAAGTGGTACAAGCTCATCGTCCAGAGGTGGTGGTGGAGGTGGCGGTGGGTCAAATGGAGCAAATTCAACTGGAAACTCTGTTGTAATTAAAGGTCAACTGATCGGTCAACCAACATCAGTTGTTACTTTAGGAGTTGTCACATCAACAACATCTTCATGCACATAATAAACCAGCAAATCTTTAACTCAACTTAAATTTACCTGCGCAATTAACTTAATCATCTCATCATCTTCATTTTTACAATCATCTTACTACAATTTTCTCAGCTGATTAACAACAACAACAAACAAACAAAACTGTTAATCAAAATTAACTTTGTTTCTTTTTTTTAACCCAAAAAAAAGTTCATATTCATTTCTTTCAAAGTGCAACTGATTCTGGTCTCGTTTTTATTTTACTTTAATTGTTAATTGTTCAATTTAATTTCATTTTCTACACACTAATTTCTGGAATAGTATCTTACAAATGAAGACGATTAAGATTAACGGTAAACAAAAGGGTTAATATGATTGTATGAATTAAATCATCTCTACGAGTGTTAATCTATTAGATGAATTGTAAAAGGAGATCGAAGCTGTTTAACTTTATACAAACTCGATGACAACAATTAACTATTAAAGTGACAATTTGATTTAATTTCTTCTCCATTCTGAGCTGATCTATTGGAAAATTAAATGACCATCACCATCACCATGTATTTGATACAATTTGCAATGTAATATAAATGTAATACTAAATTTGATCCAATGATCATTTGTGCAACTTAACAATTAACCCGATTCTTAACCAGATAAACACAATTGGATAATCCAATGAAAAGGATCAGAGAAATGATTTCTATGTGTTATAGAAAATAATATAAGTTATAAATAGATACAAATTATATTCAAATTTATAAAATTCTAATTGAATTTAATTGTGTTAATTACTCTCTTAATCATCTTCTCTACATCTCCATGTATTTACCATTGAGCTGCTCAAATCTTTATCCTCATCTTTATGGATCATTGATTAACAACAATCTTCATCATCATCGACAATTTATTAACCAGAAATAAGCAATTTAATGATCTCTCTTCAATCCTAATAATCTCTTCATCTATTTAATTTAACAATTAACAACTAAAATTGGACAAAATTGTTTTCTCTCCTTTTTTTTCACCTTCGTCACAATTTAACAACAATTAACACAAACCATTATATTCACCATAGACTTATATACATTATATATATACACGATTCACCAAAGCAACCTGAAGACGACACGATTAGATTTAAACAGGAAATCACCGGAAATATAAGATGATAAAAATTGAATCATCATCATCACCATAACCATCATCATCCTAAAATCATCATCATCAAGACTTACACATAATAACAATTAAGTGTTAACAGTTAATTGGAAGAGTAAAAAACAAATGAGTTTACCAATGTGAAGATATTGAGATAATTTCAACTCGATTATCAATGGAAACCAGAAAATTATATATAAATAATAATAATAATTACGATAATAGTAATGGTGATCATAGTGGTTAATATAAATATATTTAATTACCATTAATTAATTATCAATTATTACTAAATAATGATATGATTAATAACTGATACACTGGGAAACAGAAAAGCAAGATTACTTAAATGAGAAAGAAATTAAAATTTAATTATAAACAAAAATGAAGCAAAATTTCACGAAAAATTAGTTTTAATTCAACTAATCACTATTACTATTATTGCTTTTTATTATTAACTATTAATTATTATTAATAATTAACTATTATCATGATTCTGTATCATTGTACTATTGCTATTGTACTCTAATGTATATTTACCTGTATGATTGAGTATAGCAAAAGGAAAGCAAGCAAACAATTAAGTTAATTGTTGGTTAACAATCAACTTTACTTAATTAATTGGATACTCAATAGCACCTCCAGAGATTATTAATTAACTTAATTTTTTTTTCTCTTTCTTTTCCTCTTTTATTCTGGAATAACAGTTAACTGGAAAATTCCTCAATTCTCATTCCCAACATGATATTTTCTATTCTTCAGAATCATCACACTTTTAATTTAATTTAATTTCTCTTATTAATTGTTTTATGTTGATCGTAATTCTTTATACAATTTATAAATTGTTAACCTTTTCTGTTTATCGTTTCATCTCACTTCTAGTCAGTTCATTTCTGATATTTCATTTCGGTAATTCTGTCCTCATTTAATTGTGATTCGCATTTTCATCATCTAATTGTAACTATTATCATTGATGGAATGATCTCCTCCTCCCTCCTCTCTCTCTTCTCTCTCACATTTCGATCTTGTTTTGATTTTGACAAAGAAAAAAAAAGAGTTAAAATCAATTTTATTTCTTATGATGATGAATGAATCTAATGATAATAATACATTATCTTTCTGTTACTCCTGAATTCCTGCTGACGATGAATAAAGTTATCATACAAAAAATGATCCACTGATTTCATTTAATTATCTAATTACAAAAATAATTTATATTATAAATTTTAAAGGGATGATGGATTTGAGAAATCGATAGTATTATATATAAATGATGTCAATTAATAATATTTGAAATTTATTATGAAATGAGAAAAGGATGATGAAGTTATAAGAGGATAGAAATGATCAATGAACTTTGTGGCAGGTTGACTTTTTGTCGATTTGTTTTACAATTAAGAAGTGAATCTTGATTTCATTGGTGTTATCACAGAATCATATGAATTTGGTTCTTTGTGGGTTCTTAGTGCTTGAGCTGCATGAGTTAATTGTAGGGCAGCTTCTGGATTAGATCCACCAGGTAACAAGGTGCATTCTCTTTCCAATATGGCCGCCATTCCATCAATAATCTCATAGAAACCCGAGACCAGAGCAGCTTTTCGGAATCTATTCAATTCTTTGTAAAAGTTGGGTGTTTTTTCGGGTAATTTTTTCGCTAATCTTAGAACCTTTTGAATATCTGATTGGAGGTTGGATTGTTTTATCCATACAACACAAGAAGAAGAGTAACTTTTCCTTTCATTGCTTTTTCCTGGCTCTTGGACAGCTCCCTTGGGGCTTAATTGTGGAAATCCCAACATGGATAAATTACCGAGCCAAGAAACACAGTCTAAACCAGCATTAAATGTTGAAAACATGAGACTTGATTTCTTTTTACTATCTGCCCAAGAGTAAATCATCCCGTACCAATTAACAGCAAGTCGACAAATAGCGACCATTCCTTCAACTTTAAGGGCACCATGAAGTAGAACACAAAGAGATGGTTGTTTACTTTCATCAAGTAATATCGTGTTTAAAGCTTCTTCCAAATCAAAAGTAGTCGATGGATTAAGATCAAAATCTGAAGCGGTTTTAACAGTTGTAATTGAATGGAAACGTTGAAGATCATCTTTGGTCAATGGTGTACTGAACATTAAATGTCGACTGTGAACTGGTGGACTTGAGACTTCATTGATATTCATGAAGCCACAAACTGTTATATCACTTGATGGTTCAATTTTGATTGTCTCGAAATCATTTTTTTGTGTGTAACCCTCTAAGGTTGGGAACAACATGATCGGGCCATTTAGACTTCCACAATGTAAACGACCACGATAAGGAGTATAATTGGTTTCACCAAGATATTGGAAAATCTTTGAATACTTTTAACGACATTGTCTCTGGCATCAATAGATGATTATCTAGAATAGAATCAAATGAAATGGAGATGATTAAGATGCATGAAATAATTGAGAGTAATCCAAAGATTTGCTAATACTTACTGATGTCAACCTTTGAATCGGACATTAGGACTTCCAAAATCTTCTTATAATAGGCGACTCTTTGTTGAGCAAAAGGCTCATTAGGTGAGGATAAGCTAACGATGTGAAGCTTAGCAGGAAAATTAAATTTAAACAAACATTTCTCGAAATTTTCTGCCTCTGAATAGGACGAGATACCTGGACTACCATCGGTTACCAATATAATATTACATGGAACGTTACTTCCCCATTCTTCATGGACCAGATCTTGAACACCTCTTAAAGCGTTAATTGTATTTGTTTTATCGTAAACCTCGTCCAAATAATTAAGAGCTGTTCTAATGGCATCATAGTCACGAGTAAAAGATAGACTCCGTTCCCATAGAGAAGAATATAACATCAAAGAGATCAACTCAAGGCGACAATTGGCAGATATGTAATCCAGTAGTTGATTAAGACCCTGAATGGCCAAACTTTTAATCGATTGAATTTCATTAGTGTCTTGAAGAACCACAGTTTTACACATTGAGAGAGAAACATCAAGTAGAATAATAGTTGGCATTTTTTGGACTCACTTCTTATTGAGAACAGAAAAACAAGACAAACTGATTTACGATTCAAATAGAATAAACTTAGATGATGGTAATTAATTAGTTTGAGAGTCAAAATGTTAATTGTTTAACCGAATTGATCTGGATGAAAAGGAACACAATCAACTGAAAGGAAAACATTGACAATCTAAAAGCCGGAGAATAGAAAATGAGCTGTGAAAATAGAAAATTCTTTTCGTAGGAATAGCCGAATACACGTTATTTATCCAGCAAAAGGAGAAAAACTTTGAAATAAAATTTGTAATATGAGAAATTAAATGAAATCAATGATTGAATTGGTTTTTTTTACATGAAAACTTTATTCATAGTCAACGGGGATTCAGGAGTAACAAGAAGATAAAATATAGTTGAGATATGAAGATGTGATCATTTCTTGTTGTAGTTGAAGGTGTTCACTTAATTTTACAACAATCGGATCATCGGGTGTTAGACCTTCATCGTTAATTAGATAGTTGATTGTTTCATTGGCACATAATTGAAATCCAATAATGAAAACTTGTAATTCCAATAAAGCGTCATTTGTTTTATCCAAAATGTTCTCATCGTCATTGTCACTTTCGATTTCATCGTTTTCTTCACAATCACTGATATCCTCGAATTCACATTGACCATATTTCTGATTAACACTGATCACAAAAGTTGATGAATCTTCGTTCATCTTTAATGATGAACAAATCCAAAGACAAACCTAAACGAAAGAAACTTGAGCAATGATGAAGATTTTTAGGTAAACGGAAGAGAGAATTAAATCGCTCTCGCGTTTGCTCTCTTCTCTTTCTTCTTTTTTTCTCTCTCTCTCTCTCTCTCACTTCCTTCCTTTATCTTCTTCTAACATATGGATGTGGCACTCGCTCAAAACTTCAGAGAGAAAGAAAAAGAAAGAAGAGAAAGAGAAGGCAAAGGAGGAGAGAAGATGAAGAGATGAAGAGGGTGGGTGGTTATCCAGATGTCGGTGGAACGAGTCGAGTTTAAGATGTTCTAACATCTGCTCGAGTGTCCACAGGAGCAGAAGAAAGAAAGAGAAGAAAGAGAAAAGAAAGTGAATAGATCATCTTTTTGGAAGCTGGTCCAGCATCTGGTTCTCATTATAATTAACGATTGTAACTCGTGTTCCTTTTTCACCATAAACACATTTGATTTTGGAAAACAGCAAATCCATTGGTTAACAATTAACTTAATCGTTACCTTTTAATTTTGACATTTTTTGAATTCCAATTGATTAACCAGCACCTTTATCGATCCTTGATATTTTTCATTATCCTTGAGTATTCCTCTCATCCGTTGGGTAACAATCAACTGATTTGTTATTGCTTTTTCATTAGAAAACAATTTAGTTTGCTAATTTGGTTTTGCAAACAGCAAATTTTCAATTTTGCTGCAAACAAATACAATTTAATTTAAATGACCTAAACATCTATACAGTCGTTTTTTTAACGAGATTTGGGTTGTGAATTTTGTTTGTTGCAATTTAAAATTAGATTACTATTTTTTGGGAATTTTCTGCTAATAAGGCAACATGAACATCGTGATATTGTTTCATTGCAAAGTAAATAACTGCGATTCCGGTGGAGATATTTAAAATCGATAAAGCAGCAAATCCTAGGAGAAGATTTCGCTTGAAAAGTGATCTGCTCACTATTTTGATTCCTTCTTTGGTTGATGCCCATCGATCTAGAACATCGATTGGAAGAGGAATACCGGGATTGTTAAGGGCACTTAGAATGGAGATAAAGATGGCACTGGATGAGGGAAAAGCCGAACTGAAAAGGAATTGATAAGCACCGGTTCTTATGAGGTGACATTCGGCACAATTAACTTCACCTCGGATAATTGTGTCTAGTTGTTGATTTGTGATCAAAAAAGATGCACCAGCGGCCATTGCGACCGAAGATGTAACAGCCATAAATTTATTGAATGAAACTACCTTTAAATATTTACGAACAGCAAATAGAAAAGGTAATTGTGTAAAAGAAGCCACACTCATGGTGATTAAAGGACCTCTGGTTAAGGCGATCAAATCAATTCCAGGCCTCCAAGTGTTAGCAAGAGCTTCAAATTTCTCTTCACGTGTTTCAGGTGAGTCTTCAGGCTTAGGGAAACTAAGAAAAGTAAAGAAGAAGAAAATTAAATTAAAACAATTAAGAAAAAACCAATGAAAACCAAAAGTAAACAAAGGTTCAATTTCAATACTTACAGATGATTAAATGATAATTTGAATTTTGGACTAGTCAAATCATTCAATTTTTCTTCTTTCGATTTCTTCATTTTGTTTAACCATTTAGCGCATTGAGATTTGTAGTTACTCAGGGTTGTAGAAAAGGTCGTTTCCTTGTCGGAGTCCATTGTTTTACAATTAAGTGATTTTAATTTAAATGAGAAACGTGTGTTGTGTTACTTGAATGACAGAGAATCAATTTGTTGCTTGGAAAAGAAAGTAAACATTTCAAATTGGCGCTTTGAGAATAGAAAATGTTCTCGTTGTCATGACGACCTTGCGGAAACGGAAGATTTCGTACAAGAAGATTCAACTTTCTTGTTTTTCTGAAACAACATCATTTTGTTTGGTGTTTTGTAAGTTTTTTCGTAGTGTTAATTTTATCAATTTAATTAATTGAATTATAATTTTTTCGTTTGTTACTAGTGTTTAATTAATTTAATTAAAATGCCTCCCAAAAAGACACCAGCTCCAGAGGCTAAATCAAAACCTGCAGCCAAGAAGGAACAACCTAAGGCCGGTGGTGGTGATGCTGCTAAATCTTCAGCGGGTTCATCTAAAGCTCAACCAGGTAAAAGTGCTGCTGGACCATCGAAATCATCAACAGCACCTAAATCTGCTGCTGGTGCCGCTAAACCAGCCGCTGCCAAGGCTTCTGGATCTAAACCAGCCCAACCAGCGAAAAAAGCTGCACCGGCCAAGAAAGCAGCACCAGCTAAGGCCACTGGTGTTAAACCCAAACCAGGAACCAAGCCTGCTGCTAAGACTACCACTGGTAAACCCGCTGCCAAGGGTGCTGCAACCAAGAGTAAAGCTCCAGCCCAAGGTAAAGGTAAAGCTGCTGCTACCAAGACCAAGTCCGCTGTTAAACCTGCAGGTAAAGGAAAACAACCATCTAAAGGAAAGACAGTCTCAAAGTCTAAATCGGCCGCCGCTGCTGCTTCAGCTAAAATCAAGGCTAAGGCTAAGGCATTAAAGACAGCCAAGAAGGTTACCAAGGGTGTTTACACTAAACGAGCAAGGAAGATCAGAACAAGTGTCCATTTCCACCGACCTTACGTTAAGCATCTCCCAAGAAACCCTAAATACGTTAGGAAAAGTGTACACAAGAGACCTAGATTGGACAAATTCTCCACCATCAAGCATCCATTGACTACTGAATCAGCCATGAAGAAAATTGAAGACCACAACACTCTTGTTTTCATCGTAGACATTAAAGCTAATAAGCCACAAGTTAAGACAGCCGTCAAGAAATTGTACGACATCGGTGTCGCTAAAGTTAACACAATGATCCAACCTGATGGTCAAAAGAAAGCTTATGTAAGATTAGGTCCCGATTATGATGCATTGGATGTAGCAAATAAGATCGGAATTATATAATCTATTTACTTTTTGGCTATTCAATTAAACTAAACGGTTAATAACAACTGAAAATTTACATTGTGTCTCTTTTCATTTTATTATTATGTTGATTTTCATCTTATCTTTTATTAATTTCTATACAATTCTTAATGAACGGAAACTAACACTTCAGTGAACAAAAAGATTAACTTTTTAAAATTTAACTGATTCAGCTTTTTTCAGGATCTCTTGTCCCTTTCCTTTCTTGTAAGCAGCCAGAGCGACATCAGACAAAACCTCTGGATCAATTGGAGCCTTATCCTTGCTACTTGGATACTGTTTATCGAAATCAGCTGGAACGGGAATATTGATTGCGCCAGCAAGACCCACGAGTTCCTCTGTAGAAGTGAAGTAAAAGAAAAATGAATTAAAAAGTGAACATGAACTCTCGTGGTATTCTGATTGAAATTGGATTGTTCAATTCTTTTGGTTGGTTGATACTTCACTGGAGTAGCATGAGAATGTATGATGAATTCATACTCTTTGATATGTTAACTATTCATCAATTTAAGATGAGAATCTTGAACAATAGATTTTTACTTGGATGTGATGAAAATGTAAGCATTGAACAACCAATTTACAATGGAAATGATGAAGATGAATATAGATTAATGTTGGAAATTTACCTCTTGTCATTTCTGCTTTAATTCTCTTTTTATTTTCCATCCAAATTGGTTTCATTTTATCGATGAATTCTCTGTAATCATTTTCAGTCTTGGAATTGACCTTTTGACGATGGATTCCCCATGCAACACCGGAAATTAGAAGGGCCCATCGGCTGAACTGTAAATGAATAATAGCAAAACATGAAGATGAACACAGTCATCAATTGATTATTTACAAATCTAATTGGACATTTTCTAGACAACTTACTCGAATAAAGGGTGAAACATTGAAAGGAGTCCTCAGTGGTGGATCTATGGCAGACATGGTTGATTAGGTTAATTGTTCCAATTAGTTAATAAACACAAACAATCAGTGACTTTCCTTGACTTTCACCAAATGAACCAAATGAAAAACTAAAGGCAAACAGATGAACAAAAGTTCCATCTGTTGGTGAGAATATTAAGTAAAACCAAATTAGAATCTAAAGAAACAGAATTTCTTTAATTTGTTTTTAGTCTTCGGTGGTCAATTTAGCCGATTTCTTTTTACTAGAAAAGAATAAACAGTTTTTGTCAACAATATTTAATAACAATAACAAATAACATTCAACAATATGAACAATACAGTTCATCTCATTTGATTTTATAAACTTTCATGAGAAACGATCAATTGACTGATGACTTATTCATGCAAACTTTCTGAACTTCGGCCAATTCGACTGGATTGAATATCGTTGGAGCTGTTTAGAGTTAAAAATTCTTAGTCATTCAGATATTAAAGGCCTCGAACTAGTTCCAATAGAGCCGAGAAATTCAACAAATCGTCACCTGAAACCAGCTAAAGATGCTCAAAACCCGAAAACCCCAGAGAGAAGCCAAGAAACTCTGAATCAAATTCTTATTCCAATCTAATGATTATTAAAATTAACCAATCTTTCTCCTCCAATTATCATTTGATTGTTTCCTTTCTTTTCTTTACTTAATACAATCAAAATTCTCAAAGCGACAATTAGAGTTGTACGTTTGATTCAAGTAAATTAAACTTTTCTCTTTAATGCATACAATTGTTTAGAGTTAATTCTACTAATTAATCATTTACCAAAGCTTTTGATTTCATCAATGATTGATCATCTTAATCAATAATAAGACGATCATTCAATCAAACCATCAGATTAGTTGATGTATTAATACAAATTGAATTGAAATTCGATAGTTGAATTTACCACTAAACAAAAAGTTCGCTTCGTAGTTCCATCAACAGATGGAGCTTACAAAAGACCATGAATATGAACTTTTTTCGCTCCTGATAAAATTTAATTTACTAATTTACTTTACCTGTGAATTAAACTTAAATTTGTGTTATTATTTCTTATCACACGGATCAAGTTGATACCAAAATTATTGGTGAACAATTGATAAAATCTATTTAAAGTCAGAAAATCCTTAAATTGCTTCGAATAGAAACTTTATATTTGTCTATTTTTTTCGTCAATTAACTTGGCCAATTCAAAATGAATTTAGCTATTTTCAACTCAAGCCACTTGATGAATATTAATTATTTACAATTCTATTACCAAAGTAATTACAAAGTCAGTAGAATTGAACCTTGGTTGATTGGTACGAGTTTTCGAATCATTAGAAAATTATCAAGATGAACTTTTTCCGATTTTTCTACTCGATTTTATCTTAATTACCGTTTTTTTGTGTCCTACTCGTTCCTTATTCTCACTCGATTAGTATTTTAGATATTCTCAAATTGATATTTTTCACTTTTCGTCTACTATATAAAACGAAAGGATTTTCGAGAAATTATCATTCAACTGTCCAAACCAATAACGAAAACAACAACAACAACTAAACGAAAACATTTAAAACTTTTCTATTACAACAATGAATCAATTGGTTGCTATTCTTTTCTTTGCTCTTGTTGCTCTTTCTACAACAATTAGTGCTACAAATCACGGTGACGGAGGTCAGAGTAAAATTTATCGAAACCAAGATGTGAGTGGAAAATACAATTTTGGTTATGATATCAATGATCCTTGGGGATCATCCAACTACCGACAAGAATCTGGTGATGGTTGGGGTAATGTCCACGGTTCATATGGACTTAAACTTGCCGATGGTCGTCACCGAACTGTTAACTATATTGCCGATAAAAGTGGATTCCGAGTTAAATTGGACTCAAACGAACCATCTGTTGACTCAATCGACTCTGCTGATGCCATTTACAATGGTGCTGATCCTTCTGGTCACAGTTACACTAATATTATCTCAGGAAACAAGGGAAACCATTACAATCACCATGATGGTTACAATCATGATGGTCGTCATCATGTTGGCTCATGGAACAATGGAAACCAATACCCAAACCAATACAACAATTACAACCAACACCGAAACCAATATCAAAACCAATACCAACATGGTCCATACCACGGACAGAATCACGATTCATGGAATAACAAAGATTCTTGGAATAATAAAGATTCATGGAAACAACAAAACAAACACGACAATTGGGCCAAAAATTAAGTTCTTTTCCTAATAATCTGTCTTCCCCTTCGAAACTAATCATTTCCATTTTATTGTATATTTTTGTACACTCGTTTATTTAAATCTAATTTAATTCTCGCAGCAATAAAAAACATTCATTTTTACATTTCTATTGTCCAAATAAATGTGCCTTGTATCGCGATAATCGCTACTGAGTTTCTCATCTGTATAATGACACCTGATGCACACTGTCACCTTTTCAATCGTCGGATTAATAGAAATATGACTAAATACTTTATTTAAATCTTAAAATTAAGACTCTCTGGTTACGATTTATGAAAAATTTAATCATTTTATGACTACGATTAAAAAAATACGGAGGTCGAAATATTTGGTTGAGTAAAAAGTTTTGCACGAAAAGTGAGTCTAAAATTCAACATTTAATTAAACTCGATCTATCACAGAGAATTAACTTTTCTTCAAATGTTAAAATTCTAAGTTTATTTATTGTGAATCATGATGTTTATCAAAATTTGAACATTTTCAGGCCAAAATCGTGACAAAACGATAGAAAAAAATTTATTTTGGTCGCTTCTCTTGGTTAGATCTAAAGTGGCCTTAGAATTTTGTTCCGATAATTTATCATTCTTATGATAAAATTCAATATTTTTACATTAGTTGTTGAAATTTTCGAAAATTATCCAATCATAATTATGGACAAAACTATATCAGAGGAGAAAAACTGTTCGAATGTCAACTCTAAGACACTTTGGACATTCAATGGCCACGAACTATCAAATTTTAATTGAGATAAATGGACGTGAAAGAAAAAGAATGGAAATGATAATCGTTCTAAAAAATTTTCGAGTCGAGAATATAGAATCAGATGTTCGATGTTTGAACAGTTCAAATATCGATTTTTTTGTCGTTAGCGAATAAATGAATTTTCGACTTTACTTTGATTGAATCGAAGTTGAGTAAATATTTACGATATTTTGTGCAATTCGTATGGCCCAAGTGAACTTTTCAATAAAATTTATGACAATTTGAAGATTGGGTAAACAAAAGCTAGGATTAAATAAACAATTATGATTAATCCAAAATTCGACCTTTGGTTTTATTTTTTGTTTATCATGTTGATTGTCGTCATATTTGGAAAAAAATTAAATATTTCATGGTAATAATCCAAATTGAGTATATAAATAATGGTTCGAGTTTTGGTTATCCTAATTGTTTGCAGTATAAAATACAAAATATCAGCCTTAGCAAAGATTTTGGACTATTTAAAGTTGGGCAGTTTGTGATTCTTATTCTTTCGTGTCTTTATCTTTTCTCAGATTCATTGATAGCAATAGCTAATTTTCTTCTTAATAAGTTGACTCTCTCTTCTTGTCTCCTAATATCTTCATCAGAGATAATCACGGTACCGACCAGTGGCTGCTTTGGATCCAAAAATACTCCAGGATTTTTTTCCAAAATATTTCGACCTGCAGTTTGACCAATAATTGGTCCTTGTTTAAGATAAAGAGCAGTGATAACACTTCTTAAGGCGGTGTCAGAACCAACATTGGGTCCAACTGGTTTCATATTTTTGGGTAAATCAAAACTCTCGACAAACTCAGAATTGAGATTAGTCGCTCTTAACCCTTCCAAACGTTTTTGCCAGAAAATTTGTTGCGGTTTAATGGATGGACCATGTTTCAAGTCTTGCTTTGATTTACTTCCCGGCTGAGATTTGATTACTGTCACTGGTTGCCTGATAATTGGAACAATTCTCCTAACAAAGTAAAAAAGAACACAAAAAAAAAGACAGAGAAGAAAAAGAAAATGAAAAAACAATATCAACATTTTGCGGGAGAGAAACAGCAAAAGAAAAACATTTGAAATATTCCAAGACAAACTTACCCATTGGCGGTTTTAATTTTCTTTGTTGGAAGCGGCGGATTCATGACCATTTAATCAACGATTTATAAATTAACAATATTAAATTAGAAAAATAAAAACAAAACCTTAAAAAATCAGATGTTTACTATAATGAGTAAAGTTGATCAATGAATGAAAATTCAATTAATAAAAGAAACATATGGATCATCTGCTGGCGACATCTACTGGAATGGCGATTAACCCAAGTGACATTTTCCATTAATCAATTCAATTGATTTAATTGTTTAATCGCTGATTTTAATTGTTGATTATTTTTTTTCCAAATCAAATTATCATTATCTTATGATTTTCTTGAAGATTACTAAGGAAACTTATCTACTTAATGATTTCATTGACATTTGAGTTGATTGGTTTTTGAGTGAAGTTTAAGACAATTTGAGATTTTCAATTCGAAATCCAGTTTGATTAAACTAAATTAATAAATTAAAGATTATTTTGTTAAATTGTTCAAAAATTGCAGATGATGACTTTTGATTAGAATATAATTAGAGATAAAAACTATTCCATATGAAAGTTAATCACTATAAGAGTTTTAATCAAGATTCTGTTTCTCTTTTCAATCTCTACAAAACAATTAGATTAAAGAAAATTATAAATCTTCAATTCCTAAAATCTCAATTAAAGTGTTTAATTAATCCAATTAAGACAAAAGCTCCTTGGATTATAAATTAATCCTTTTTTCATTTCTCCATCTCTCTCATTTCCATGAAAACCATCGTAACCACATGATAATAGTTCCAACAATTTAATTGAAAATAGAAACAAATTAATTTGATCTTCTTTTCATCTCAATTAACTAATCAAAGAAAAAGATGGAAAATTAGATCGATATGAACAATTGAATTCGCAAGGAAAACTCTGAATCACTCGAAGAGTATCAAGTTGGACACTTTGTGAGAAAAAAACGAATCCAATTAATTTCTGTTCTAATTGTTCCAATTAATTGTTAGAATAAACAATGAAAACAGAAAATTAAAATTCTATTCTAATACTTCAACTGAACCGCCATTCGATCAACAGTTTGTTTTGTTTCTCTCTCTCTTCTCTCTCAACTGTTTTCTCTTCATATTCTGTCATATGTTTTCTCTCTCAATCATGTTTACCTTTATTTCAATTGCGAAGAGATTTTTTCTTCTAATTTTTGCTAATTAAATCTACAAATTCCATTTCTTTTTTTTCCATTAGTGTATTTGGTTAATTCTTTACTCTTGTTTATTTTATTTCACTTCTAATTCAGTTGTTTAATCATTTTTTTTCTCTCTCATCGATCTCATTTGTTTTGTTTTTTCTCGTCCAACCGGATGTTTGATTCCAATTGTTTGGGAAACAATTAAAGGAAAAGGATAATTGATAAAATGGATACATTTTGGTTACTTGCTTCCGGTGGATCAACTGTGGAAGAATTTGCCAAAGATGTTTACCTGAAAAGTAATCTTAAGAATAGAATTGGTTTTTATATCAGACAATTACTTCAGGATGTTTATGGACAAGATGATCTCTCTGGTGGTGCTGGTGGTGATTCTGGTATATCAACAACCACCGGAATCTCTGATAGTAAGATAATCACCGAAGTTAGTAGTCCAGCGGTTAATTCACTTGTTAATTGTCTCGAAGCAACATTTCTTCATGGTCTTAAAGGAAAACCTTTGCTAAACCGTATGATGGGTAAATCTTTATCCAAAGATACCAATAATCAAACAGAATATAAATTAGATTTCTGGTCAGTTATTTTAATTCTAAGTCATAATCAAGTCTCAGAGAGTTTGGGACAATTGAACAACATTCGTACAGATATTGGCCGATGTCGAGCATGGTTAAGATTAACTCTTAATGATGGTCTTCTTCAGAGTTACCTTGAAGCCTTAATTAATGACACTTCCTTGTTACATGGTTTTTATCGTCCATCAGCTTATTTAAGAGACAAGGAACATATGGATTGTCTTCGTGACCTTATGGGACCTCTTAAATTAGCGACCTTTCAACTTAATTATGATCATTCACTGTTAAACAATTGGACCTGTGATACACTCAAGTTAATTGGTATAACTGTACAAGATACTGAGCCCGTTGTTGCCGCTGTCGATGCACTAGCGACAATAGGAGATAAGAAAGTTGGACCTACGATTGTGAAACGTAAAGAATTGATACGAAAAAGGGTTTTAAATCGTTGGGACAATGGATTGTCCGAAGTAGCTGGTAAATCATCTGAAAGGTCAAAAGAATCAACTCAAAATGATGATACAAAATCTGAATCTAATTCTAGACCAAACTCAACAGAACCTTCAACTAATATCTCAGTCCTAATTACTCAAACAGATGAAGATGGATCATCAAGTCAAACAACTCAAGTCAAAGTTAATCAGTCCAATGTTAAAGAAGACGATATTACTCAATCAACTACTAAAAAGGTGAGCGATTAACCATAATTGATCCATTCTATTCAATTACTTTCACTTAAATTGTCTTTTTTTCCCCTATCCTTTAGATTTCTAACTCTCCTGGATCACATTCTAGTTTAATTGAATCTACCTCTAAACTTGAAGGATTAACCTTGAAAGAGAAACACAAAGACAATACAAATGAAGGTTCCAATGTTAAATCAATGCCTCCTGAAGCAAGTAAAAGTGTAAAAATCAAGAAAAGTAATTTATCCAACTCATCTAATGCTGGAGAAGCAAGTTCATCACGTTTATCAACAAATTCTGATTCAACGTCTCTCGGTGGTAATAGTATAACCAACAAGGGTGGTTGGTCTACATCCCCACCGGGTGATCATGAAGAAGAGCCATATGAGAGTCTTTTATACAGCATATCAACAAATGCTATGCTCTCGTCTACTCCCGATATCAAAGAGTTTATCTTTGCTCCTCCATCAGATGCTGATAATCGCAGTGTTATGAGCAATGAATCAGAAAGATCTCCCACTCCATCCATAAGTGGTAGGCGTAGTAGCGGTGGTTCAAGGGGATTAAGTTTATTCAGGAGGAAGAAAAGTGTATCCTCAAAATCTGAGTCTGGAAGAGCGAGTAATCCGATTGGTGGGAGTGGAACTCATGGTACATTAGCTTCACCCATAACCTCATTGGGCGGAAATGATTTTGAGATAATCCCGAAAACTATGGTTTTAAATAGTCAGGAACCTGAGACTCAAGAATTCCTATTACATTTAACCAGAATTGCTAATCATGTTGGTCTTGATGAACAAGATTATAAATGTTACTCATGTGGTAGACCTATTGGAATGATTTATGGTAAATTTCGTGTCTGTGAATTTGATGGTTTCAATTATTGTACCGAATGTCATGCCGATGAAAAATGGACTATTCCAGCGCGAATTGTAAACAATTGGGATTTTAAGAAATATCCGGTTGCCAATCGAAACAAAAAACGTTTACAACTCATTGAAAGTGAACCTTTAATCGATATTAAAGTTTCCGCTTCGATTCTTTATAAAATGATCAAAGAATTACAAGAAATTCTTGATTTAAGAACTCAACTATTCTATCTTCATGCTTATCTATTTACCTGTAAAGAGCAAGTTGCCACCGGATTGAGGAGGATTCTATGGCCTAGAGATCATCTTTATGAACATATTCACCTTTACTCGATGGCTGATTTACTCCAGGTAATCAATTGAACAATCGAACAACGAAAAACAATCAAAGTTTATTGACTATCAATCTAATGACAACACAAGATATGCATGAATAATTATTTTCTCCTTCATGTTGATCACAATGTTTATGATAATCTAATTGAAATTGTTTCTTCTCTATTCTCATCATCAGATTCAATCGGGAACATCTCTCAATAATTTATTACGAAAAACCATTCAATTTGCTCGGAAACACGTTCTCTCTTGTGTCCTGTGTAGTCAGAAAGGTTTCATTTGTGAAATTTGTAAATCACCGCAAATTATTTATCCCTTTGATACCAGTGTAACTTATCGATGTGATAATTGTAAGGCCGTTTTCCATATCTCATGTTTCATCACCGAATCGGGAAAAAGACCTTGTCCTCGGTGCTTACGGATACGACGTCGTGAACGAGCTGCTGTAACTGTTTAAATCTCTATAAATCTCTTAAATTATTACAAATTATTGGAAACAATTGAGAAGACAAAAATCTCATGATCATAATTATTCGAGCACAAAGTCGATAATTTTATTAATGATATAATCTTTGGACAATTCCAGCAGAAGCAATAACAGTTATGATGATAAACATTAAGCATCTCTTTTATTCAGATTCTACTTTTTAATTAGACTTCTCTCTCTAATTAATTAGAAATAAGAGTTGCCATCTAATCAACAAGTTAACGTAAAAATATGTTCTTCCTCGAGATTATCAATTTTCCAAAAAAAAATATCTATTTTAATCAATTGTTATGAATCTTGTATATTTTTTGCATCAATCTTTTTGTACTTAATCATAATTGTTATAAAAAAAAAGTCGAAAATAATTACAATTAACTCTCGAGAATTATTTTCGCTTTTATTGATTCAATTTCTAAATAAATAATCGATTGATTTATGATGATCATCATCTTCACTTTGATCTTCAATCTCAATCATACAGTTGATTGTTTTTTAATTGTTTCACTTTTTGATTAATCAAGATGACGAAAAGAAAGGGGGAGAGTAAAATATTTTCCCCCTCGACCGGAATATCGGATCTCTTGTTTTGAGTCCTTCGGATCCGAAGTGTTTTCATTTTTTGGGTGAAATGATTGTTTGTTTATTTGTTTCTCACTGGTTAATCAAATTATTTTGAATTAAATTGTGTTGGAATTATGGATCAGAGAGATGATTATTTTGCTTCAAGACGTCGTCAAAGGGAGGAATTGGCAATTCGTGGAGTTTTAGATGTTTGGGATTCATCACCGAAAAAGCCGATCGATGATAGTGATGATGATGAAGAAGAAAGAAAAATTGATCAACCAACTGGATCTAAACGTAAAGTTGACAATTCACAATCAAGTGAGAGTGAGATTGATTTAAAGGCTAAAAAGAGTAAAAAAAGTCGGAAGAAAGGTAAGTGTACTCAAGTTAAATTCTATGTCTAACAATTTGATTTTGTTTCGTATTATTTATTCATTTGTCTTCTTTTGTTTTTATACAGAAAAAAAACACAAACATAAATCAAAGAAGTCAAAGAAGTCAAAGAAAAGCCATAAACATAAACATCGATCAAAGAAACGAAAACGGACCAGTAGTAGCAGTGATAGTGAGGTTAGCAGCAGATCGGAAGATAGTGATGTTGATAGAGAGAAAGAATTGAAACCAGTTGGTCAGTATGATGAAGAACGAGAATTTCTTGAAGAAATGATGGAAAAACAGAAGCTGAAAGAAGGTGATGGTTCACAGGATTCAGATGATTCACAAATTGGTCCATCACCCAAAGGATCGGTTGCACTTAATGTACGCGAATTGGGTCGGGCTCTTTTACCCGGTGAAGGAGCGGCTATGGCTGCTTTTGTGGCCGAAGGTAAAAGGATTCCCAGAAGAGGAGAAATCGGTTTAACCAGTGATCAAATCGAAGCGTATGAAGATGTTGGTTATGTGATGAGTGGTTCTCGTCATCGTAGAATGGAAGCCGTTCGGTTGAGAAAAGAAAACCAAATCTACAGCGCCGACGAGAAACGAGCCTTGGCCATGTTTAATCGTGATGAGCGTGCGAAACGTGAAAATAAGATTTTATCACAATTTAAAGAAATGATCAAAGCCAAGCAGGATAAATGATTCAAGTTTTGCTCTTTCACAAAATTTGACTTTCTCCTTGTAAATATTTATAAATAGATTCCATCATGATACCTGAACAATCCGCCTTCATGGACCAGTCAACATGTTTATTACCTGTATAATAATTGATTCTCACCAACTGACCATAAAGGATGTCAATTTTAAGATTAAAAATATTGCAAATCAATTTGTGTCTGTACAATGTTAATATAACATTAATCGTGTTTCTCTGTCATATTGGCCGATCTCAGGAACAAAGTAATATATTCCGTCGTCTTTTGGGATCTTTTTTATCTGCAACAAGTGAATTAAGGATAACAATCAACTCTTTTTTTGATATTCTTCCATCTCTGTCCATATCACAGCTTCTTAAAACCAGTTTCTTAACAACTTCAATTTGACCCAACTCATATTCCTAGGAAATAGTGAGAGAAAGAAAGAGAGAAGAAAAAACAATTCCAACAATCAGAGAACATAAATTGAAGGATTAAAATCGAATTTTCAAAATGATCAAAAGTTCTTGTCATTTCCCTCGATTGAAAAGACTCACGTCAGTTTGTAATTCCACCAGATCTTTCAAGAAACCTTCGAGTTCTTCATTCTCGATTTGACCATTTCCATCCTAGAGAGAGAGAGAGAGAGAGAGAGAGAGAGAGAGAGAGAGAGAGATAAATAAAATTAGACAACAGAAAAGTTGACAGACTCAAAAAGATGAAGATATTAATAGAAAAAAAAACTAATAAGATTATTCAATTATATCTGATGAGGATTTTTTCCTCTTCTCATTTTCATGCTATTTAGTAACCACAAGGTTTAACTGACCTTGGATTGTACGTCAGTTCTGACCAGTGATAAACTAATAGTAGAACTTGTCAAACAACTTATATACTGATCGGGTAAATAATAAGGGTAATTAACATTGATTATTGTTATAACTTTTCCTCACGAAAAACATTATATTACTTACAATATCATATTTTTTGAAGATACGATTAATTACACTTGATTTAATCTTTTTACTCTTCATTAATTTTATCCTTTTCAGATAATTTGATTCAACTGGAAATAATCTATAAGGTAAACAAAGAAGAAGAGAAAATGATTAACAAACAGAATAAAAGAAATTTGATTGAAAGTTAAGATAGAAATTGAACAAATTGAAATTCATGTAGAAGAGAAAAAAGAAACAGTTTGGTAGTTAATTGTTAATTCGAAAACTCACTTGGCTAATTCACCGATCTGCAATTTACCGTCTTTATTGGAATCGAAAATTTCCAAAACAATATCAGCGATTTCTTGTAGTTCTTCCGGTTTGATGTTCTTCTTTCGCACTTTAGCATAAAAGTCTCGCAATAAACTCTACGAAAAGTGAATAGTAGTTAAAGAGATTCGATATCATAACAATTAGAACATAATTAACACACTAATTAGCCATTGATACTCACACTGAACTCTGAAGCGTCAATCGAGCCACTTTTATCTACATCATACTTTTTCCAGAGCTACGATAATGGACAAGGGATAGAAAAGAAAATAGAAACAATTAAGATTATGAGATTATCATGTATCTTAAAAGTTAATTTAGTAATTTACTTTCATGAAATAGACGCTCGACTTTAGGTGATTGCTGCCATCAAATATGATGGAAAATTTTCCAATGGAACCAATTGAGCTAATTCTTTAACTTCTAAACGGCCATTTCCATTATCATCATAAGCTCTCATGAAAGAAGCCTTGAAGTTTTCGAAAAACAATTTCGATATATTTTGTATGGATTTTGATGGAATGATACTGGCAAGAAGGTCGATTATAAAATCATCCAATTCTTGTCCTTCAATGTGACCATTTCCTAAAGGAAAACACAATAGAAAAGAAAAGTGATAACAATAGAATAACAAGATTTATATCAATCAATGAGTGTTATTGAAAAATTAATTCTCGATAAGATCGAAAGTAACACTTGAAATCTATTTGTAAGTAAATAGTAAAATAATATCGTCATGAGAAAAACAAAATAGAAACAAAACAAAATCATTGAATCATCACAATAATAATATTATTCACCATTGATGATGATTGAGATGAATAGAATAGAATAGCTAATTGAATTTTATCAACAATTTACAAGGGAATTAGTTGTTATCAAGGGTAATTAAAGTAAAATCTACTTACCATCATTGTCATAATGTTTCCAAATTTTGATGAAATCATTTGCTGAAAGAGTAACAAATTTGTTTGTCGTTGGGTCTCGATACTCACGAAATATATTTTCTCGAGGCTTAATGTGAATGAATTTCTCGGCCGAACCTAAGTCAATGGACATTTTCTCTCAAAACAAGTTGACATCATCAAAAGAGAAAAGAAAATACTTTAAAACACTAAAACAATTGAAACGTAAAGCAATTACGCTAATCAGTAATCAATAAATTAAATAGATTTCCACTCGTTCAATTGTAACAAATAAATGAAAACCTTAGTTACCAATTTTTATTTGTTTACTTTTCTTCTTGGTGGTGGCTCCATCTGGTGGCCTTTTTTATATTCACTGAAACTCAGATTCTTTTTTTATTTTTGTTGTGATTGTGATTAAATTTTTTGTTACTCTTTGTTTTAGTTAATTAAATTAATTATATTCATGTGATTGTTATTCTTTTTTTAGTAATAACTTTTGTTATTAGTGTGACTTGGAAATGAGTTCTACTCTGGTCTCGGATGCTATGAGACATGCATCTTTTAACATCGTCTTTCAGGTGATTTATTTTATTCACTTTTCTTTGCTAACATAAACATTTCATATTAATTGTCTCTTGTGCTCTAATTTTTTTTATCTATTTACAGATTTCTACACGTATTTTAACGTTCATTTTGAATATTTATATTCTCCGATATATTTCGGCTTACACTTTGGGTGTAATCAATGTTAGGCTACTTTTACTTTACACAACAACACAATTTATCAGCCGGGAACCGATGAGAAGGGTTTGCATAAGTGAAGCTAAATCACATCGTTGGCCCGCTCTAGTTAATTTAATTTGGTTAAAGTTAGTCTGTTATTCACTTAATTTGCTAAATTTTTCTAAAATCTTCTCAAGATTTTTTACTCTTCCATGATGAACCCTTTTTTTCCATTATTATCTCTAATTACAACTCATCATCTTTTGCTCTCGTTCTTATTGTCTTTTTTCCTCTTCTATTTTTAGTATCATCACAACGTTTATTTTTGGCTATGGTCTTTCTTATATTTGGTTAAATTGGGTTGAGCAACCAGATGATGATCAAGCTTTTGGATACCGTTTTGCTGTTCTTTTCATGCCCATCATTGTTGCCATCGAAATGATCTCAGAGCCAATGTTTATTTATTGTCAACTTCAGAATCACGTCAAGATTAGGATCAACATCGAAGCCATTTCGCTGATCATAAGATGCTTTGTTATGGCTCTTTTCGTCCAAAGTTATCCCTCTAGTGCTGTGATAATTTTTCTATTTTCCCTTTTAATTTCGTCTATTGCGTTGACATTCATGTATCACACTTACTTTGCCTTCAAGCTCAATCTTGATCTGCCTTATAGTCATTACTTTCCCGATCGAAATGCTCAGGTAATTGATTTCTATTAATTTAATATTCTGAGTTATTTTTAATTTTCTATTTTCTCCTTTTACAGCCTCTCATTGATTCAAATCTTCTTAAACTAAATTTTAGCTTCTTTTCACAAACAATCATCAAACAATTTCTCACTGAAGGAGAAAAGTTCATCATGACGTTTCTTAATCCAATGACCTTTGAAGAACAAGGAATTTTCGATATTGTCAACAATTTAGGATCTCTTGCTGCCCGTTTCATTTTCCAGCCAATCGAGGAAAGTGCTTATATACTTTTCGGTAAACTGATTGTACGAGGAAAACACGCAAAACAAGATCGTAAAAAGTACAAAATTGCTATGGACACACTGAGAGATTTGTTTAAATTGATGTCCCTTTGTGGCTTAATTATCTTTGTTTTTGGATTCAACTACTCACAATTGGCGTTGAAAATTTACAATGACAAACACCTTGGTCGAGGTTTGGCCATAACATTGATGCGTTGTCACTGTTTCTACATTTATTTAATAGCAATCAACGGTGTTAGTGAAACTTTTACCTTCGCTGTGATGTCTAAGGATCAAATTGATAGATTTAATGTTTGGCTAATTGGATTTTCAGTCGTTTATTTAATCATTGCATCTACTACATCAATTATCGGTGCAACTGGTTTAATCCTTGCAAATTGTATCAATATGATTTGTCGTATAATTTTCAGGTGAATTGAAAGAAAAAATATTTTCTAATTACGATCCTCATAATTTCTAAATCTAATTCTCTCTCTCTCTCTCTCTCTCTCTCTAAATCATTTCAGCTTCAAATTCATCATCGAATGCGTACTAAGTCAAAAACAAGAGAACCCGCTGGTGGGAATTTTTCCACACCGCAAAGTTCTTGCCGCAAGCGGTATTATTTTTGGATTAACTCGATTATCAGAGGTAATTTAGCTCAAATTATTCTTTTAGAAAAAATCAATCAATCAAATTAATTTCTATTCTTAATTTCCGCTATTCTAGACAACTTTATGCTGTTCCAATTGGACTGACTCGATAATCCATGTAATCTTTGGTGGATTACTTTTCTTTTTAATCTCAATCATAATCTATTGTAATGAACCGAATGCCATTGCAATGATGGATCAAATCCCTTTATTTAAGATACTTTTTAAATTCATCAAGCCCAAAAAACTCAAAAAACAATAAATCACTAATTAAGTATTTTTCAAAAAAAAAGTTATCAATCCATCAACTTAACAATTGCTCAGAAATCCCTTGATCATATTTGATTATTATGCTTGAGCAATTTGAGACTAAACCTGAGATCAGTCCATTGATTGGATGTGATTAAATTACTTTGAAACTATTGGTTATCAAAATAATCTATTCAAATTAATAGAGGATTAATTGTCGTCTTAACATGGCTTCCAAATTAAAGCCAACAATTTATAATCAGATAAAATGAGAATCGAGTAAAAAAAACAACGAAGAAATTTGATGATTTGGTTGATGATTAGTCGAAGAAAAGTTAAATTGTCAATAATCTATTGGAAATTAATACAAAATTGAGAAAGAATACGAAACAGAGAAAGAGAAGAGGATGGAAGATCATCAACTGGTCTCCATTCGGAACTCAGGTAACTTTTTTCTCTGCCGATGCAACCGTAACAATCGCCTTTTCGATTTTCTCTCTACATCACACCTTCTTTCTATTCCCTAGCATGACTCAATCTAATTACATTTGAATCTAATTCTGATTCAATTTCACTGTTGAGTCTTTAATCAATCAATTTACATAATAGGTTGGACCACGCAGAGTTAGGTGAATTTATAATTAAATAATTGCCAGAAAACTGATCTGATTTCAATTTTTTTTCAGTATTCAAATTTAAAAGGGTTCTAATTTTATATGTGAGCCTAAGTTTTTTCGAAAAATTCTCTGAGTTTTCGAAAATTCGAACTTAAACTCAAAATTCGACAAAAAGCACTTTTCACGAATTCGAAAGAGCCTAGAACATTTATTTTTCACTCAAATTTCCTTTTAAAGCTATAATTTAAATTGTCTCAATCTTCTTAATCACTTTCAGTAGTTAAAAATATACAAAATAATACAATAAAAATTTTAGATTGTAATAAGTGCTTAACTTCCAGAATAATCGAAACAATCAAACTTGTCAGTTACAAATCAACTCAATTCATTCAATTGAACCATAACTTGTTTTAATTAACTAATCAACTAATTAAGATTCTATTGATAATTGGTGCACGTAATTGTCGTTAATCACAAGTGAAAACGGTAAAGGTGAAAGTTAATTGATTAAGTAACTGAATTACCTATTTGAAGGCAAACTAACGGAAGTTTGTTAATTACAACTAATTGTTAGCTGATTGTTATCAATTTAACTTAACAATCACAACAGAAAACTGAAAACAATTAAATCAATTTGTTCAATTAATTGACTTTATTTATATACAGAATAATAATTCATTTAGTCATTAGTAAATTTCTCTGTGATTAATTAATTGATTCACATTTTGGACTAGAAATAAATTTGAAAGGGGAAAAAATTTAACTGTCAACGAGATGGAGAAACAATTAATTTAATCAAATCAAGTTCACCATTTAGACCAGTTGATTAAATTTGATTGACTTGATAACTCTTGATAGGTAATTAAACTGATTTAATTTGATTTGATTTGATTTGATTTGAATGAAATGTCTTAAAATTTGAGGCCATTATTTGATTAACAGATTTGTTCAAAAGTCAATGATTATAATCATATCAATCAACTGATCATTTTAAATATTAGAAATGATTACAATCAATATAGTTGATGAAGAATGTTAATTGTGTTTTGATTTTTGTAATTAAAAATCACGATCATTTGGTCCATGTTGATTTGTTTGATTTCCATTTATTTTTGTCGATAGAGAAAATTAATCCAATAATTAAATACGATTTGTGTTTATGGTTTAACTTTTTCTGTTTATATTATTGTCGGAGTTTTAAATTGACCACTTAAGATGTATGATGATGATAAAAGTGATCAAATTAAATTGTTCAAGGCACCAAGAACCAGGTTAATCAACACGAAGAACAAGATGATTTAGATTTGGATTCGTCGTCCTCTTCCAATTTTAAGGTCGACCCGCAATTTCCCGTCAGCGCCCGTGTTGACAGGAATAAACTACTTTCGACCACTCGTTGCATCCGAACCATAACAAGATCTAATAAGGTGTCGATCGCTTTGGCCACATTCAAACCAGTCGCGGCACTGGTTTCGAAATAAGGAAGCCTATTGATACAAATAACAGCCAACAATTAAACAATTAAGACTAAATTAACACTCGAAGCTTAAGGCAACAATTGCTGAGTTAATTTTTTGTTTGAAAATAATGGACAATCAGTCAAATTGTTGATTAACATAGTAGCTTTCACCATGAAAGTGTTTAAATTGCTACTCCAATTGAAATATTGTTTTGATGATGATCAAGTGTATTAATCAAATGGGTTAACACTGTAATTAATTAACTTTGATGAGCTATTGTTTGATTTGAGTCTCACTGAACTAACTTATCCTTATAATGTTTTCCATCTGTCATAAAATAATAACAGTTAATGTGAATACAAATGATCACTATTTATTCAATGAAAAAGTTTCTATTGAAAGTGATTAGTTTTAATTGTTGAGACTTAATTGCTCACCCATATTTTTGTGCCTCTTGTTTAGCTCGTTCCTCGGAAACAACTCGTTTCTCAAATAGATCAACCTTATTACCACAAAGTATTACATCGGGATCGTTACAATAAGCATGAGTCTTTAATTGATCTAACCAACCACGAATATTGATAAATGATTGTTCACTTGTTATATCGAAGATCAAAATGAAGCCCATTGCATCACGAAAAAAAGCCGTTGTTAAACTACGAAATCTGTTGATTGATAGTAAATTTTTCACAATTAGAATCAAAATTTTATCAAGTTAATTGTTTTCCTTTCATTACAAACCTTTCTTGACCTGCAGTGTCCCATAGTTGAAGGTGAATCCGTTGACTTCTCCTTGAAACTCCGTCTAAATTTTGTGGCTTATAAACCTGATTAAGAAAATTGAAACAATTGATTAACTAATGTTACATTGGTTAAGAAAACAATCGTAACTATGATTAAAACAAGCAATTAACTTACAACTCTTTTCTCCCTGAAATCAATTCCAACGGTTGATATAAATTTACCATCAAATGAACCATCAGTATATTGGTAAAGGAAACTTGTCTTACCCACTCCCGAATCACCAAGAGACAAAAATTTAATCAAATAATCATAATCAGGAGCCGAAGGGCTATGATTGGGAAGTTGATTTTTTCCGGTCATCATTAACCAATCGATTCTTTTAATATCAGGCCTTGATTTTGATCACTCAAATTGATAATATTGACAAATAAGATGGAGTAAAAAAAGTAACAACAATCAATCGAGTAAGTATTGTCAAGTGTTGGCAGTTGAAGTGATTTTTTTGGCAATTTTTTGATTCGTTTTCACTATTCTCTTTTTATCTCTTCGTTTATTAGTTGATTGTTTTGTATTTTATTGATTGTCACTGTTTATTGGTCCCTTTATACTCCAATTAGGTTGATACAATGTCAAAATTAACCTTGTCAATAGTAGATACCTGTTGCAGGGGAAGATAAAAAGATAGACAAGAAGATAAACAAGTTAAAAGGAAGATGAAATTAATGAGAGAAACAGGAGATGAAGTTAATAGTAATTAAAGTTAATCATTGAGAAAACAATGAAACAGGTAAACATTTAATTCTCAATCAAGAATAAATGATTAAGGAGATGAAAGAAATTTTTGATTACTATTTAACAAGAGAAATCGTTTTACTTCAACATAGGGAATTGTAACCCAATTGTTGATTGTCATTTCCAATCAATCAGCAAGGGGTTTGAATCAAACTAATTGAGTATTTCAATTAAGATTAAGTATTATAAAAAAAAGCAATACAATAATGACCAGTGGTTTTCAGTTAATATCAAGGTAACAATAACATACCTGAATTATTTTACATTGGGAAGTACAAAATTGACCAGCAGATGAAAAGCAATCATTGTCTATGGTGAAAAGAAGCAGCAATTAATTGATCTTTAATTATTCCAATGGTAATTTAGGTTGTTAATTGTCACCAGAACAAAATCATGGTTAATCCTTAATTTTCACTATTTGATGAAAAAGAAAAAGAGAAAACGATTTATAAATTATAACGGTTCATCTAATTGAGAATCGAGGTGGACACAGTCAAAGAACCAAAGACTAACATAGGAAAATATTACTAAGAGAGTCTATGGAATCAAGAACAGGAAGAAAAGGTTCACACTGAAAGAGAAACTCAATTGAAAGAATAAGAAAAAAAGAATTTATTTTGGATGAGAAACTCTGATAATAATTAAAACATATGTTTCCTCGGAATTGGTGACAACAACTTTATGGAAGGAGGAAGAGAGATGATCATCATCATGGTGAGAGAGAGAGAGAGAAAGGGATGAAAATTAGAGAGACAAAGAGAAAGAGAGAAAGAAAGAGAGAGAGAGAGAGAAACTAATGTCGAGATGATAATTTGATATTCTAGGTAAGGCCATCTACAGAATGGGAGAAACTTCATTTTATTGATTAATTTCGTCTCTTTTTCTTGTCTCTGTCTAATTAACTGATTGGATGGATGAAATTGTGGTAACAATTAAGCTGATTAATGATCGATATTATCAAGAATCAAAATGCTTTTATTTTGATTGAAATTTAATTTCCATCATTTTGTTTTCAACTTTTTCAGATACACTTTAAAGTAGTATATTTGAAATATTTGATTGGTTTCTAATTATCAGTTGATTTAATAAATAATTTCTAAATTAATAATTATTATTAATCAACAACACGTTATAAAGGTGAAATCAATTTGGAGTTAAATGATTTCGCAATTGAGTTTTGTTTTTAGAAGAAAAAGAAAACTTAATTGATTGAAATTATCATTGGATTAAAGTTTGATTTGAATCTATGAGACATTAAATTAATCTATCGGAGCTTAATTTAATTAGATTCATGGTATGTTAATTAAGTTGCTTTTAATTGCTACAATTTTTGAAATTGTTTCAAAAGTAATAAAAGATTTAATTATGATTGTTATTGTTATTTGATATGAATATTATAGTAATTATGACGATAATTATTGGAAATTATTGGTCGTAAAGGAACACTAGTTGAACCTGGAATAACGAATGGTTGAGGTGGTGGTGGTGGTGGTGGAATTCCAACAGGTAGAACTGACTGCGCCATCGAAGTCGGTACAGGTTGTTGTGTCATAGCTGGTGGAACGAGACCTTTGAGAGATAAATTTGGACATTAAAATCAGAGACAAAGGTGAAAAGTAGAGTAAATAGACTAAAGCTTACCAGAAGGAGGCGGTATACCCGACGGCGGTGGTATACCTGGAGGAGGCATTCCAAATGGAGCCGGCATACCTGATGGAGGAGGCATACCTGGAGGAGGCATGCCTGGTGGTGGCATGCCTGATGGAGGTGGTAAACCTGATGGAGGAGGTATACCGGGTGGAGGAATACCCGATGGAGGTGGCAAACCCGGGGGTGGCATACTGGAAGGAGGCGGTATACCTGAAGGAGGTGGTATGCTAAATGGAGGGGCTGTAGGTGGAACTGCTGGGACCGGCGTTGAAACTGATACCATTGAAGGCACAGGTATTAACGATGGTTGAGTGAGCATTGCTACTTGGATCATTCGTTCCTCGTTTTCTTTGGCTTTTCGATTTCTAATTTCTGTGAAATTTTTAAATAAAAATAATTTATGTTTCAATTTTTCAAAAGTTAATCAAAATTTAACATCAAATTCTGACACTTACCTTTCAATTTTTCTGGTACAGTATCTTCATCGATCATACCACCATCTTCGAGCAAGTCAATATCGACATTATCATCAAGTTTGTCATAGGGAATGTAACTTGCGCCAAGCTCAACATCCCAACAATCTTTATACTCTTTGCCTTTCATGCCTTTGCCGGGAGCCCAAGCCATCTAATTAAAAGAAAAGTTGATGAAATTCGGTCATCGGAAAATCAATAAACAAATACACACTAACCTTGATAGTGCTACCATGAAGTTTAAAATTTTTTAATTGATTCAATGCTCTGTAAGCATCTTGTCTACGATTCATACAAACATATCCACAACCTCTGGGAGGGATGAGCTGAAGGGAAAAAAAGAATTGACATTAATTTTCATAATTTTCTCGAAAAAAAAAGTATTTCAAATGAGATAAGAATTACTTACATCGATACTGTTGATAGTTCCGAACTCTCCAAAAGTATTGGAAATATCGGCTTCTGATACTAACTTTGGAACATGACCTAACCATAAAGTTGTGCTACAAATTGTAAGAAAACCTTTTCTAATTTGTGGTAACCCTCGTCGCCGTCTTTCCCTTTCCTTTTCTCGTTCTTTTTCTCTTTCTTTACTATCAGGTGACAAACTAATTCGATCGCCTCTTCGGCCACCTCGTGGTGAACGAGATTCATAGTTTCTCCTACTATCATTAGATGATCTCCAAGGAGAACGAGACCGGCTTCGTTTAACTCTTTCATCTTTGTCCCGGTAACTAGACCTTTGAAATCTTGAATTTCGACGAGGTGACCGTGAACGAGATCTTGCATTCATATCATTATCTCTTTCTGGACCATTATAATCGTAATGACGTTTGTTATCATTTGAATAGTTTCGATCCATTCGGGATTGATAGGGAGCGGGCTCTTCATTATAAACTAAAGGTCCACTAGAAATGACAGGATCTAACCGGGTATTTAAACGATTTATAACATTTTGAGGGTAAGTGAAGGTATCAGTTGGAACTTTCTCCGATTGCATAGTATCTCTATTAGGTGCATTGTTATCGGTATGACTTGAATCGATCTCATGATGTGAACTAAAAGCTGGTTTAGAATCGATGATTGATGAAATGAAGGAAGAGTCCGATATATCTCGATCGTTTCCACTATTTATCTGAGAATTATTATCCTGGTGTTGTTGAATGTTTTGTTGCATTTGTTGTAAACGCTTAAGAAGCTCTGGATTGGATAATAAGTTTTGAGCCATACTCAGGGCAAGGGGATTAGCATTGGCATCTTCATTGTTTAAGGCAACACTTGTTGGTGGCTCAGCTTCAGTTGGAGTTTCACTTTATCGTCATCTTCATCTTCACTATAATCAAAATCTAACAGTTTCTTATCAAATCGTACGGCGTTTTGTTGTGAACCTCCAGAATCAACAACACCAGCAGATGACCCGCCGATACTGGAACCATTATTGGAATTGTTGACAAGTCCTAATGTAGTTGCCAATTTGTGTAAACTCAACACCAAATTTGTATCAGAGTCAGCTTTATTACTACCACTTGGTAGATCGTTGTTAACACTTTCTGAAGGCGAACCTTCATACTTAATTTGTCCTAAATTTGCGTTTGGATTAGCCATATCTAGTAGAGGTTGGATAATCTCACTAGAAAATACATTATTCCGTTGCCAAAGGTTCAATACCCGCACAATCTTTGGCTATTGTAGAGAGAATAGAAAGAATAATCATTAAAACCTAATAAGCACTTTGCCTAATTTGGTAAATTATACAAATAACTGAAATCGATGGGTATTGATGAGAGATAAAGATATTTCTCACAGAAATTTCAATGATATCGAATCTCGATCTGCATAAATTTGACCAATTTAACAGAATCGAAGATGAATCTTGAAAATTAAGATTAAAGGTAATGTATATGTGTAATACCTTGTCTTCTTGTGGACAAGTTAAAAAAAGGTTTTGAAATGTTTGGTTAAAATTTCTAGTAAATCTTGGGCCGAAAACATCTTTCTCAGCTCCAAATTGGTGCCTTGATTGGCGGACAATTGAGTCGATCACATATAAACCGGGTATTTTGTATTCCGGTCGACACTGGATTGAGATATTCCAATTTCCAACAGGATGAAACAATTTTTTTTTCGCAAAATCGAAAGATAACAAGTGATAAAAGTAGAAAAAATTTCCACACGAAGACATGAAAAAGAGAAAATTTCAGTTAGTTGATAAATAATACAAACGAATGACCATGAATTAAATTCTTCATACCTTTGCTATGAATCTTTCGACGCTTTGAACAATGTGTTTATACATTTTAATCCCTTTAATGGCAACTTTTGTAATTTGGCTCATCTTTGCCTTAGAGATGGGAGGTTTAACCTCATAGAGCGATGAGAGCTAGAATGGTAGAGAGGAAAAAGGTAAATGAAAATAAGAAGAAGAAAAAAGAAAAACAATAAACATGAGTAACATAGAATTGATTGTGATTGAACAATAAACACAAAAAATTAGTCGAATCGAGGCTTGACAAGCAAAGAATAATCTTTTAACCAGATGACAATCATGATAAAGAGATAAATAGATGGATAGATGAGAGTGAAAGAGAAACAGAGAAAGAGCGAGAGAGAGAGAAGTATGTAGGAAAAGAACAGAGTATCACGCAGCTAACTTTCTTGTGACAGTTGAAAGATCAACATTCCCAAGAACAAGGTAGAAAAAATGTTCCAAAGAAGAACAAATAATCTGAATAAAATAAAGCAAATGAATGCTGGAAATCCACCAGTGAGTAATAAAGATGAAAATGAAACAAAGTCACCCAAGTAAAAGGCAAGAAAACACACCAGCCAAAAATAAGACTACACATTATGTTTACCTCTGCATTAAAAGCTTGAACCAATTCCATGTTAACATAAAAATCAATGGTCAGGTTAAATTAATTGAAATGATCAGAGAATGATTATAATTACAGTTGACTGACAATTAAATAAGAAGAAAAAAAAAGATGATTATTTAATTAATAAGAACATTTTTGTCAACAAAATCAATTCAAAAATTTGTACATGGAAAAAAACACACAAGACAGAAGGAGAAAGAGAGAGAAAATGAGTAATGGAAAGAGAGAGAGAGAAAAGGGATGGAGACTAAGGGAGAATAGAAGAAACTGGAAGAGGGAGCGTAGAATAAGAAAATCGATGGATCGGGAGCAGCAAAATGGCGGAATTGAATGGGGACTATTAATCCATTACCATGGAGAAACAATTTGATTTAATTGCTTTTCTTTTTCGATTAATTAACAATAATTTAATTTTCTCAACAATTTAGAAGAGTTTTTTAGTACAATTAATCGAATTTGTTAGTGAAACATTTCTCTTTCATTTCAATGTGTTTCTAAAGTGTTTCCAGCCAACGCCATAGAGAAACACTAAGCCGGTTTATTCCTTGTGGTCTCTTTATTTACTATTTTCTTAGTTTTTGTTTTCTTCAACCGGTTAATTATTTTGGTCTTTGGTTGATTATTTAAATTCATCTTATCCTCTTTTCTATGAGGCTTTTTTGAGTTTTTCCATTGGAATTAGTTGTTTGTTGAATGGTTTCTCATCTTTAACCAATTCAAGATGCTCTTGAATTATGTGCATCCAAATCCAACTCTTGATTATGGTGAACCATTATCTTGGTTTAATTGTTATGGTACTTCTAAAGGTTCAGATGTCCTTCGTTTTGGGCTCAATTGTTCCGATTTTTTTACCTGAAGGAATCAAATAAACTGCTCATTACAATGGACCTAAATGATTTTTGAAGATTAATCTCAAATTGAGATTCGCAATTTACTTCAAACTTCAACTCGTTTCCAAATTGAACTAATTTTAATAGTTTGCCAAGTTAATGCTACAATTTAAATGTACTATTAATATTATTCAAAACAATTGGTTAGTTTAATTTAGCAAATTTTAATGTTCTTGCTTTTTTAGCGACAAATTTCTGTTTTACTATTTATTGTTTTTTTTATCAACAGTTCGTCAAAAAATCAATGAATTGGCCTTAAATCAAGTTTAGGAAATATCAATGGAAAGGAATACCATCTACATTAATGGTGAATAAATAAATTTTCGGGACTCAGTAAGGACAAATACATCATTCGTATAGCAATTGTTGGTGAATTAATTGTCTTTGGAAAAGGCGACTATACCTCAGCTCTTAAATCTTCCGCATCACAATATCGTTACCTGGCATCACCTGATGTCTGGGGAGCTTCAGCTCGTTTCACAACCTGGAATCCAGCCAAGGGAATGTACGAAGCCGAAATCGTATCACCAGTCGATGTAGGAACCGTTAAGTCATCGATTCGATCATCCCAACAATCTTTAACCGATCTTAATGATTCACTTAATGGATTGAAGCTTTTTGATGGTTATGAGACAACGAAGAGCATAGAAATTATTGCTAATTTTTCATCGATAGTGATTGTACAGATAGTCTATCAATATAACGAGCAGTTGAATGAACGGAGTCTCCAATCAATAAAGGCACAAGAAAGTAATATATATCTCTTTAGATAATAGCTATGATGCCTTCTATCCAATAGCCATTCGACCGGACATCGATCGGAGAAACTTTGGTTCCTTGGACTAATTCGTCGATCAACGTTAATTGGATAAAAGATATGTGAGACTAGTTATTGAATAAAGATATGTTGCTATTTAATTAAAAATGTTAATCCTGGGAACATTTAGATTACAGAGATCATGTTAATGATACTTTTGTAAAAGACAATGAAGAGGCTTAGAAATCGGAATAAATAAAATGTACATTAAGCAACTAATAGAAGAAGGAGATTGACAATGATTAGAGTTTCGAAGGGGAAGACAGATTATTACGAAAGGAACTTAATTTTTGGCCCAATTGTCGTGTTTGTTTTGTTGTTTCCATGAATCTTTGTTATTCCATGAATCGTGATTCTGTCCGTGGTATGGACCATGTTGGTATTGGTTTTGATATTGGTTTCGGTGTTGGTTGTAATTGTTGTATTGGTTTGGGTATTGGTTTCCATTGTTCCATGAGCCAACATGATGACGACCATCATGATTGTAACCATCATGGTGATTGTAATGGTTTCCTTGTTTCCTGAGATAATATTAGTGTAACTGTGACCAGAAGGATCAGCACCATTGTAAATGGCATCAGCAGAGTCGATTGAGTCAACAGATGGTTCGTTTGAGTCAATTTAACTCGGAATCCACTTTTATCGGCAATATAGTTAACAGTTCGGTGACGACCATCGGCAAGTTTAAGTCCATATGAACCGTGGACATTACCCCAACCATCACCAGATTCTTGTCGGTAGTTGGATGATCCCCAAGGATCATTGATATCATAACAAAATTGTATTTTCCACTCACATCTTGGTTTCGATAAATTTTACTCTGACCTCCGTCACCGTGATTTGTAGCACTAATTGTTGTAGAAAGCAACAAGAGCAAAGAAAAGAATACAACCAATTGATTCATTTTTAATAGAAAAGTTTTAAATGTTTTCGTTTAGTTGTTGTTGTTGTTGTTTCGTTGTTGGTTTGGACAGTTGAATGATAATTTCTCGAAATCTTTCGTTTTATATAGTAGACGAAAAGTGAAAATATTAATTTTAGAATATCTAAAATACTAATCGAGTGAGAATAAGGAATGAGTAGGACATAAAATAAACGGTAGTTAAGATAAGATCGAGTAGAAAAATCGGAAAAAGTTCATCTTGATAATTTTCTAATGATTCGAAAACTTGTACCAAGCAACCAAGGTTCAATTCTACTGAATTTGTGCATAAACATTTGCGCCAAATAAAAATAACTTTTTTCTAGTTAATTTGTTGATATTAACAATTTGAATAAAATAAAATTTCTTAATCAATTAGTTTTGTTACAATTCTAATTTCAATTTGGCTCAAATGTTCATCTCCACTCTTGTGGATCCACTCCAGCTAAATTTATCAGAGTATAGTTGACAGAGTTAATTCAGATGAATTCTGGTCCTTTGACCCTTATTTAGCCCTTAACTTTTATTCACTTGACCAAATAAAAAAAAATTCTTATTTCTGGCTTAAATTAATATTAATAGATGTTTAGAGCCTTTACCAACAAGATAATCGCACTAGCGGGATAAGTATAAATATCAAAAATTAATAATTGTGATTCCTCAGCATAAATTGAACTTTCACGGAAACGATAAATTTTGATGTTGATTTTTGGCCATAAGGGAAAAGAATTTGCTACCAAATCAACTCACTCTTACATTGAAAATTATCAAGATGAACTTTTTCCGATTTTTCTACTCGATTTTATCTTAACTACCGTTTATTTTGTGTCCTACTCGTTCCTTATTCTCACTCGATTAGTATTTTAGATATTCTCAAATTGATATTTTCACTTTTCGTCTACTATATAAAACGAAAGGATTTTCGAGAAATTATCATTCAACTGTCCAAACCAACAACGAAAACAACATCAACTAAACGAAAACATTTAAAACTTTTCTATTTCAACAATGAATCAATTGGTTGCTATTATTTTCTTTGCTCTTGTTGCTCTTTCTACAACAATTAGTGCTACAAATCACGGTGACGGAGGTCAAAGTAAAATTTATCGAAACCAAGATGTGAGTGGAAAATACAATTTTGGTTATGATATCAATGATCCTTGGGGATCATCCAACTACCGACAAGAATCTGGTGATGGTTGGGGTAATGTCCACGGTTCATATGGACTTAAACTTGCCGATGGTCGTCACCGAACTGTTAACTATATTGCCGATAAAAGTGGATTCCGAGTTAAATTGGACTCAAACGAACCATCTGTTGACTCAATCGACTCTGCTGATGCCATTTACAATGGTGCTGATCCTTCTGGTCACAGTTACACTAATATTATCTCAGGAAACAAGGGAAACCATTACAATCACCATGATGGTTACAATCATGATGGTCGTCATCATGTTGGCTCATGGAACAATGGAAACCAATACCCAAACCAATACAACAATTACAACCAACACCGAAACCAATATCAAAACCAATACCAACATGGTCCATACCACGGACAGAATCACGATTCATGGAAACAACAAAACAAACACGACAATTGGGCCAAAAATTAAGTTCCTTTCGTAATAATCTGTCTTCCCCTTCGAAACTCTAATTATTGTCAATCTCCTTCTTCTATCAGGAGCTTAATGTACATTTTATTTATTCCGATTTCTAAACCTCTTCAGTGTCTTACACAAAAGCATCATTAACATGATCTCTGTAACTCAATTGTCCAACAATTCCAATAAAAACACATCCCAAGCACGAGCTTCATTGACCTTTTTTTGCTTCTATCATTTATTCAACATGCAAATCAATTCAAATTTCATTTTTTCTGGTGACAAAATATTTAATGGCTACCAAAGTTCATTACAATTTAATCTCTGAATGTATGCAATCTAATAAAATATAAAAAGTGATTACAGTTTGGCGATGACATAATTAATTAAAAGGGTAAAGAAATACATTGAGTTTATTATTGGATTGCGAAAATGAGTTGATTTGAAATTTCCTAGGAAACCAAAGTATAAAATGCAAAAATGTCTTCGCTTTTTTCTGTTGTTTTTAGTCGATTAAATGATCAATGAACGGGTTTTAATGGTCTACATGGACGGCAAAGTATTTTCGAGTGTAAAAGATCATTATCAGGAACACAATCACAATGTTGACATTGATTAGGAATTGCGGTTGATGCAACTCGACGAACTAAACCAAGAGACCAAAGTTTCTCCAATCGTTGTTCCAGTGAAATGGCCAATGGACTTGGATAGAAAGCACCATTGCTTATGTGAGCTAAGGAGATACAAATATCTTTGGGAATTGTTATTGATTTTCGTAGGTAAATCTGTTCATCGGAGATTTCAGTTGATCGAATGTCGCTTGCTCGTTGAATTGATCCACTATCAATACCTATTGATGAAGAAATTAGAAATGATTAGTTACTACCGATTAGTTTTATCGATTTGGTTACAATTAACTTACCGAAAATTTCTCGGGTTTTCGATGTGGCATGTTTGGATTCGAATCGTTGATTGGACACAACATGAAGAGTGATTCCTTCGGATAAAAGTAAATGCTGAATATCATTGTAATCAAATCGAGAAGATTTTTCATCACAAGGTTTGCAGGTCAAAAGAACGATGTTTTTGGAAGCTGCTTTTCGGAAGGGATATTGTGATGCTAAAACGATAGCACTTAGAGCATCAGTGTAATTAGCGTCATAAGAATTTGCGGGAGCTAATTCCATCCTTTTGGTTGCCATCATGGTGTCTTGGTGTTTGAACAATAGTTCACCTCGAGCAGTGTGTCCATGAGCTTCACGAGATAAGCCACCGAATCCAATTACTCCGAATCGTGGGTCTCTCAAACCGATCTCTTCGAGCTCTTTGTTCATACTTCGAGCTAAATTTGGTAAATCGTTGATCAATTTAGTGTTACATGGTCTCTCTTCAATGACAAATACAACATCAGCTCTTGAAGATTTGATGGTTGGTGAGATATAAGTTCGGCTTCCAAACTCTTGACCAGCTTCACAAGTTAAACATTCAGATGGCATAGTTAACTCGAATCCATTAGCTCGAACTGATTCGATATAAGCTCCAGCAACTGTACAAAGAGCTTTTTCGGGTCTTTCTTGTCCTTTGGTACTCGCCATGTGTCGAAGGCACATCTCGAAGTAAAAACTGGGAGGAACGAATGAAAATCCATCAGCTAAAGGTGATTCTGAAGATGTAAATGTTTTGCTACAAAGTCGATATGCTTTACTTGATCGACGAATCTCATCACGGCGAACTGGTGTTCCTGATGGATTGGCACATGAGCCTTCAATTTCCCAGCCAGAAGCAAAGTTACTGACATCGGTTGCTTGTTTACCATTAGGAAGGAGATAATCGTTTGATGGTTCGTAGTCATAGGTACCAAATAGACCTTTGGTTCGTCCGAAATACCATCCAGAGAGAGACAATGAACAAAGATCATGACCAAGGAAACACTTAAAAGTTAAACCAGTAGATGAATCTTGAAGAACGATTGATTGATGGTGTCGAAGAATAGTTAATGAACCTTGAACAACAGGAAGTTCGACATTGTTTTTACCAAGTTTGACTCTTTTCTCAGATGGAATGATTTCAATAACAGATTCATCGCCTAAGGTAACTAGAAATGATTTCTTATTCTCGCCAAGGTATTTGACAATCACCGAAAAGCTTCCGTTAATAAAGTCTCTGGCCAACAAGTAGGAACAATCAACAGAGTTTAAATCAAAAGATTTTCCATCAAAAGTGATGAAATGTTGTCCACCCAAAAGAAAAGCAGTTGCTTTGAATGGAGGAGCCATTTCACTCCAAAGAGAAGCTTTCAATCCATTAAGTGAATCATTAAGATCGGATAAAGATTGTTGGGATGATCGAATCGACGATTTAACGGTTCCTACATCGACTGGTGATACGATTTCGGCTTCGTACATTCCCTTGGCTGGATTCCATGTTGTGAAACGAGCTGAAGCTCCCCAGACATCAGGTGATGCCAGATAACGATATTGTGATGCGGAAGATTTAAGAGCTGAGGTATAATCGCCTTTCCTTAATTCTGTCAAAATTTCAACATATAATCCGGTGATAATATCGACCAATGATTTGATATCGGGATTGGACATGATACGATTCTTTAAGCTGGTGTAAACATTTGACATTCTAACTGAAACCGATTTAGCTAATTTACAAGGTAATTTGGCTAATTGGTTTAATTTTTTGCTCATCATTGGAAAATATTGTGATTCAAATAAATTTGATTTGATTGATTGTGAAATACCAGTTATTAAATCATTTGTCCATTTAGAAATTGATGCTTTGATCTTGGGCCAATTTTCAGATAAAATTTCAGTCATATCGTCAACGCGACTTTTGCATGATGAAAATACGTCGAGGGCAAAGTCTTTCATGGAGTTGAGGTCAATTGTTGTATCGATCTTGTTGATTAGTCTATCAAACATTGAAGAAATGTCAATTTTTGGAATGTTGAACGATAGCTTTGGGGCATAATCGCCAACGACTCTTCTCAAAGGTAAAGTGTGTTGATTGATTTCGCTGACAAGTTCAATACTTTCGACAGTAATTGATTTACTGATTGGATCGTAAATGTCCACGAAAATTTGGGAATCAACTAATAAGGTAGATGGTATTCCTTTCCATTGAGGTTTTCGTAAGTTGGTTGAAGGCCAATCAATTGATTTCTTTAAAAGAAAAATATTATTAATAAAACAGTTAAGATGAAGGTTGACAATTTTGACTTACCAATTGTTTTGAATAATTTGGATCCAAGTTCATTGAAGCCTTTAAAACTTTACCGTTTCTCTGAGATAACATCAGTGAAAGGTCAGTTTGGGCTGAAGAATCGTAATTGAATCGTTGACTGTTAATCTTGACCGATTGATATGGTTCGTAACAAGCTTCAATTTTCCTCTTTAAATTGTTATTACAGAAAACTTTAACTGATCCACAATTACCTTCTAATTCACTAGTTAGTTGACCCTTTTTCGTTTTACCATTGATTGTCATCTCACCAATTAGATTGGATGATTTATCATCAGTCAAATATTGAATTCGACTTGAGATATCATTGAAACCGCCATGAGCAATATAAGTCATTTCTTTTGCTTCCATGTCAATGTTGAATAGGTTGAATCCTCGACGATTGACCAAATTATCATCGATCCAGGACCAATTGATTCCAGCTGATGATCGGGTCTTAGTGTAGCCTAAGTGACCTTTTAAAGCAAAGTTCACTTTCGACGATGAACCAGGTTGATAAATGGTTAATGCGATTGACTTGTTGTTCGAGGAAATATTTTCGAGATAACTTTCAATGATCAACGATTGTGAATCAGATTTTCCCAAATCCAAGATGATTCGAGAATCGAATGGTTTTTGTCCATCAGTTGGATCTTTTTTGAATAAAAATGAAACTGAAATTGGTCGATAAAGTGAAGATGAGCCGAATCGAAGTTTGTAATTAACATTAATTATTCCTTTTGATGGGATCGATTGATTGATCCAATCGGCTTCAATAGTAACCTTTGAACTTGGTTCTCTTTTAGCATCAGCCATGAAGTCGATAACAAACTTTGAATCAGTTGATTTGATTCGAGCTTCGATTATTCTTTGGGCCAAGATGATTTTTCCAATCGATTTAGATGAAGTTGTGAGTAGCTCAGCTCCGAAAGGAACACCATTTAAATTCAACAAACCGGAAGCAGTGAAATCGCCAGATTTTGATTTGAAAATGTAAGAACCAGCATAGACGCGAGAATGGGCACCGTTTCGATAAGTTATTTTTGAATCTCGACCCCATTGATTGATAATATCAGTGGCTTGTAGACTGTAACATTGGCTGGCTGGACAAACTTGTAATTCAATTTGGGAAAGAGTTGTAGCTGATTGTAAATTGAGATTAACCTTCAAAGGTCCTTTAGGTCCAGTGTAATCAGCGATGTATTTGGTTTCATCAGATGAAACATCGAAACGATTGAGTCCAAAACGAAGGACATCTGAACCTTTAGAGGAGACAATAAGTTGACCAAGTAATGGTTTACCGTAATCAAGAGTTAATTTGGATGCAAATAGTTCAAGATTATCTTGTGTCAGTGATACTTCATGAGTAATTCCCATGAAAGTTTTCATGTTAGTTTTGAGAGTTCCAATATATCGAGATGTTCGTGGTGATGAAAGAGTAACTTGACCTTCGACTTTTCCTCTTTGTTCAGAAAGAATTACATTAAATGAGCCAATTGTGATGATATCTGAATCAAATGTAACTGATTTTTTGTTTGATCGACTATCAAATTGCCCTTTGACTTTAGAACCATCAAAGACACCAGATAATGGACCATCTAACGAAAGGGACAAAGAACCACCAGAGGATTTCATAGAGTAACTGCTAGAGAATGAGGCTGAATCACCAGATTCTCGAGTGATTTTAAGGTTAGCACTTGATTGTGTTCCTTCAGGAGTCCATGAAAGGTTAATTGTAATACCTTGTTGACGATATTGATTGATCGGTGTTTTAACCAAAAGTTTACCAATAAATGATTTCTCTTTTCGTGAAACTGGTGATTCAGTATTGAGTTTAACTGAATAAGGTGAACCGGAAGAAGGTTGAATTTTAAGTTCACTGGTGATTGATGAGAAAGCATTTTGAGAGTGTTTGAACGATAAATGAAGACCATCGAATGTTGGATAACTTGATTTGGTTCCAATTTCCATTGTAACCGATCCAGAGCCCATGTGCATTTCGTGGACCAATTGATGGACAACTTGGTTATTTTCGTAGAATCGGAAAGCACATTTGATCTCTGACGGTGTCATCTCATGAACCAAAGAGATTGATTTACTAGGTGAATTTGGTAAATTGAAAGCCAATGAAACATCATGAGGACCAGTTAATAGATTGTAGTTTATTTTACTTGACAGCTTGGCCTTAACATTGGAACCATATTCCATGGTGAATGAATCTTTTCTTGAGGAATCGTTGGTTTCACCATCTCGAGAAATGAGTAGACGAGCATTTGGATCTTTATCTGCATCCCAAGAGAGATCGAAGGTGAAAGAATCAACGACCATTGGACCATAGACTGTCTTTAGAACTATTTTTTGTTTAGATTGTTTGACGAGGGTCTCGATTTTGATTGATCGATCGATTGGGTCGAAAATAATTTTACCAGATACTCTTGGTGAGTCCAAATTGAATGTGGTCAACAATTGGTCTGGTTTGAATGGTAAATTACCTTTGATATCCCATAAAGTTACTCGATTGACGATTGATTTTGATTGTAAATTGGCTGAATTCTCGGTCAATGAGTATGAAGATGCGTGTCGATAACTTGATGCTCCGGTGACAAGATTCAATTCAATTCCAGGTGACTGCTCATTGATGAATCCGATTTCTCCATTGAAAGTGTAGATTGAATTTGAGAATCGAGAAGAAGTTGATTTGACCTTTAATCCAAATTGATCGTTCTTGATTTCGCTGTTGTGAATGAATTGAGTTGGTTTCCAATCAATGCTAATCTTAGCGGTCTTAATTGTACCAAATGGATTAACTTCGCAATCGATTCTTCCATTGGATGATGATGAATATTTGAACCAACTTTTAGCTGAACCATTTAGTTCACAATCGATTGATGATTTCAAAGTTTTCCTTTGGATGTTTGAGGTCAATTTCAAGCTTGATGCTCGAGAATCGTAAATCACGGTGGCGATGTATTCGGATGAAATTGAAGGTCTATTTAAAGTGAATTGGAAATTGCTTGAAGATTTGATGACATTGTAAGTCGATGTTGAGCTCCAAGTTGGTGTTGACAATTTAATCTCAGATTTTGAGTTGACCGATAGTTGACAGTCTAATGAGAAAAGATCCACCGACGATTTCATTGTGTTTGATGTTAAAGTGAAAAGATCTTCCTTCAAAGTGGCTCGAGTTGAATGAATCAAAGCTTTAACTTGATTGTTCAATGAAGTTGTAAAGACTGAATTAGCTACGTTCATTTCAATTGCTCCATCCCAAGGTCCGTTAACAACTTTGAGGCTCATTCGTTCATTGATATCAAAATAACCATCGATATGAATAATAGCTGAGCCCGATTTTGTGGATGACGATTTAATTTCAAGAATTGAGGTTTTAGTATCGAGATTGATTGTTGTTTGGTGATCGAAACCAGATCCACTATCGAAAGTCACACCGATTGAAGACCAATAAGAGTAAGTCAAGTGACCTTTCATTTTCTCAATGTTAACGTCAATAGTTGATAGACCTTTGGGTTGGATTTTAGCATCAATTTCGTAGATTGGTTGGCCATTTAAGTGTTTGTAAACACTGTAGACATTAAATTGTGATGATCTTTGTTTGTTGTTAATTTCTGTTTCCAAGTTAATTGGATGTACAACTTTCAATGCATATCGTTTATCTCCGCCGGATGATTCGACCTGGAAAGTACCGATCACTTTGAGACTGTAGATTTCAATGGTTACTGGTGCTCGTGCAGTTGATTGGAATTTAATTGTAGCAACATCAATACCTTTCGAGGTTGTCGATGATTTAAGGTCAAAACTGTCCGCTGAAGGTGCATAATTAACTTTAGTGAAATGATCCAAGGATTGAGATTTTGATGTTAATTTAAGATTAGCATTTTGAGAGTTTGATTTGGAATCCAAAGCTAAACTTAATGAATGATCATCGTTAAGAGACATGATTAAATCAAGTTTTGAACTAAGATCGCTGTCAAAGTTTACTTTTATCAGAGATTTTGATGATTTGCTGGTTAATGATGAGAAAATCACTTTGTTAGATACCAATGAAAGGGAAGAATCATGATCAAAGGAATATTGACCAGAGGTCAGTTTAAGAGAACCTTTTCCTTTAACTGATGACCATTCGCTGTAAAGTGATTCACTTTCACCAAGTTTAACATCGAGAGCGGATAAAGATTCAGCTAATCGACCATTGATGAAGAAATATCTTTGGGACAGTTTTTGGGTGTTTGAGAAAATGGTTGTCGCTTCTGATGTGTGTTGGATTAAAGTTGATTGTTCCCAACCGGATGATGGATAATTACCATTAAGTGCGAAAGCTTTCAGATCGGGTTTGTTACTAATCTCAAGTCCGGTTGTTCCTTGGTCAGTTATATCAATGTCAAGTTTGAAATTCTCAGTTGAATCGATATTACATTTGACTGAGAAAATATCTCGTCCAGTTAGATTGATTTTAACATTTTTCTTGACTCGTGAAGCTTCAATGGTGAAAAATTTTCCGTATTTTTTCAAATTAAGATTTGATTCCAATTCTAATCGATCGATTGATTTAAAAGTAGCTTCTGAATGAAGTTCAACGGGATTTGAAACAAATTCAACGGCCAATGTTCCGGCTGAATGGTAATCTGTCTTCATTGATAAAATTGGTTTCGATTGTTGTTTGGTTTCGGTGGTGAATGAAAAAGTGGCCTGATCCTTTGAGAACGATGTGATATGATGTACCTGTGGTTTGGTCAATTTAAGGTCAAATTTACCGTTTTGAGGAGCAAGAGCAACGCTTAATATAACTGATTTGGTTATGATTGAAGTTGACCATTTGTTAATTGACTTATATCTACCGGCTAATTGGTAAATAAGCGATGATTTTGATTTCAATTCGGAATCGATGCCAATGCTTGATGGTGAATAAGCAAATTTGCTCAATTTGGTGTAACCATTACGTGACAATTTAAGGTAACCCAAACGGGTTGGAGCAAAAGGTGACACTTCGAGTTCAGCTGAGCCAATTGAATGTAAATCTATTTTAACCGATGAATTTGATGATTGACTGATTTTACTATCGATTGACCAAAGTTTTGATTGTCTATTCGAGCCCATGGTTGTGACGATAATTTGGTCATTTTCCATGACAAATGATCCATCTTGAGTGAAATCGATGTTGTAACTTGGTAGTTTGATTGACATGTCTAAACCTCGGGTCATCTTATATTGATTGTCGTTACCTTTAGAGTAGTTGTATCCCACAGTCCAGAAAGTAGATCCAGAAATCATGAGCTCGTTGTTACCAACGAATTGACCTTGACTCTTTTCGGAAAGTGAATCAGCAAAATTGACTGAAACGGATCCCAATCGGATGATTGCAGATGAAGTTGATCGGAAAAGTGGCTTAGTTTCAGCTCCAAAGTCAATTAAAACTTTGTGTTTGTCTCCATTGGATCGGTTTCCACCAGTAAAGTCAATCTTTGCTCTTGGTGAAGAACTGGTCAACTGTCCATTAGCCATGAAATTAGCTTTGTAATAGACTCCAGCAACATCGATGACAAGAGTATTACGGGCGAAAACATCGGAATAATCTCCGGTCAAACCGGTGAATCGTGATACTTGAGTGATCTTTGATTTACTTGAATAGCCTCGAGATGATTTATATCCCGTTTCAATGGTCAAATCGTTTTCAACCAATTCCCATGGAGCATAAGATGATTCCCATGTAACCAAGAAGCTATTCTTTGGCCATTTACTAGCCGAACCTTCAACTTTACTGATGTACTTGTGGATTGAACCAGTGAGCGATTGTTTGAATGAACTTGAGAGAGTTAATTTTTCCTCTTTGTTTGAATTTGGTTTTCGATAGGAAAGATTGAAGTTATTTTTCAGACCAGATTTTTCTCGACTCATTGAACTTGACATTTTGAATGAGATGAATCGTAAATCACCAAAAATGTCAACACGAGGTTGAGTCAAACTAACGGCACCTTCGATGTATGAAACACCGTTGTCAGGTTTAACAACGAAGTTGATTGAATTGTCCTCTTTGATTGACATTTTACTCTTGATGTTGATTGTCCGTCCGATAAGATGGTCAAGTCCAAGTAAAATTTCACCTTCATAAACCATATCTTTTCCAGGTTGTTGGTTGGTCAATCTCGCCATGACGGTATAACTTTTCTCGAAATCAACAACGAGTCCACCTCGAACTTGAACAATTTTATCTCCGAATTCACTAGAAACAAGAGCATCAATGGATTTGAATGGTGAATTCAATGAAAATTGGACATTTCTGTAATTCGATTTTGAATTGATCTTGTTGATGAAACCCAAAGATAATTTGTATTCACTGTTGACCATTGATCCTGGTTTATCGAAGCCAATTTTGTAAACTCTGTGTTCAATTTCATGATCATCAGGAATTTCCATGAAGAAGGTCCATCCTTTCATTGATTTATCGGTTTTACGAAGAGAAATATCAAAATTCATTGGTCCATTAAATGGTATAAATGGAGAGTTCAAAGTAAATAAAGGTTTGGGTGCTGTAAATTCACCACATAATTCAAATCCCAGAGATTTGGTGAAACTTTGGGTGCAACCATCGTGATGACGGGAGTTTGCCGATCGAATTTGTTTCTCTGAATTATCAGCAGCGATTGAAATTAGTTCACTCTTGTAATGGAAAAGGGTTAAAGTTTCCTTTGGAATGGACAAAGTGACATTAACTGGAATTGAATTCTTGTATTTGACCTGAGCTGACAAAGCGGGTGCAGAGTTAACTGTGGTCACCCATTTGAGTCCAGGTTGTGAGGTTCGAGCATCAAAACCAATTTTAACAGATAATTGGGAAGCAAAACTAAAAAAAAAATAGGAAACAATAAAAATAAAATGTGAGATGTCATGGATAAAATGTCAAATGATTAATTGATTTTGATTTAACCGCATCAACTTAATTGATAAAAAGCAAAACCCATGTGATCAATTTTAAATTGTTTGTCAACATGAAAGTGTAGTAATTGGTTGTCTTATAATTACCTTGGGTAAATTGTTTCGTCAGTTTGTTTGTAACCAACTACTGCTGTTGAATTAATGTCGATTTTGATTGGGAATCCATTGATACCAGGGAATTGATGAATTGAGTCCATAACCATGAAGCTAAAGGCTCGATCGTATTTAGCTGATTTAACAACGTTCTCGAGTCGAGAATCAAAAATTGACTTGATTGAATCTTTTTTCGCATCAGCTACGGATAGATAAATGATGGTTTTACCATCTACCTTGAGGTACATTGAACCTTCGACTGGAGCGGGAGTGATGGTCGCCTTTTTCACGAGAGATTCGAGTTTGACAGGTTTGAATGGCCATTGGACTGATCGACGAGCTAATCGATAACGATTGGCTTCAATTTCATTTGGATCGTTCTCATTGAGAAGAGCTGTTGCTAAGGTTTCCAAGATTTCTCTCCAATTTTTATCTTTAAGAGATCCTGATGGTCCAAAGAGACTCTGGATTGAATTTTCAAGTCCCTTTTGTCGGAAACCAACCTCTGCAAAATTGATCGAGGAACCGAAGATTGGAACTGAAAGATTGGCCTTGATTGATCGTGGGATGTATGATCCATCAAAGATAACATCAGATTCGACAACAGCCCCGACATTGATCTTGGAGAAATGTTGAGATAATTCATAATATCTTGAATATTTACGAATGTCTTGAGGGAAAGATTTCAATGGAATCTTGATTCCAGTTAAGTATAATTTAATTTCACTTTTCAATGGATCGGACGATTCTTGGATATTGGATAAATGTGAGACCACATATGAACCAACTGAAAGAGATTATCAAGATTTGGATTAGTTGGGATTAGTTGGGTGAGAATTATTATATTCACTTACCTTGAGTTGAGTTTTCATTTTCCAATGTTGTGATGATCGCTTCAATTTTAGATGCCGATGGACATGAGATGACATTTTTATAAGCCGCGATTCTCAATTCTGCATCGAGTTCAGGTAAGATGAACAATTCCATCATTGTTGGAGCGACAGAATCTAAACATGAGACTGATTGAAGTGTTTCGATTGCAGTTATTCGGACGAAAAGTGAATTTGAGTCCTTTGAACATTCGAGGATTGATCTGATTTCTCCTGTTGAAAGATAAGGAGCAACATTGGCTAAGCCCTTAAGTGCAACTATGGCATCGTCTTCAGTATCTGGTGAAACTGAACATTTATAAGCCAATCGTGAGGCCAAGGTTCGAGTAACTTCATTTACAATTGGTGATGAGGTACAATCAACATCGGGAGAAGAACAGTAATTGTGGACTAGCGCTGAAACGCCAAGAACTGATTGTCGTGGTAATGCTTTGTTCTTAATTAAAGGTAAAAGTGACTTAATGGAACCTTCAGTTGGTGAACTAGCGAAAGCCAATAAAGTTAACCAATAGTTTACAGTTAATGGACTGGATGTACCTTCGTTGATCAGTTCGACGATAACCTTGAGTGATCCTTCACTTCCGTCCATGATGAGAGCATCAGTGAATAGATCCGATAATTTGGATGTTGATGGACAAATTTCGTTCTTACTAATGGCTGACCAGATTTTGGATGTTGATGATGGCGATAAGCTTCGTAAATGATAGACAAGTTCGGCGAATCTTGATGGAACATTTGATTTGACTTCATCTTCGATGGAACTACAAAGATCTTTAAGTAAATTGATCACTTGATTGGCATCGCTTTTGGCTGAAGCCCAAGACTCTTTGAGTGTATGTTTAAAGGCCAATGTTTGTCGCTTAGATGAATCAATCGGTCGGACTGATGAGCTTGGAACTGAAGCTTCAAGAGTTAAGGTCAACATTGAATCGAAACCAGATGAGGCTGATTTGGACCATGATAGAGGAAGAAGTGTCGCTGAATCGGTGCAAATTACTCTGGAGACGATTGATTCTTTGGAGACTTCAATTGAACAGGAATGTTCATTGGCAAGAATGGGAATATTTTGAATACCATTTGATTCCGATGAGTATTTGGTTGGAAACAATGAGAATAGATTGGCTTGTCGGTGGTGACAATTTCGCAAATTTTTGGTCTTTTTAATTGATTTTAAAGTGTTTGATGAAGAGGGAATCGCAATCGCCTCATATTGTGTTTCACAATGACCAAGAATATCAATTTCAGTGACAATTGTCTTACCAGATTTTGGTGTTGAAGATACTTGAAGTGCTGAAATGATCGCTTTTTTAACATTAACTGACCAAGTTGAATCTTCAGCCGATGGACAAACCGAAGCTACCGAACCATCTTGGTACGAAAATCCAATAGGACGATCTTGAAGCTCTTTAATAGCCTCATTTTCAGATTCTAAGCCTTTAAGTTGAACATTTTTCAACTAAATCAAAACAGAAAAAAGTGCCAACAGTCAATATCACCATTCAACATAAACTCATTACAATTTAATCAACTAATTACCTGTAAACTTAATTCACAATTGTCAATGACCGAAACATGAGCTTTGGCCTTAACCTCGATCACTTGTCCGTTTCCTTCAGCCGAGCTTATTTGAGTTTTTCCATCATAATCGTAGATATAAGTTTTTCCAGGTTGATAGAGTAGATTTTTGGATTCTAATGGATATAAAATTAAGTAAGAAAATACAATTAACCACAACAATCAGGATATAATAAGTTGAGGATGTAATTATTAGGAGAGTATCAATAAGATTAAGTTAAACATTGAACCAACAAAAGATGAACAGAATCAATTGATTACAATGAATTGATTGAATTAACTAATCTGTCAACATTTTCTAGTAGTTAATCAATTGAAATGCCTTCAAGTGAACACATAATCAAGGATAGATTTTAATTTAATTTTAAAATCAATTTAGATGATCAAATGTTTGTTTTCCTAAAGTGTTTACCAGTAAATCAAACTGAATTAATATTGATTGGGTTCTATTAACTTTCAAGGTTATATTGATTATCTATCATCAGTTTAAAGATCAAATTAATTAACATCGGTAATTTGGTAAACCAGGAAAAGGATATTTAATAACATGTTTACTATTTCAAGGTACGTGTATCAAGTTAATCGTTTAATTTAATCATCAAGATAATTAAATGAATTGTGTATTAAGATTGCGAGTGAAAGTCAATTGTTGTTATTGATTATGATTAATATCCAGGAAAAGGTAATTACTTTGAGTGTAGTTTCAATGTTTAAGTGTTGATCTAAATGCTATAAATGAAAGACTCAATTTGAACAAGTTAATTCATCTTAATTGTTGATAACAATCAAGAAACAAAATCTTAATTACAAGTATCCGTAAACACTTGAACATTCATAGTCTTAAATGTTTGATCAAAGTTCAATGAAAACTTCAATTGTTCATCTACCTTATTATCAGATTTGACTCTTTTCTTATTAATTACAATCAGTTAATTATCTCTCTCTCTCTCTCTTTAATTATCATGATTAATTTTCAATTCTAATTACAATAAACACCAGACAAAACATGATTCATCAGAATTTCATTCTTAGACCTGAGCTAAACACTTTCTCATCAGTTATCATTATTATTATTCTTGATTGTGACAATCAAGAAGCAAGAAAACAAAAAGTGAAAGTGATTAAATCAGTAACAATTTAGTTCTATCACTATCTAACTGATTTACGTGACAATTAAACCGTTAATCAGGATAAACAGAAATACAGAACGACGAGAAACAATTAAATTTGATTCTTACCTGTACAATGAAGGAGCATTGATTTCAGATTTGGTTATTGGTAATTTAGCTGTTAATTGTTAACCATTAATGATGATGATGAAAGATTAAGAAGAAAAAAAAAAGAAACATAATTAATAATGATGATTAGAAATTTAATTAAACGGAAACGCAATGATGAGAAACAATTAATTTTGATTATGATATGAAACACACATTGAAAAGAAAAACTTTTAATCAATAAATTAATTACTAGATGATTTGAATTAACGGTAAAATGATTAAATAAAACAATTAAACTTTTAAAAATGGAAACAAATTAAACAATTAAACTGATCATTTGGTTTGGTGCAAAAATAGTTTTTGAAAAGTTTTTTGTTTTTTGTTTTGTTTTGTTTAATTACATTAAATATGATCAACTAGTTTCCATTGTTAATTTAATTGATTATTTGACTAATTAACTTAATTACTAACCTGGTGTAACTGTTGTAACACAGTAAAAAGTGAATATAATTAATCCTAACCTGAGATCCATTTTGATCAAGATTCTCAGTGCTAATGATCAACTAATTGTCTTCGCAATTTATAGTCGCCTAAATATTTTCACCTTCGCAAAAGTTAAGAGATATTGAGATAATCGATCAATGGTAATAATTTCATCTTCTTATCATCATCTTTTCTTCCTCCTCCCTCTTCTTCATCTTCTTCATCTTCATCATCATCATCTTCTCTTTCAAATAATTTCACCTCCATCTCTCATTGCTTATCATCTTCTTCACATGTGTCTTAACATATTCTACTTTTCATCATCTCCATCATCTTAATCATCTTCATCACCAGTAACTTGAGCGAAAACATCTCTCATCTTCTCATCATCATCATCATTTTCATCTTCCTCTTACATTTGAATTCATCTCAAGTTTTGAAAGGGTCGTTCATCGATCTAACAAGAGTTGATTACAGAGTGTTGAGAGGATAAGAACGATAACAAGTTAATCAGTGTATTACAATTAAACGTAAGAATCATGATTAACTTTACATTTCATTTTGACCATTTCATTAAACTAATCAGACATTTCAATCATCTTAGAATTGATTAGAACTCATGTAATTATAATGTGATTGCAATCAACAATCAATACCTGTTGATATACTACAATAATGGAAACTATTAATTGTCAATAACTAACTACAAATTGAGTAATTGAATAATTAATGTCCATTCTTTTGATTATCGAATCTTTGATTGTAATTTTCTAATTCTTTTATCATTAACTGTTTGTATTGATTGTTGATCTTTTATTCTGTTTCATTTTCATATCAAAGTTAATTCACTTTTGGAACTATTCAAATATTCAAATGATTAATATTATCAATTAATATCTTGGATGAAGTGGTTGATATATTAAACTGATAATCGACGTTGATTGTTATGTAATTTGATTTTACATCTAATACAAAGATCTCGATTAACAAGGTTGTATAAACTGGATTAATTTCTAACTCTCTGATTGATTGACCAAATCTTGGGTTAATTGTTTACTATTAAGACCATGGTTAATGAAAGTGTGACGGAATTGAAACAATCAATCACCCGAAGAGCGAGAAAAGTTGAATCTATTGGTAAAAAAGCTCAAAAGGAATTGAAATCTCAAGGGAAATTATTAAACTCAACGAACGCGAATCTAAATGAAACTGGACTGACACTCAATCAAATTGAAATGGATTTAATTGCAATTGAACAATATGAAAGTAATTTATGGTCTCGAATATTTTGTTGCTATTGTTGTGTCAACGCTAATAGAAGTGTCATAAATCACGAAGATCGATCGGTATCAAGTCAACAAATCGTCGAAACATTTACCGTTGAAGATCGTCTAACTCCCCATGAAGTTGACAAACTTTGGTGTCAAACTTATGATCCAAATGAACGTTGGTATCAACAAATGGAATCTCATGTCGATAGATTGATTGAATTAATTGAATCATTGGATCATGACATTGGTCAGCAAAAGGGTCAAGCGATCTCATTAAAAGGCAAAGTTAAATCGTTTGATATTAAATTGAAAAACAATCGGAAAACCATGAAACGAATGAGTAAAAATAAATAATAGTCGAACTGGTTTAATCTTAATCGTCTTATTTTAATCAAGCAAATATCAATTACAATATGATTGTCATAAATCACGATTAGTTTTAGTTACCAATCATCAACATCTTAACTACTCTATTTACTTTAATTATTATTATTGCGATTGACAAACAAATACAATCAACAATTTTGTTTACTGATTAACGAAACTGTTTACAGATTAAAATATAATAATAGTAACCATGATCACGATGATTACTAACCAATTTAATCTTTGACTATTCTTGACACTTTGTCTCCTCTTTATCAATCTAATGGTTAATTGTTGATCAAATTAGTTAACTATTTAGGTTGATCATTTCTCTGTTTGATTCCTTCCGGTTAAGTTAACTGTAATTCCTTTCACAATCAATGTTTCCAATACAAATTACGAGAGAAACTAAAATAATAATCTTCAATTTTAATTAACCCCTTTTAATGAGTTAATCTTATTATTAATAAATTATTAGTATTTGGTTTGATTGATTAACACACTCGATACAATTGAAATTGTTAATCAAAGTTAATCATCTCACAATTTGACTTGTAAAAGCCCTTGGAGGAAAATTTCCCATAAATTGCTCTCAAGTTTTTGCTTCAACAATTATCTTAATCATAATCTTGTTAATTTAGTTATCTAATTAGAAAGAAATGAATTAAAGATGAGAGTCCGAGAGAAATCAATCAAATCATTTGATCATCATAACGATGATACTTTAACTAAATTGGTGTTCACAATAACAGATTTACGCACAATTAAGTTAATCAGTTAATTTAGTATCTTTACTAATTAGATTTTTTTTTCTCTCTCTTCTTAATTGTGATGCAAGTAAATCAATCACAGTTTGATTGACATTATCTACTAATCATAAATCACGGACTCGATGAATACTTGGACTCACCTAATCCAACTTTCGTCATTAACTTTCCTTAATCCGGTTGTTTAATTTTTCTCCAATAAATGTTAATTACCTTTCTAATTGGTACTTAATCTATGTACAATTAACTTGTATCATCAATTTAAGGTCAATTAATGTTAATTTCAAACAATTATAAATCTTAAGTTGTGAGAGCAACAAAAAAAATTTAATCTTCAAGAGGCTTTTACATTAAATCAATTGATTACTCGTTGGTGTTAATCTATCAGTTAATTAATTTAATCGATTACATCAATTAATTAGTATAAACTTTATGTACTTGTATTTTGTTAATTGTCAAATGTTAATATCCTAGTTGATCATGTTAACATAATCACTTGTTAATTACATTGGTTCATTAAGAAAAATGATTCTACAATTGATTAAATTGCAACGACTTCGTTTCTCACAATTTACTCTTTTTTTTCCTCATTTCCTTTGATGACAATTAGGTAACAATGAACGTTAATTATGATTAAATGACAAACTAAACACAATTTATAATGATTAAGGTCAATGAACGATTATCGTACAATCTGAAATCTACCGATGATTATCATTATTGATCTAATTGTAAATTGTTCCGCAATTGATACTCAAAAAAAAAGTCACAACGATTTCTTTTTACAAATTTAATGTTCTTAATCAAATAGATAATATTATGAATTTAATCAGTTGATTTTCTTGTTGTTCAATATCATGAGTTTCATGATTAATCATTGAAAGATGGACGATTAATAGACAATCAATTTTAATTGTCGGTAACAGTTGAAATCAATATATCGGTTAATTGTCATCAAATGATGATGAGTATATAAAAAGGACCAGAGATAAAAGAGGCAACAATTTAATCAAGTTAAATTGTTAATCAATGTTAACGCTAATTAATATTATCATGTGATTGTCAATGGTTTGTTAAATTGTATTAATATTTTGGTGATTAAAACAATTTGATTTAAATAAAGTTTGAAGATAAGTGTTATCCAAAATAGCAAATGATTGTTGATGATTAAATTGTATTTATAACAACAATTAAGTAGCAATTAAAGATGATCTTAAAAAACAATCAATTTGGCCTCACAATCTTTGTTGTTCAATGATCCTCTTTTTAATTATCATTAAATCAATAGTTGATTACAGAACAGAATTGTGATCAAGTTACCAATTTCTAGAATTATCTTCATCTTAATCAATATTTCGTTTTGTTTTAATACAACAATTAATCATCTTCGATTGGATCAATAAGATAAGGAAGTTGTTGAAATGTTTTAAGAAAACAATTTCTCATGAAATCGAACCCTTGACAGATTCGTTGATTAGTTTGAGATGCAAGTTCAGGCCAATCGTGTTCGATACGTTGATCGGGCCTATTGTAGAACCAAATTCTCTATTCTTCCTTTGACAATATCGATTAACAATATCTTTCGATTTTCCGATAATCTGGTTGACTGGCGAAGATCAAGAATAACAATTTCGGTATAAGGTCAAGTAATTCCGTCAAATTAGAATCATCAAGCCCATAATCGCCTCTAATTGCGAGATTTTCAATTTCGGATACTTGATTAACAAGTTTCAAATCAGTCCAATTATCTGATACATAATTTTCCGGCTGCAATCAGAAAAAGTTAAATTGTTGACACTGATCTTAAACAATTAGCTGGTAACTTACATGATCCAGAACTAAATTTCTCAGTGAATTATTTTTGATTGTTTGGTTGATCGATAGTTTTTTCGGCTTGATTAAATGATGAGCACTTTCAACGGATGGACATAAATCCATGAAATGAAATCCAGGATAAGGATTAGTGGCATCATATGAATATAAACAAGCCTCCAAAATTTTTATACTCCAATACTGGTCCATCATATGAACTAATTGAAACTTTGATTGGAACCATTAGAACTTTTCGAATAATTTGATATTAAATTAATTCTGTTACTTACAATTGCGACTTCAATATGAAGTCTTTGGAGATTTTCAAATAACCAGAATTTGCAATCTCCTCGAAATGATTCTGAAACAATCAGCGAAATAAAGTTGCTCGAGATTCATGGTCAGTACTCTTGATATCGAACATGGGAATTTATCCCAACATGGTTCATATATTAATCCTTTCACTGATTTAATGCCTTCAATTACTTTGAATATGTCAATAGATTTAAATTTAGTTTCGTTTGTGGGACGAATGTCAAGAATCTGAAATGAAATCGAGACAATTAACAAATTTTAATCGGTGACCCTTTGATTGTGAACTTTATCAAACCCGAAACTGACCTTAAATCTGGGCAATAGTCCTAACAATTGACTTTGACTCAGTGAATCAAGTTTATTGAAGTACAGTCAAACCATTTAGGTTGAACCAAGTTTCTATTTAGCTCAGAATATTTTCTATTTAGTTTGAACTTGCCATCGGCTAATCCATCAGGTTAATCCGTTTCTCTAGAAAGGTTGAAATTTTTCTATTTCCTCGAGAAGATTTTCTATTTAGTTTGAACATTTTATTTAATTATTTATTATTTCTCCTTCGAGACTTTTTCCAATATAAATCATCATGTTCTCGTAATAATTTATACAATCGTTTTTAACGACCATTTCACTTGCTAGATCAACTCCATGAAAAACATCATCAGGTGTATTTGGATTGAATCTTTTGACATAATACTTGAGCTGGTTAAACATATTCTCTATTGGGTTGAGAAAAGGTGAATAAGCAGGAAGAAAGATTAGATTATGACCTTTTCCTTCAATTGTATCTTTGACTCCCGTAGAATGATGAAATGGGACATTTTCCATGATTATGTAGGCCTCTTTGATATCATCTCTTTCTAAAAAGCGCAGGAATTGATTGAGAAAGGTTACAAAATGTTCTGTGTCATAACCCTTTTCTTTAGCCTCATAAAAGTAAAGACTACGATAATTAATAGCCGCACAAATTGAGAAATGTTTTCCTCTGACTGCACGAGTCTTGACGTTAGCACGTTCACCAATACGACTCCATCCATAATTAACCGCGTGAACGGCGATGCCTGTTTCGTCGAGAAAAAAATTTTCTCGGTGTCTTTGAATTGTCATAAAGTTTCGAGCATATTCTTTTCTCGCAGCGATTCTTGTTGGGTCATTTCGAGCAACGGGAACAACTGAAATTCGTTTGAAGCTAAAGTTGAGTTTGTTTAAATAATTTCGAATCGTTTCGATACAAATTTCAATTCCAAAGTTTTCTTTAACTTTATCCTTTGCATCATCCAAAGTGATTAAACAATTTTCATCGAACCAAGAATTCAAAACTTTCACTTGTTCACTTGATAACTTCTTTGGTTTAATTCCTGGTGGTTTTTTGATTACACCACTTTGTTTGTATCTTCGGATAAAAGTATTAATTGAGTTCACAACCATGGTTATGAACAGAATGAGAAATCAGAAGGAAATGTTCAAACTAAATAGAAAATCTTCTCGAGGGAATAGAGAAAATTTCAACCTTTCTAGAGAAAACGGATTAACCCGATGGATAGCCGATGGCAAGTTCAAACTAAATAGAAAATATTCTGAGCTAATAGAAACTTGGTTCAACCTAAATGGTTTGACTGTAAATTGAATTCTTGAAACAGCCAATACTACTGTCGTCTAATTAGTATTAAGATAATTAAGTTAATTGTTGAACCAATTCATTACGATTAATATACTTACCACTTAAATATTTCACCTTATTCAATCTCTGAACAATTCGGACCCTCCAGCGTTGACAAACTATCAAATTATCAAAATGAATTGAAAATTAAATTCAGTTAACAGCAAAAATGATTTGCGATGCGATTTAAATGAACCGCTGATTAATTTTCAGATTATTTTGAAATGAAAATCTACTTCCGTAAAAATGTGAATGAGAGACAATTAAAATTGAGATTATCAATTGCTTACCTTTTGAACAAACAATTAAATCATCTAGATTTGTAATAGATTCAAAAATGGAGGATAAACAATCATCAGGTAGTTTTTCAATGTGAAACATTTCATCAATTTGTTGATCTTTTAGAGTAACATCAACTAATAAACGAAGAGATAAAAAGAGAATAGTGAAAACGAATCAAAAAATTGCCAAAAAAATCACTTCAACTGCCAATACTTGACAATACTTACTCGATTGATTGTTGTTACTTTTTTTTTACTTCATCTTATTTGTCAATATTATCAATTTGAGTGATCAAAATCAAGGCCTGATATTAAAAGAATCGATTGGTTAATGATGACCGGAAAAAATCAACTTCCCAATCATAGCCCTTCGGCTCCTGATTATGATTATTTGATTAAATTTTTGTCTCTTGGTGATTCGGGAGTGGGTAAGACAAGTTTCCTTTACCAATATACTGATGGTTCATTTGATGGTAAATTTATATCAACCGTTGGAATTGATTTCAGGGAGAAAAGAGTTGTAAGTTAATTGCTTGTTTTAATCATAGTTACGATTGTTTTCTTAACCAATGTAACATTAGTTAATCAATTGTTTCATTTTCTTAATCAGGTTTATAAGCCACAAAATTTAGACGGAGTTTCAAGGAGAAGTCAACGGATTCACCTTCAACTATGGGACACTGCAGGTCAAGAAAGGTTTGTAATGAAAGGAAAACAATTAACTTGATAAAATTTTGATTCTAATTGTGAAAAATTTACTATCAATCAACAGATTTCGTAGTTTAACAACGGCTTTTTTTCGTGATGCAATGGGCTTCATTTTGATCTTCGATATAACAAGTGAACAATCATTTATCAATATTCGTGGTTGGTTAGATCAATTAAAGACTCATGCTTATTGTAACGATCCCGATGTAATACTTTGTGGTAATAAGGTTGATCTATTTGAGAAACGAGTTGTTTCCGAGGAACGAGCTAAACAAGAGGCACAAAAATATGGGTGAGCAATTAAGTCTCAACAATTAAAACTAATCACTTTCAATAGAAACTTTTTCATTGAATAAATAGTGATCATTTGTATTCACATTAACTGTTATTTTATGACAAATGGAAAACAGTAAACCCTTTCTGTTCTGATGATTCTTTCGTGTATCGAATCGGCTGGTCCTTTAATTTCTTCCGTTTTTTATTCTAAAATTTTCAATGCAACTATTGAGAACTCTCCAGGTACTGTTTACATTGCTGCTGGTTTTGTTGTCGTCTTTCCTGCCTCTGTAATGATTTGGCTATATTACACTCGAAATACTTGGGATCTTGTACTTCGTGCAGAGGCCGAGGCCAAAGCCACAAAAGAACCACAAGACTCCACTTGTCAGTCAAAATCTGAGTCTTCTGATAGTGACGATTATCACAACAAATCGACTCCAAGAGTGCAAAGCAGAGTAATTTATCAGAGCCAAGAGAATATCGTTACAGTCCATTCCGATCATGTTGAAAAGAATTTCCCTGATCAAGACTCGATTAATTCGGACGAAGACGATGTTTCTAAACTCGAATCAACTTCAACTGATATTGTTCTTGGAACGGTTGAAATTGTTATTGAGAAGACTAATCAATGAAGTAATTGATTTCATGACATGAGAAACTGAGCCACTACTTAATTGTTAAACTGTTAGCAAATCTCATATTGTTTTTGGTGCAAAATTGTAAGATTTTTATCACTTTGTAAACCAGACGCTCGTTTTAATCGAGTAGTTGACACGGATTTGAAGTTAAACAATTATATCATGTGTAAAGTATTGGAAATTTAATGATAGAAATTAGTATAGAACATGTAAATTGTCAAATTCCATCGTAAAAATAAAGCTCATTTTTATATTCGATTCCTTTCGGTAAGTCACAAGCCTGTACATTTGCTGTTTTCTCGACAGTTATTAGTTAATATCTTTACCACTCAATCTTGTCTAATCACTTTGTTTAAGTCTCACAATCAAAGAGTAATCAATCAACTCTTTGATTTAGATTATGATTTTGGTGAATTATATCCTTAAACTCAATAACGAATTTGTTCATTGAAGTTATTCTTCTTATTCTCACCATCGAAGCTTTTACGCTCATGGAATAACATGGTGAAGATTATAATCAACAACTGATGGAATAAAAAGTGAAAAATTCTTTAGAACTTGAGATAAAATCCAGAACTTCATGAGGTAACCAAAATATAATACAATGTACTTACAATTATCATTGTCAACAAAACGATACCGAAACAAGCTTTAGGAAAGTCGAAATGTTCAACAAGATAACCTCCAATTATGGGTCCAAGGGCAGTTCTGATAATCATATATTACGATGAAACTTTTAGTTAAAATTCACTTTGCAAAAGTAAATTAGTTTCAATTTCTTACCCAAGGGCATAAGCAGAAACAAAAAGACTACTTATCATTGAACCAGCACCAACATCGTCTTTTAAATCAGATAAACTTGAAAGATCAAAAGAACAATTTGTTATTGATAAATTGGAACATTAGATTACCAATTATCATACTCTTTTTCCCTCATTGCTTGCGTAAAGTTGGAAACGAAACAAAAGGCCAAGCCCATTCCATAAACGATCTGAGAGAATACAACCAGTACAATACTCCTGTAGAAAAGTTTCATTCCCATTTAGAATTAGGTTAAACTTGATCTTTAAACTGTCAAACATACGGTTTAATTGGCAAAGGGTAAATAGGACCAACCAGAATGAACCCTAATATGATAAGTGAAGAACCGACGATATTCATGAAAGTGACATCTTTATATCTCGACATGAACAGACCAACGATCCAGGTAAAAATACCATAAAATAGACCAGATAATAAGAAAATTGATCCAACTGCTGATGATCGCAGATTAGCAAACTGTTAAGATGAGACGCAAATAATAGAATGTCCCAATATATGATAACGAACTCAATGTCGAAAATTTTACGCTTCTAATATGTGGCTCCAACATGGATTGATTGAACCCAAAGACGATGCAAAGTACAATAGTTATGAGGATCTGTAATGTTATCCTCCAATTGGATAAAACTTTGAATATTCCAGCACTTTTCTCATTTCTGGTCAATTCTTAATGAAAGATGAAAGAAAATCATCAATTAAACAAACTTAATCAAATTCAAAGTTAGAGATTCAAGATCTTGACTCATCGTGAAGGTTCATGAATATAAAGATAATTAGAAGTCTCTCTTTTTCTCTCTAATCATTAACAGTTTGAAAAGCAAGCAGGAATAGTTAATATTCAAGTTATCAATCGATGAGAGTCTTATATCAATCAAGGATGTGAAAGAAGAAAACAAAATAAAAAATAATCAACAAATCAACAGAAATTTCCCTTTGATTTATAATTATGTTTTTTTCCATCATCGTCACTTGCTATTGTTATTTTTTTCTAATAAATGTCTAATCAGATGATGAGATTTGCTTGATATTAAAATTAATGAAGAGTTTGAATGTGATTCAACAACCGTTATTGATTGAAATTCAATTGGTTAATCAGATAATCCATAATTGAACTCACTTGCTTTTCTCGGGAAGAGGACGAATAGTACTGGAAATGTAAGGGAAAGAAGAGCACCACAGACGAAAAAGGGCAAATCAAAGCCCCCAACCTAACAGAAAGAAAAAATATGTCAGAGACAAAAGATTCATTAGTCAATTATAATTAAATCAAAGATTGCTGATCGATTTGTTTTAGAACCAGACCTCATAAAGGAAACCACCAAGCAGAGGGCCAACGATCATACCAACACCATAACACATCTCAATCAAACCCTATGGAGGAAAAGAGATTGATTTAAAGTGAAAATTATCAGTACCAATGTCCAAAGTCATTTAGAGGATTAGCTTACAAATACTTGAGAGATGTGATTTGGATAATAGACCGGGATTGCGGCATAACACGTTGCTGAGACTGCTGCTAATCCTATTGATCCAAATGATCGGATTAAGGCACAAAGGTGGTGAATAGTGTCCCATTTGGAGCCCATTTTAATGCTCTGAAAAACAGATGAAACAATTGAAACAAATTAATTGTTAAAAGAAGACTAATATTTATCTTACCCAAACAAGATTATTCCAGTTGATCCAACAAAGATACCAGTTAAAATTGTCAATCTAAATCCAAGTTTAGGTAACTGGATAGAAAAGTGTAAAAACGAATGAGAGTCAAATCATTTGTGAGCCTTGACAAATTAACAAACAACTTTTAACAATAAATGCTACTAATCAATTGATGGTACACAAATTAAGAAATTATTAGCTGATTGTGATTAGTAAAGGGAAAATTGACTAAAAATCAAATGGAAATTAGGAAACATTGTAACCACAGTAACGAATGAGAAAATGAGCATTTTTCTTTAAATTTCAATCTGTAAGTGATTTAGATATAACTACAGTTAGAATTGAATTTTCTTCCTCGTTTCTATCAATCAAATTATGCTTGAGTGATATTGGTTTATGCTAATTTTTCAACGATTAATAGACGAGTGGGTTGTTGTGGTTTTCCACTTGTAACTCACTTAAATTTATTGACAATTAAGAAAAGAATGAAGTTATTATTTAAGTTGATTAGGTCATAATCATCCGATTAATATCACTTCGTTGATTATCATCACCAATATCACCATCGTCATCATCTTCCTTTCGAGTCTGGTGTTAATTTGTTTGATAAAAATCAATGACATTTACGGATAACAACATGGAGAGTCAATCAATGTGCTCACTGTGTGTTTATTATGTTATTAATTGAATTGATTCTTGTTCAAGTTGCTCATAACTAATTGATAACTAATTGATTTATTAGTAATTAATATTTAGACAAAGACAAGTACTCAGGAAAGAAAAAAACTTTTAAAGCAAATTATTGACAACAAAATAGAAATCAAGGTAAATTTAATCTGATTTTCTTTGGTAAGATTGTTAAATGTTGATTAATTTGTCGACTGATGAATCAAAATAAACACATTAATTATATTTCATTGGTACACCAGGTAATGATTGTTGGCAAAGAAAATATAAACAACATCTCGTCTCCTTGTAAGAGACGAGATGGAGATAAAAATAGAGATGAAGATGAGGATGAATATGAAGATGAGGATGAAGATGAGAATGAAGATGAAAATGAAGGTGAAATAAAATAATTAAAGTTTCTTTATTAATTACTTTTCATCATCAAAGCAAAAAAGAAAAAGTTACTTAACTTCAAGATACAACTCATTTCTTTTCTCTTGTTGAAATCTAATTCTATCAAAGATATGGTTCCAAAAAATGAATCACTCGGAATGAAAATATATCCCATTTATGGTCAACTTACAAATTTTCCATAGACTGGACACAAGATGAAGGCAATCACTTCCTGGATGGAGAAAAGAAACCATAGGTCGATGGAGATAGTCCTTTAGATTCAGCCTGTTGATTAGAAAGAAATCAATCAATGATGATTTATTTTATTATCACTTATCGGTTCAGTAGTGAATACGTTGATGAACTTTAATTAATTTTTCTACACGATACAAAGACCAAGATCATTTAATTACCTCTTTCGGAAAGAAAGGTGACAAAACACAATAAGCTGCTCCGGTTATGATGTTTATGTAAGCAAATACAGAGATGAGTAGATAATCACGACGTGACAATTTAATTGGTCCGGTTTGACTGATTGTCGACAATTGTGGTTTAACTGATTTACTCCAATTGGATGAAGAGTCATGATTATCCAGAGGAACCGTTGAAGATGATGAAATGTTGATTGTTGATGTAATTACTGTCGAAGTTTCAATTAATTGGGTTAAATTTCGCTTTTGCAACTTTTTCCCACACATTTTCTAATAGTTTAGATCGGTTAACTTTTCTTATGGGTAAATGATACTGTTAATTATATTATTGATTGATTTTTCACTCGATTGATTAGATTTTTGGTAAAGAAATCGTAATAAGGTGTCATTAATCATGCTGATGAAAACGGACTCAAAGAATTAATCTTCTATCATCTTCTATTTATTGACATGAGAGAAGCCTTTTTTTCTCGGCTCCCATTCTCCCTCCTCATTGAGATCTTCATCTCTAGATGAACTATCTTTCAGCTATCATGATTAGTGAGGAATCAATAGTTGATTACAGAACAGAATTGTGATCAAGTTACCAATTTCTAGAATTATCTTCATCTTAATCAACATTTCGTTTTGTTTTAATACAACAATTAATCATCTTCGATTGGATCAATAAGATAAGGAAGTTGTTGAAATGTTTTGAGAAAACAATTTCTCATGAAATCGAACCCTTGACAGATTCGTTGATTAGTTTGAGATGCAAGTTCAGGCCAATCGTGTTCGATACGTTGATCGGGCCTATTGTAGAACCAAATTTCTATTCTTCCTTTGACAATATCGATTAACAATATCTTTCGATTTTTCCGATAATCTGGTTGACTGGCGAAGATCAAGAATAACAATTTCGGGTATAAGGTCAAGTAATTCCGTCAAATTAGAATCATCAAGCCCATAATCGCCTCTAATTGCGAGATTTTTCAATTTCGGATACTTGATTAACAAGTTTCGCAAATCAGTCCAATTATCTGATACATAATTTTCCGGCTGCAATCAGAAAAAGTTAAATTGTTGACACTGATCTTAAACAATTAGCTGGTAACTTACATGATCCAGAACTAAATTTCTCAGTGAATTATTTTTGATTGTTTGGTTGATCGATAGTTTTTTCGGCTTGATTAAATGATGAGCACTTTCAACGGATGGACATAAATCCATGAAATGAAATCCAGGATAAGGATTAGTGGCATCATATGAATATAAACAAGCCTCCAAAATTTTTATACTCTCCAATACTGGTCCATCATATGAACTAATTGAAACTTTGATTGGAACCATTAGAACTTTTCGAATAATTTGATATTAAATTAATTCTGTTACTTACAATTGCGACTTCCAATATGAAGTCTTTGGAGATTTTTCAAATAACCAGAATTTGCAATCTCCTCGAAATGATTCTGGAAACAATCAGCGAAATAAAGTTGCTTCAATTTTAATTGATTCTGATTACAATCAATAAACGAAGGCTCAAATAGATTGGTAGCAATCATCTCGAGATTCATGGTCAGTACTCTTGATATCGAACATGGGAATTTATCCCAACATGGTTCATATATTAATCCTTTCACTGATTTAATGCCTTCAATTACTTTGAATATGTCAATCGATTTAAATTTAGTTTCGTTTGTGGGACGAATGTCAAGAATCTGAAATGAAATCGAGACAATTAACAAATTTACATTGGTGGCCTATTGATTGTGAACTTTATCAAACCCGAAACTGACCTTAAATCTGGGCAATAGTCCTAACAATTGACTTTGACTCAGTGAATCAAGTTTATTGAAGTAAATTGAATTCTTGAAACAGCCAATACTACTGTCGTCTAATTAGTATTAAGATAATTAAGTTAATTGTTGAACCAATTCATTACGATTAATATACTTACCAGTTAAATATTTCACCTTATTCAATCTCTGAACAATCAGGAACCTCCAGCGTTGACAAACTATCAAATTATCAAAATGAATTGAAAATTAAATTCAGTTAACAGCAGAAATGATTTGCGATGCGATTTAAATGAACCGCTGATTAATTTTCAGATTATTTTGAAATGAAAATCTACTTCCGTAAAAATGTGAATGAGAGACAATTAAAATTGATTATCAATTGCTTACCTTTTGAACAAACAATTAAATCATCTAAATTTGTAATAGATTCAAAAATGGAGGATAAACAATCATCAGGTAGTTTTTCAATGTGAAACATTTGACCAATTTGTTGATCTTTTAGAGTAAAATATCAATTTGATTTTTGGGATAAACAATTTGAATCACAATCAACAATACATGATTAGGATTAGGATTAGGATTACGCCTGCGTTGCTTAGGTCATTAAGCTTAATTTAATTACTCAACAAGGTTTGAATCACATCACGCAAATAGTTTAATCATCATGAAGATTCTGATCATGAAATGAGTTGAGAAAAACAGAGAAAAGTGATTCAGTTTTAATCATTTAATTTTCGAGAGATTTAAACGTTTTACAATTAGAGTCATTAAATTGTTGGGTAAAGAAAATTAATTAGTGAAAGTAAATCTAAACAACAATTAATTTGTAATAGAAATGATCACATTGATTGTTACTTTTCATAGTGTTCAATTTAGTAATATGATTAAGCCAAAGAAACGAGCAGTTTAAATCAACAGTAACAATTTAAATCTAAATTTAACAATTGAGAAACAAATTGGTAGAAATGATTTTTTAATTAGTTAATCAAATTCTTTCCCAGTCATTAAATTACAAGGATTGTTGTTGTAAATTCAGTTTAGTAATTAAAGTTTACAATCGTTTTTAAAAAATAATCGTTTCCAATTAACTTTTGATGGTAACAATTTAAAGGGAAACAATTTGTTGCAATTAAAATTGTTTTTCTCATCTAATGTTGTTAAGTGGTAACTATTTATTTTTAATTTTCTTTTCATTCAAATTCTAACGGAAGATAATCAATGTTATTGTTTTTACTTGCGATTGTTATTAAATCAGCATAATTTATTAAATATGTTCTATTAGGTAAATATTAATAGTAAGAAATTAAAATGTAAATTATTATTTAAAGTGTCAGATTTGTATAAGAGTAATAAGATTAAATTGATAAGGCCACTGAAATATTGGTGATAAGTCACTGGAAACGGTTTTTGATTTGATTGTTGATAAGTTAAAGGTCAGTGTCGTACCAAGCGGAGTATTGGTCATTATTGGCGACTTGGTCCTGTTCGTTGTAATATGGTGATGAATAGGGATTGTTAACATCCATATCTGATGTGGTTTGGACGTAAATTGATTGTGGATAAGGATTGAGGGGAGAGGCGAGTGATCCGTAGTGAGATTCAGCTTGTGGTAAGACCTCGTTTTCCACTTCACCGGCTGAAGTCCAATCATTGGGTTCGTCACGGAAAAGGGTTGCTGTCAGTTCCAATGATAGACGCTTCTTGTAATCCTGAGGTTTGTCTTCGGACATTCGATACAAAACAGCGGCGGCGAAAGTGGCTGTCACTTCATTTCTAGAATGGAGAAGTTCAGTAAGAGCTGCAGTAGCTCCTTCAGATTCAATAATGTCAACGGCTTTCTTTTCGAGGGACAGTTCACTGAGAACACCAACAGCAGATTGTTGAACGTTCTCATCGTCACAATATAAAAGTTGCACGAATGTTGAGATTAAGTTCATTTCTGTGATAATGGATCGATTATGAACATCTCGAGCTAACATCTTGAATGAATACATCGTTCCCTCGATGATATCGGCGATTTTAACACCATCCATGTATCCTGAAGATGAGTTTCTCTCTTGTTGAGCTTTGGATAAAATTTGATTCAACTTGGGAATAACTCCAGCTTCTCGTAATGGCGCTTGGTTGGCTGGACATTGAGCCAGATTGTGAATTAATCCCACAATTCCTTTGATTAGTGACCAACTGATCGGCAGATTCAAGAAATTTACAATATAATTCAAACCATCATGAAGACGGACATCATTCTGGGCTATTTCTGCTTCCTCATGCTGATGTGTCAGGTGTTTGAGAACACAAATTGCTGGTTCAACGATCTCTTGTCTATCTCCAGCTTGTTTGATGGTTGTAACAATCTTTTCAATTGCATCTAGTTGACATAAGAATAGTTTGTTTTGGGTATTGTTGCAGGTCAAATTGGACAGAATAGCGACCGAACAAACAACCACGTTAAGATCTTCGCTTTTGAGTAAATTGAGTAGAACTTGGAGAAGATGATCAATGTTGAGAATATCGGTGGCAGAATCAGATAAATTCCTCAAAGCCCAAAGGCAACTTAATTGTAATCTTCCGGGTTGTTCCAAGTGCATATCCAAAGCGTAGATTCCTCCGGCTTGGATGATCGCGAGTTTGTTACTTTGACAAACGGACAAAACTTTGAGCAGTCGAGATGTTGTCCAGAGTAATTTCTCATAGTTATGAATAAGCATAATGTTCACAATCTCTGGAACACCACCTGAGGCGAGAATAATCAACTTAGACTCTTGATTTCCATAAGCAAGTAAAGTTAAACATTCGGTCAAAAGAGCGAGGAATTTAGGATTGGGATGATTCAACAATGTGACCATCTTTTGGATCCCTCCGGCGAGTCGAACGGCCATTTTTGATCCTTCTTGATGAAGCAACAGGTTGTAGATCGTTGTCAAGGAATAGTAAACAACTCGATTGATTGGAGAGGTGAGAAGCTTAATTAAGGCAGAGATTCCATCGGACTTGAAAATCGCTAGAAGACCTTGTTGATGTTGAGATAAATTATGTAAAATACTCGCAGCACAAGTGGTTGTTTCAGCTTCGGCATTTGACATCGCCCTAAGAAGAGCGGACACCATTTGAGGAGAATTGATGAGTGCGTGTCGGAAGCGACTTTTCGAAAGATGGTGAACCATTAATGTCGCTTTGTTAACCACCACTTCATCTTCATCATTTAATAGCTTCAACAGCTCAGGAACAGCACTTGTTGCCAAATCAGCGTCATTCTGGTAATTAATCAAAGCTTCAATCGCCAATTTAATCATTTGTGCAGGTTCAGAGAGTCTAAGGACACATGTTTCTGATTTATTGTCGATCGATGTTGTATATAAAATGTCACTTGATAAATCATCGAATAGAGCAGCTCTAATACGCTCAGATCTATTTAATTCCAATGAAGTCATACTGATGAACAATTAATTGTATTGTCAGAACAACAAAGTAAAAAAATTGACATAAAAAAATGAAACTTTCTCAAAGAAAAACAAAGTGGCGATCCATCAAAACGATCGATTATCATCGATTCAAGTGACTGAAACGAATAATCGATTTTTCGATTTCTTTCTTTTTCTCTTTCAATCAAAAATCGATAACAGTTTTTTTGTAAAAATTGATAATCGTTTTATTAAAATGATAAAAATCAGAAACTATTAATACAAATGAGTCATCCAATCAACCGAATGACTAAATTGGCTTGAGGCGCTTTCTTAAAGTTTCAGTTTATTTCAAGTCTCACTTTTTTCATTGAGTTTTCATTGATTCTTTCTAATTACATTTCTTTTCATTATCTAATTGTAATCAACTTATTACCAGATTAATATCTCTGATTACAGTTGATTGAACATCGGACGATGAAGTTCATTTGGTGAACAGAATTATGAAGATTCTGATCATGAAAGGAGTTGAGAAAAAAAGAGAAAAGCGAAATAATCGTAAAGAGAAAAGTGATCAAGTTTTAATCATTTAATTTTCGAGAGATTTTAAATGTTTTACAATTACAACGATCTTTTATTTTCTCAATCATTAGAGTCATTAAATTGTTTGATAAAGAAAATTAATTAGTGGAAATAAATCTAAACAACAATTAACTTGCAAGAGAAATGATCACAACTATTGATAAGTAATTGTTACTTTTCATCGTTATTCAATTTAAAGATTTAATTGTCAAATAATATTATGATTAAACCAAAGAAACGAAAATTAGAATGAAAAATCAATTTTTATGATTAGTTAATTGTTCAAACTTATCTGTCATTCTTTATCCGTGTTAATTACACTCCGTTTCCCACTGGTTTAGATTCAGTCCAATTGTTGATTGATCAATTAAGAAATGAGATAAAAAAAAACAATCATCAATGCGATTAATTTATAACAAAGTTAAAGACAACAATTAAGAATCGAGTGATTCGAGATGATTTAATTGTTTCGAAATTTTTTCTTATCAAAAAAAAAAAGTTCTAATTCTCGAATTTTATTACAATTCGATTCATTGATATTCTTGGATTGGACCATTGGATTTGGATAGAAACATTGGAACTCATCTTGAAAATGTTAGAATTTGGATTGGAACAATTAGTTAATTGTTGACTTGGATACTCACATGAAAGGTGAATTGAAATTACTTCCAATTACTCTGCCTTGTTTTAAGTATCTCATTAAATTGAAAATGCCATTGAGATCATCGTTTCCCGATAATGAGGTTCTTCGAGCCCTTTTAATTGTTAACAATTTAACGAGGCAACAATTAGCTTACAGTTTAGGGAGTGATTAAATTTAATTACTTACAATTGGAGGCAGTCGCCATTTTCACAGATCCTCATTACTTGAGCTGATGAATGGTGATCAGTAAATGAGACAACAATCAAAAAAGTAATTAAAAGATAACAAGTAAATATATTAATCTTTGACATTTTTGGTGACATTGTTGATTGAATGATTAAGATCGATGGATTTAGATCAGTGGTTAATCACAATTTATATTCAGCTAATTGTTACAATTAAAGTTCACCAAGTACAATTGCTTAATCAACTTCAAAGTTTAAACTGATTTTCGTAATAGATTGATGATCAATTTTCACCCAACAAATGATAATGGTCTTGAATTTAACTGAATTAAATTTGATTCACTGAGTTGCTCATCACAATTAAATTACTCATAAACTGTTCAAATGTAGGTGGAGTTTATATTAATCACAATTAACATAAAAAAAACGTAATTTTGATTAATAATTTCCCAGGTAAAAAACAAGCAAAACTAAATTAAACATTCACAGTTTTGTTAATCAGATTGTTTGTTGTTAAATTGTGTTGAATTTAAATGAACGTTTAATTTGATTGTTTAACTACTCATTTAATGTTTGACAATTTAATTTGAATGAAATTACAATTTAATTGTGTGACAATCAATAATTTGCTTATGTAATCATACAACTATTAATACCTTACAATTTAAATTACAATTCATTTTGATTCATTTTTAATCTTGTTTATGTTTAAATTGTGTTTACCTTTACAATTATAATTATTTGATTAAATTTCACCGTTGATTGTTTTACTAATATAACAATTATTTACACAATTTAACAAGATTAATTTAGCAAAATTAAATTGCATATTAATCAACTGATTTACAAAATTATTCAACTAATCATTTGATTGTATTTAAATTTACCTGATAACCAATTAACTCTTGGTTACTATTTAATAATAATAACAATCAAAGGGGAAAATGATTGATTCTGGTTAATGTGATTAACAATTTAATCAAAAACTAAATTATGATTAATGTGAAGTTTAACAAAGGGTAAAGGTTGATTACCATCACCTTAATATAGTTTTTAAATCACTCTGATTCTAATCACGTTCCTTGACAGTTTAATTAACTCATTTTCTGCCAATTACAATCAACGTTTCTTTCACTTGTATTATCATTTGTTAATAATTACAATTAAGACCTTCTCAGAGTGAATGTAACAGACAATCTAATCAACTAATCAAAATTTTTAATCTTAAATAAACGTTAATTTATCTAATCAAATTAGTTAAATCGAAAAACTTAACATTGATCAGTTTGAATAACAACAATTTACTAATGACATTGGAAATTATTTCCAAGATCAAGTGGATCGATTTCTATGATTCTGATTGACATGATTAAATTTAGTAAATGAGTTTTGGTCGGAAATTGAATGATAATTAATACATGAGTTAATCGTGGGAACGATCAAATTTGTTTTATCAATGGGGCTGAAATATTAATAGTAGAAATGAATTTGGTGTTTACTGGATGATAATTTAAAGTTGATTGTGGTTAAGTGATTAAGAGTTGAGTTTATGGTTTAAACCAAAATATTAATGATGAGAAAAATAAACAACAGTAAATGGACATGATGATTGATTAGAGTCTCTGGAAATATCAGAAAGACTTGAAGATTATTAGAGGTCAAGGTCTTCATCTTGGTGGATTTGTTGAAATCTATTGGGATTAACATGTAGGTAAGTCTGTTATCCATCTAATTGGTGAAATTTCAAGAGATTCAGAACAGGAAACAATTCACTTGGGAAATTTTCTGATTTTTTTTTTGATTGTAAACAAAAAGAAATTAGAAATTTTCATCAGAAAAGAAGATAACTTTGCTTATGTCAATTAACAAATTCATGGGAATTCAGAGATTCTCGGATTACTTTTAGCATCATTAGTAATTGATCAGTTGACTGTTAATCATGTGATTCTTGATTTATCATTGATTGAAAATTCAATATTCTTTTGTGCTCTCCATGAGAAGAGGAAGACACCGGAATGGTTTGAAGAAACAGTTTTTCATGAAGTCAAATCCATGGCAAATATCCGGACCAGTAACTGATAATTTAGGCCAATCCATTTGCGCTTGCATATCAGTGTCAAAATAGAAAGTGATTAACTTTTTATTCCGTTGACAGTGTTGATTAATATAAACAAGAGATTTGTGGGTAATTTCAATTGATCCTCTCACATCCAGTAGAACCAAATTAGGTAGCAATTCCAGTAGTTCTTCAATATCTTCATCACGGATTTTCAGATTATTCCTTAAAGCGAGATGTTTTAAATTAGGAAATTTAGACAGGACACATTTCAATGTTTCCCATTTCTGAGCATTTCCTCCTGATCTAAAGAAAGGTGACCACTCCCTTGGATTATCATTTTGCTGTGGATTAAAGTAAAAAAAACAATTAGAAAAGCTGATTAACAGATCATATTCAATATTCCATAAATTCTTAAAGTCTTAAATTCTTGAGTAACTAACATATTCTATGACAAGATCTCTCAAACAATTAATTTTAATTGCTGTATTGAATTGGCAGTAAGTTGATTCAACATGGAAAAAGGCACTTTCCAGATTTGGGCAGAAATCAATGAAACAAAATCCGGGGTAAACAAGAACTCCGGCCATGGACTCGAAATCAAATTCCAATATTTTGAGCTTATGTAACTTGGATCCTTTATAGAGCTTCTGGAAACCTGAAAAGAGAAGGTCATATAACGGGAAATCACAATCGTAAATTGGGAATTGTTACTTAATTACATATGTACTTACAGTTTTTGTCTACAATATGAAGTCTACGAAGGTTATAAAACTTAGACGTCACCCCATTCATTTTAACTAAATTAACATTCTGAATGAAAACTTGTTTTAGTTGCCTAGTTATATGTTGATTTACAACGAAAAAATCAACAAGTTCCGTTGATACCATTTCAAGATCGTTGAGAAAGTATATTGGTGATTGATTTTTATCTAAGGTGTGGTTAATTAGCCCTTTAATTGATTTGACTCTTTTGGTTGCATTTTCCCAGTTAGCTAATCCAGTATAAGAAGTATCCAAAATCTAAATGGAGCAAATAAGAAAATAATAACAACTAAACATAAACAAATAAAGAAAATGCAACAAAAAAAAATTGTTGTTTTCACCTTTAGTCTAGGAAAGAGTTGAGCTAATTCTAGATTTTCCAATTTAGGTGAAGGACCAATGTAAACAATATTATCTGGTGAATCGGTAAATGGATTTTCTGTCAACAATTTAAATACAATTGTACAATATTATATTAGAATTAGAAAAATAATGGTTTGCCCACATACCGAGTAAATATTCAACTTTGGAACATCGATCTAAAATCAATAACTTCCACTTGGAGCAAACTAAATTGGGATAGAAAAGAATATAATCAAAGTAAAAATTAATCAGTCAATCACATTGTCATATAATCAAAAAGCAAGACTCTCACCAGAAGCACAATGTCTCAGATCATCCAATTGGTCAAGGAAATTGAAGATGACCAGTAAACATTCAGGAGGTAAACAATTAATACTCATTGTTTGTCGAGAAAAGATAAGATCAGAAGTAGTTTTAACCTTTGAAACTAAACAATTAATTAACAGCGAGATAATTAGACTTTAAATTGAATTAGTCACGAAATCAATGAATCACAATTAATTTAAATGTGGAGAAAACGGTTAATTGAAAAGAGAATAGAACAAATTAAATTCGAAATAGAATTTAAGAAATCAGGCGGGATAATTGAATTCGATCTTTTATCTTTTATCTTTTATCGTTCTAATTAACTAATGACCTGATTAATCTTGTATTTCGATTGAATTTCAATTGGAGACTAGATTTATCTTGTTTTAAGATTTAACTCTCACCGTCGGTTCAATTGACGAAATTATCTCATCAAATCTGAGTAATTCTGATAAATATAAATAAACAGTTGCAGTTAATTAAATTGAAGTTTATCAAGTGTAGTTTTATTTAGTCAGATAATAATCATGAGGAATCGTTTGTTCAGCACAACGTATAATGATTATATAAACTGATGATGTAGAAGAAATAGATATTAGTTAATCTTAATTCGATTCAACAATACGAAAAAATAATTGACAGTTTGAATCGTTTAACATTATTTGTAATTTAAAGTTTAAATCACAAAGCGAACGCTATTAATACCTCATGGGTAAATTGATTAATTAAGATAAAGACATATTAGAAATTGGTAACATATTTGCAGTAGGCAAGGTAAATCATCTGATTCCATCTTTGGTTCTGACTCAAATTCTGGCTCAGCTTCTGACTTAGTTTCTGGATCTGATGTTGACTCTAACTCAGATTCTGGTTTGGATTCTGGTTCTGGTGTTGGTGTTGATTCAGGTTCTTCCTTAGTCTCTGGTTCTTGGTTTGATTCTTCCTTAGGTTCTGGTTCAATTACGGATTCGACCTTAGACTCTGATTCAGATTCTACCGTAAGTTCTGGCTCAGATTTTACCTTGGATTCAGTTTCCAACTCAGGTTCAAGCTCTGGTTGTGGTTCAGGATCCACCTTAGATTCAGGTTCGGGTTCGGGTTCGGGTTCGGTCTCAGTCACGGTCACGATTTCAGGTTCAGGTTTGAGTTCGGGCTCGGGAGCACTTTCTGGCTCTGATATTGTTTCGGGGATTGTTTCTTGTAAAGTTTCCGATGCTGATTCTTGCTTCAATTCTGGTTCTGGCGTTGGTTCAGATTCTACCATAGGCTCTGGCACTGGCTCTGATACTGGTTCTGGTTCTGATTCTGGTACTGGTACTGGTTCTGGCTCTGGGTTAGATTCAACCTTAGACACCGGTTCAGGCTCGGATTCGACTTTAAGTTCTGGTTCTGGGGTAGATTGTACCTCGGGTTGAAGTTTCAACTCAGATTCTACCTTGGTTTCTACTTTAGGTTCGTGTACGGGTTCGGGCGTAGGCTCAGGATCAAGTTCCACTTTAGGTTCATCTTCTACTACTTTATTTGGTGTTGGTTCTTGATTTGTTTCTTTAATCGATTCAGACGCAGTCTCAGGTTCTGATGCTGGCTTAGATTCTGATTTAAGCTCTGGTACTTCATCTTGAGTTGATTTTGGTTCTGGTTCAGCGCTCGCCGCAGGTTCGGGTTCTGATTCAGTACCTAATTGAGCTTCTGGTCTTTTCTCTAATGCTTCTGTTTCAACGTCGACCTCAGCAACCTCAAGAGAAAAGGAAAATAAAAAGGTAAAATTACAATAACTGGAGGTAAAAAAACAATAGTATTGTTTCGATAAGTTGCAACGTGTTTATCATAATAATAATAGTGATAAATAATAGAAAATAGTGACTAAAGTTGAAATAGTCACTGAAGAGTAGAAACTCAACCCAGACAAGAGAGAGCAACTATTTCTGTTCAGTAGTTGTCTTAATTCTGTTTTTTTACTGAAAATGATTAGAAAAAACAGTGTGTACTCTCAAAGATAGAAAAATAATCAGGGGCAAACATGTTTACCTCTGATTTTAAACAAGTTTTATTTAAGAAAATCGCTTCTCCATCTTCTTCTTCTCCTTCTTTTTCCCTCCTCATCAATTTTTACTTTTATTTCAACCATAAGAGAGCAAGAATTGAGGAGAGAGAGAGAGAGATTAACTAAACCAAAACTATTTGGCAGTGTTTCATAAGGTAATGGGCGATTCAAGTTCTTCAAGTGATGATTCAAAACTATTTCAAAGCTCAATAGAAATTAATGATAATGAGAATATTGAGTGAAAAAAGAACATTTTTAACGAGAAATATTTTCCAATTAGCTTATACACTCAAGTCGAGTATTTATACCGTTGACATTGAAAATGAAGAGAGAAGAGAATCTTAAAAGATTTTTATCTGTCTGATGATCAGAAATAAATATCTATCAAGAGGAGAGGAAAATGAGGCTTACTTGATTGGGATTAGCATCTGGTTTGGAATTTCCTTTTCTTCGCAACTTGGTAGCAGCAGCACCCATGATGATTAGCGTTTATATTAATTGAAGTAAAATAGAAGTAACAAAAAAAATCAAAATAATAACGAGATATTCACTGATGAGATACACCAACAAGTGAAGGAATATCTGATTTAAAGACGAACAAAATAAAAAGCGGAAATAGGAGAAAAATCCAGAGAGAACCAGAAAATAACAGTGAGTAACAATTAACAGTTACGATGACAAAATTGATCCTCAATAAAGGCAAAGAGGAAAAGAAAGAGAACAAATGAAACACAAATGATGAATACGAGATGATGATGATGATGATTAGTGAGAACAGTTAATAAACAGGGTAGAAAAGAAAAGAAAAAAATGAGTAAAAATGTGAAGAAAATGACTTGGGCGTGTTATCACTTGTGAAAAGTAAAAGGCCAACAAAATAGTTTGTTCTTTGGAAATAACCGATCAAAACTACCTGATGATGAGATGAAGATGGCGATTTAACAGGGATAAAGACGAACAGAAATAAAAGACAATCAATCAAAGTTGCTAATTAACAGAAAAACAGGGGGACTGAAAGAGAGAAAAAGAGAGACACAATTTAGTTGCAATTAAACAACAATTAAAACGATCAACTAACAATTTAACTGAACATGAGAGAGAGAGGGAGAGAGAGACCAAGAGGGAGAGTCTGCATTTGTTTTCTTACCAACAGTAACTATGGAGGTTAACCGACACAGAGAAAGAAAGAGAAACAAAATGTAGACAGAGAAAAAGAAAGAGAATTTAGTGGTGCCATCTATCGGTTTGCCGATAAGTTCTTTTCAAATGTGTGATCCATTTGTTATCTTGTTTGGAAACGTCAATAAGATAATTAATAAATCAATTGAATTGAAAATTGATTGTTAATATTTCACTTTTTTTTTATTCAAAATAGATTAAATTGTAAAAAGGGAAGGAGGAAAGAGATATATTTGGTCAAATTAAAAGAGAAAATGAATCGATTTTCGACTAAATAAAAAGATGGAGTTACTTGTATTTCTCTTTCTATGTGATTGCACGAATTTTGTTTCATGATTGAGGATAAAAAATGGTAGGCGGGCGGTGATAATTTAATCATTGTACGAATTAAATGAATCAGTTTGTCTGGATGGATTGTCCATGAAGGAGGGGTTAACATCCATTACTAAATATAGTAATAGTTTATATACAAGTATCAATTATCCTCTATTATTGTGATTTCTTTCCAATTCGAGAATACATTCTCTGATTAAAACTTTCGCATGAATCATACCACGTTTAAAACGATCAGTTGAAGTCTTTGAACCAGAATAAATTGGTCGAACATCTCTGGACATTTCTCTATCACAGCAAGTAATTGATTGTATTTTGAGGTTTGATTACCACCATTTCCATTAATATTATGATTGTTTGTACCAATTGTTTGATAACCAGGATATAAAGGAATATTACTCTGACTAACAACAAGAGTTGGTGGACCACCAGTTAGAAAATTTTGTTGATATTGAGCAGCAAGTACTTGATTCATTTCGCTTGGTACAAAATTAGGATGAATTGGAGGATTATTATTATTATTAGAATTACTATTGGAAGGATTAACATTAAAGTTTAAATTAAATTGATCCATTGATTGCACTTAAAGGTGAAAGAGGGAAAAACAGAAAGAACAATAATTAACTATAAAAATCGATGAAATAAAAATAAATCTTGAAATTGGAAAGATAAAGAGGTGACAATAAAGACAAAAGATAAACGTCCAAAAATCAATGACCATAAATTCAACAGCTGATAAGACAAAACAATCAATCATTTAGACTAAAGACCAACACCAACACCATCTGTCGATCGATGAACTAAACTAAAGCACATTAGAAGTTTCAACTTGATGAGCGCCAATTTTAATTCTCACAATTATTGTTCTTTTTTTCATACAAAAGTATAAAGGAAAACATGAAAGAATTGAGTTTTTTTTCCTTGTCACGATTTTAGAGATACGATAATGTAAATTTTATTTTCTCTCTCATCTTGATTGATTGAAACATAAATCGATTAATTAATTAGCTATTTACCTTTAGATTGTTGAATTTGTTTGTTTGTTTGAATAAAAATTAAAAGTGAAGAAGAAAAAATTTTTTTTCAATTAATCGCGTCAAAGTTTTACCTCACATAAAATGGGGAACAAGGAAATGATCAACTGATGAGCTGCTTGATTTAGCTTCCTGGTCATTAAAAGGTAGAAAACATTTGCTCATCAATTAGCTGATCAATTAAAGTTAATTAACAAACGTTTCTGTTTAATCAACGATGAAAAACAGTTAACCGGATGAAAACATTTGTCTTTTTAAATAATTTAAATTCGACCTGCGCATGCGCACGTTTGCTCTTCGACCAATCAGGTCAAAGAGAAACTCAATTCAACTGATTACTTCAAATTTCAACTTCCATTTCCTGAGCAGTTTGAAAGTTGATCATTTAAACGGACTAATAGTTAATTTTAATCTTGTTTCTATTAATTGTTTACCCCAAGTTATTGACGATTAAATTTTAACATTGTCCCAGTTTTATGTGTGTTTCTTAATTGTTTCAATTTCACCACATAACCAATATGAATTATCAACGAGAAGAGTATGACATTGAAGCGGGATATTATCTCCATAGGGAGAAACTTGGTGAAGGTGAGTTTCTTTTTCATTTTAAAATTGATTCTTAATTAGAGTAATTTTTTTTTGCCTGGTTAGTTGTTGACTAATTTCTGTTTATTCTCTTACCAATTGAATTGTGTTTCTTTTCTTTGTCTCCTGATTCTTCAAGGTGGTTTCAGTAAAGTTCGGTTAGCTACTCATCTTTTGACTGGTCAAAAAGTGGCTGTTAAGTGTATGGACAAAACTAAACTTGGTGAAGATTTATTTCGTGTGAAAACCGAGATTAATGCTCTTAAAACTCTTGATCATCAGCATATTGCTAAACTGTTACAAGTCATTGAAACAGAACAAATGATTTATCTTGTTTTAGAGGTGAGTTGAATCAGCCATTTATCTTGCTTTTCGATAATTTGAGTATTTAACCGCCATTTATTTTCGTTTATTTTCAGTATTGTAGCGGCGGTGAACTTTTTGATTATATTGTTTCTAAAAATCGATTAAGTGAAAAAGAATCTCAGGAAATTATGGGCTGTCTTGTCCATTGTTTAGCTTATCTTCATTCCAACGGCTTTGCTCATCGTGATCTCAAACCAGAAAATATACTTTTCGACAAAAATCATAAAATCAAACTAATTGATTTTGGATTAGCTGCTCAGTCCAAAGTAAGTTATCCATTTTTTGTAGGATCAATTTTTTTCTAACTATGAACTATCATTGTTATTCAGGATAATCCACAAAATTTACAAAACCTACGAACATGTTGTGGTAGTCCAGCTTATGCAGCTCCTGAACTCATATCAGGTAATATTTATTCTGGACCTGCAGTTGATGTTTGGAGTGCTGGAGTTATACTTTATGCTCTTCTTGTTGGACAACTTCCTTTTGATGATGATAACATGGGAAATCTTTACAAAAAGATTCAGGCTGGCAAGTTTAGTATGCCTAGTTGGTTATCACCCGAGGCCAAAAGTCTCATCCAATCAATGATCCAAGTTGATCCTAAAAAGCGGGTCACTGTTAGAGAGCTTCTCGAAAATCCTTGGATCAAGGCTTATTTGCCCAACCAAAGTGTTGAAGTCCAAAAAAATGTTTTCGACGAAGAGGTTTTATGGCAAGTTCACAAATATTTTCCTACTCTGAGTTACACAGAATTGAGATCAAATATTATTCGTAAATTTGGCTATCAAACAGCAACCTATTGGTTGCTCAAAGAGAAAAAGCGACATGGACTTAAGGTAAACATTATTTTTCTCTTTACATGAAATTTTATTCTAATTAGAATCTAAAATGTAATCTATGTCTTTTTACTTGTTCTATTCAGAGTCCTCTTGCAAATATTCCCAGAAATTTAGCTGTCGCTACTCCTCCTCGAACAACACCAAAGACTGTTACTACTCCAGTTTCTGTTAATACTCCAACTCGTAGAACTCCTAAAGTCATAATTAGAGCCAAAATTGACGAAGTTCAAGCTTTCAAGACGCCTAAACTTTCAACTTTCAAACCTAAAGGGTCAGAAAATCAGAATACACCTCAAAGTCTCAACACTTCTGGTTCTGGTCCAAACACTCCGAACTCCAAGATACCAATCTACCTTAAATCTGGAGAAAGAGGCTCATCTCCTTTAGCCGTTGTCGCTAATACACCTAATTCATCACGAAAACGAAAGCTTTTCGGTGATATTGTTCCTGGCAGTGAGGATAATCAAGCTGCTGATTCAGGTAAATTATCAACAACTATTTCACTCAAGTTGAGTTAATCCCTATAGCTAATGATCGTTTAAATAATTTCTTAATTTTTAATAGAAAACTATTCCACACCACCAAAACGACCTCCACCCTTACAAACGCCCAAGAAGAGTTTGTTGAAGAAAATCATTGAATCAGCTACTCCAAGTAGAAAACACCCAAGAAACATAACATCTTCTGCTCCGACCACAACTCGAAACATAACGATGACCAAATTCTCTGACCCTCAAATTTGTATTGAGAAACTCATGCAAGCTCTCATTCAAAAAGGAATCGACTGTAAACGTAAAGGGTAAGTGAATAAATCGTCGAATCAACTCTTTGTTTTTTTCGGTTAAAATCTAATTTTTTCTCTCCTTATTTTTAGATTCGTTCTGAGTTGTGCCTTGAATAACAAGTATCATTCTATGTGCTCATTTAACTTGGAAATCTGTGTATTCGGTGATAAATGTGCCATCCAACGAAAAAGACTGAAGGGAGATGCTTGGCATTATAAAAGAATCTGTGAAGAAATCCTGAGGATTAGTAACGAAATTTACCAGTGTTAATTGTTTCCTCTTTTTAAAGTCAACAATTAATTTGAATTTGACGCTGGCACTTGCACCATAATGAAGACGTAAAAATTACGGAAATTTTTTTAACTCCTTTTGACTTGATCGACTTTAAATCACAATATGTGTTCAAAAGTAGTGTTTCAACAATACTCTTGATGATATTTATATAATAATTATTGTATTATACTCGAAAAAGCACCGAGAAAAATATGATGAAATCAGAATGGAAATTGTGTATCTTGAAAAAACAATTTAATGTATATTTTATATAATAATTATGATAATCATTGTATAAATCTCTATATATCCCCTCTTAACAAACGTATAAGAAATGTAATCATTTTTATAATTAAAACACAAACGATTTTTGTGAAATCACTCCCAAGATTGTCGATCATTTATCAATCAGATTAACAATCAATTGAAGGTGCATGATGACCGGTACACTTTTCCCATGGTCCGTCCTTATCATAGGTCATGAAATTGATGAAGTCAACTGTTTTAACTGAATCGAGAATATCGTAACCAGCATCAATGACCCGTTTGGAAGTCTCGATTGAATTATCGGGAATTTCATTTTCTCCGACCAAAAGTTTAGTTGCTAATTTTGTGATCGGTGATATAGATAAATCAGATTCAATTCTTAATCCCGCATTCAAAGTCTTGAGCAAAGGCCATTTTGTGGAACAATATCGACCCATGAAATCGTCGAGAGCCCAGACCATCGCACCTCCGATATCGAGGCTCTTGACGAATTCACTTATCTTTCCCATCTGTTCGGTGTCATCATAACCGACCCGTTGGTTACCCTTGAAAGCGAGGCAGTCCGGTTGTCGGGTCTCGAGCCTCAGTCCAACCTTGATTCTTTGGTGGTCGCAGATCTCATAGAAAGGAACACCAAGAATGACCTTTTCTTGGGCATTCCTTGATCGATCCAGTAATTAACAGTATAGTTAATGTTGAAAATATCATCGTTGGGGTCGAATGATGAAGACTTTTGTCTTGGGTATAAAGGTGCATGGTGATTATTAAACTTTTCGAGCCATGGTCCCATATCATAGGTCATGACATTGATGAAGTCAACGGCTGTAGATATAGCGGGAACATCGTAACCAGCATCAATGACCTGTTTAGAAGGTGAGACAGCAACGCTCAATATCAGTTCTTTGGTTCGAATGCTTGTCTCAATTCTCGAACGAAAAGAGCGAAATTGGCCTTGTCAGATTCTGGTCCATCTTTACAAATAGTTTGCCAGCACTTTGGGTACTCCCAGTCGAGATCTAATCCATCGAAACCAAATTTGGCCAAAAATTGCATCGAATGGTTAATGAAGTTTCGTCGAGCCGATGGACTGTGCACCAGCCTTGAGTACTTATCACCGGCTGAATCATCCCAACCTCCCAATGAAAGTAAAACCTTCAATCGTGGATTATTTTCCTTAAACCAGCGACACGTTTCAAGAAACGATTATCAACATCAGCCCATGAATCGTGAATTTTAATAGTCAATGAAGAGGAATCAAGAACAGCGAATCCATAATTGATAATGAGTACAATACTTTGAAATAGTGTCTTCGGGGATGAATTTTGCCCTGAGGTCTGTACCAAGCCTGTTCGGCGACATAACAGACGATCTTATAATCGTCATTAAAACCTTCCATTCGATCAGGTTCGGCGGTCGTTGTGGGTCCAATGGGTGGATGCCATTCATATGGATTCTCAGTTTCAACATCAATTACATTTGACGTTTGAGTTGTGGTTGAAGTGGAAGTGGAAGTTGGGGCTGAAGTCGAGGTGAGGTTGACGAGGTTGTTGGAGCAAAGGTGGATGAAGAAGTCAGGGTTAGAACTTGAAGTCTCAATTGAATTATCGAATTTCATTTTCTCCGACCAAAGGTTTAGTCGCTGTTGTTGTGGTCGATGTTGAACAGTTCGAAGGATCTTGAAAATATCCCTCACTTGATGGACAATTCTGACAGTTAATTGTCCCAAAGAGAAGAGAAGTAACAATTAAACTCGAAAAGGGTAACATGTTAAAGTTATAATTTCGCACAATTTAAACAGTCAAGTATCACTTAAGGTTAATTGTGAATCGTCAACTAACATGATTAGACAATTTAGTTTGAAATTCCGTTTCCTTTTATCTAATTGCCCTGAATTGTTTATATCAAGCCAGTGAAGAGGGAAAAAAGAAAACAATTTAAATTATCAAACTGCTTTCCATTTTATTAAATGAAACCTTTGAATTAATCACGTTCGTTAAACATAAAAACAAATAGAAATTGAAATTGACAATGTTTGATCATAATTGTAGAAAAGCAGAAGGGATATTATCTCCATAAGGAGAAACTTGGTGAAGGTGAGTTTCTTTTGATTCTTAATTAGAGTAATTGTTTGTCGGATTAGTTGTTGACTAATTTTGTTTATTCTACCAATTGAATTGTGTTTCTTTTCTCTCTCCTGATTCTTCAAGGTGGTTTCAGTAAAGTTCGGTTAGCTACTCATCTTTGACTGGTCAAAAGTGTATACAAAACCAAACTTGGTGAAGATTTCATGGAAACCGAGATTAATGCTCTACAATCTGCTCTTGAAAATTACGGAAATTTTTACTCCTTTTGACTTGATCGACTTTAAATCACATGTGTTCAAAAGTAGTGTTTCAACAATACTCTTGATGATATTTATATAATAATTATTGTATTATACTCGAAAAGCACCGAGAAAAATATGATGAAATCAGAATGGAAATTGTGTATCTTGAAAAACAATTTAATGTATATTTTATATAATAATTATGATAATCATTGTACTGTATAATCTCTATATATCCTCTTAACAAACGTATAAGAAATGTAATCATTTTTATAATTAAAACAAAGACGATTTTGTGAAATCACTCCCAAGATTTTCGATCATTTATCAATCAGATTAACAATCAATCGCTTCGAAAGATTTAACCTCTTAATCCCGCATTCAAAGTCTTGAGCAAAGGCCATTTCGTGGAACATCGGCCCATGAAATCGTCGAGATCGAGACCAGACCATCGCACCTCCGATGTCGAGGCTTTGATGAATTCACTTTTCTTTCTCATCTGTTCGGTGTCATCATAACCGACCCATTGGTTACCCTTGAAAGCGAAAGGCAGTCCGGTTGTCGGATCTCGAGCCTTAGTCCAACCTTGATTCTTTTGGTAGTCGCAGATTTCATAGAAAGCGAGGTAACCCTTTCTCGGTAATACCCGGTTCACCTTTGAAGAGCAGCAGCACCATAGCCTTTCAATGAATGTGAACCAGCTTGACCTTCGAGGGCGAAAGAGCGACCATAGAAAGGAACACCAAGAATGACCTTTTCTTGGGCATTCCTTGATCGATCCAGTAATTAACAGTATAGTTAATGTTGAAAATACCATCGTTGGGGTCGAATGATGAAGACTCTTGTCTTGGGTATAAAGGTGCATGATGAGCGGCAAACTTGTCCCATTGTCCGTGCATATCATAGGCCATGACGTTTATGAAGTCAAAGTCTTTAGCTAAAGCGGGAACATCGTAACCAGCATCAATGACCTGTTTAGAAGGTGAGACTGCAGCGGTCAATAGCCATCCTTTTGATTCGTATGCTTGTCTCAATTCATGAACGAAAAGAGCGAAATTGGCCTCAGATTCTGGTCCATCTTTACAAGTAGTTTGCCAGCACTTTGGGTACTCCCAGTCGAGATCTAACCCATCGAAACCAAATTTGGCCAAAATTGGATCGAATGGTTAATGAAGTTTCGTCGAGCCGATGGATTGTTCACCAACCTCGAGTACTTATCACGGCTGAATCATTCCAACCTCCCAATGAAAGTAAAACCTTCAATCGTGGATTATTTTAAACCAGCGACACGTTTCAAGAAACGATTATCAACATCCCATGAATCGTGAATTTTAATAGTCAATGAAGAGGAATCAAGAACAGCGAATCCATAATTGATATGAGTACAATACTTTGAATTAGTGTCTTCGGGATGAATTTTGCTCCTTGAGGTCTGTACCAAGCCCAATTGGTGAAATAACAGACGATCTTATAATCGTCATTAAAACCTTCCATTGGATCAGGTTCGGCGGTCGTTGTGGGTCCAATGGGTGGATGCCATTCATATGGATTCTCAGTTTCAACATCAATTACATTTGAAGAGTTGTGGTGTTAAGTGGAAGTGGAAGTTGGGGCTGAAGTCGAGGGTGAGGTTGACGAGGTTGTCGGGCAAAGGTAGATGATGAAGTCGGCGGGTTAGAACTTGAAGTCTCAATTGAATTATCGGAATTTCGTTTTCCCGACCAAAGGTTTAGTCGCTGTTGTTGTGGTCGATGATGGAGATGAATCAGATTCACATTTGGTGTTTTCTTTCCAATCGCAGATTTTCAGGTCAGGATTAAAAACGGAATTAGAACCGCATTCGTATTTGTGAACAATTTTTCCGCTCGAACAGTAGAAAAATTTTGAACAGTTCGAAGGATCTTGAAAATATCCCTCACTTGATGGACAATTCTGACAGTTAATTGTTCCAAATAAAAGAGTGAAAGTAACAATTAAACTCGAAAAGGGTAACATGTTAAAGTTACAATTTCGCACAATTTAAACAGTCAAGTATCACTTAAGGTTAATTGTGAATCGTCAACAACTAACCATTAACTAACATGGTGACTATTGCTTATCCATCATATTTATAATCAATTAATCAACTCCCTTTAATGTTAATTAAGTTTATGATGATCATCATCATGGTGAATAGTTAAGCTCAGCCTAGTTGATTGAAATGCTAATTACCTTCTCAATTAACTTTTCTATTCCCAATCAAAGTTGCTTTGTCACGGAGTTTTTTTTTGTTGTTTGTTTCCCAATTAAGTAATTACAATTAACTTATTCCTTAACAATTAATATTATCAAACATTATTACGATTACCCGCTTATTTACATGAGTTAATTGTTTCCCTGCTAATATAAGTTCAATTGGTAATATTTTAATATTTTAATATTTTCAGGGGCATCAATCAACTCTAATCAAAGTCAATATAATCAAAAATTAAGTTATCATCAATTTTAATTATTTATCGAATACTGAAAATTTAAATCTCATATGTAAACACAATTTAAACTAATAAATAATTATATCATAAATTTGTCTTTTATTGTTAACCTAATTGTCAATGTTACCAAGGAATGAGAAAGTTTAATTGTAATTGTTGTTTACAATTAACTGATCATTATCTTAGGTAAACTTAATCATAATGGTGAAAAATTTATTGACAGAATCAACTTGTTAATGAATCTGTCAAATCAAATCTAATAGCGAGATGATATCAATCAAAACGGTTATACAATTGATTTAGTTAAATTAACAGTTAAATTGAATTTAACTGATTTTCCCATTAGGTGTGAATTGATTAACAATCAATTGACAATTAATTCATATTGATATTAACCCTTTGCTTAGATTTTTAAACCTTGATCATTGTGATATTTTCATCATTTGAAATTGAAATTAATTTAGTTAAGTCAATAACTATTAATAACCCGTTCTGAGCATTTGAAAACAATGATTTCTAGGTAGATGATTAGTTAATTACCATAGTATACAAGTCTTATATAATAATAATAATAAAGAAATATGGTAATTATTTAATTGTTATTGACATGAGTTGATTAGTAACAAGATAGGGCGGAAGTTGGATAATTAAGATTAGCTGATCTATTCAATACAATAGACAATTGAAATATTACAATTAGTTTATTATTATTGAAAGAGTATTAGAAACAATAAGGAAGAGTTTCCAATTTGCAAGTTAATTGTCGTTAATCCTTGAATTAATTACGTGATACTTGGGAAAAAAAAGATAATGGAAATTGATTAATCTCACTTTGATGTTTTTCATCCGAATCAAATTAAACATCAACAATTTGTTATTTTGATGGAAATTTTTCTCAAATCCAAAGTGATTTCAATGAATATTGAATATTCAAGGTTACAATTGATATGGTCACATGAACAATATCTCATTAATTTCATGGTAATAATTAAATGGTCAGCAAATGTCCCACCAAGTGAACAGTCAAAGCTTAACACACTTAAAGGTTGATGAGATTTCCAATTCAATGTTTCGGCTTTGTCACCATTTTAATTACATTTCAACCATAATTATCTCAAACCTTGATCCATATTCTGGTGAAAATGAACATCGGTGTGAATAACATTACCCTAGAAATTGCCGACTAATCAAATAACGTAATAAAAATGAGTTGAACCAACTAATTGTGATTCTATCGATTCAACTTAACTGTATCACTTTTGTTGTGTCAATTGTTTATTACATAGTCTACCATAACAATGACTATTAGATGGATAAATGTACAACAGAAAAACATTAAATCAAGAGGAAGAACAAAATAATTAACTAATTTAAGGTCAAGAAAAAGTTAGTTAACTTAATCAATTCAAATTGTGTTTTGATTTCGATTAACTCATGACAACATCGATTAATCGATGTTGAGAAAAACCAAATTCTCAAAAAAATTTGGTTTTTTTTGTCTTCGCTTTTTTGTTAAAATGTTTACAAATCTTTTCCGTAATCAATTAATTGTTGCAATTAGTAATTATATTTTGTACTATTTTCCGATTCTATTTTAACTCTTACCTACTGGTCTACCTGTTAGCCTTTTTAAATGTCTTTAATCCTCTAGTATGTCAACCATTTTATTGTTTTCCTTTTCCCAGATCATTTTGTTTTCCAATATCTGTCAATACATTAAGTGCTTTGGTATTAATTGTTTGTTAATGAATGTTGTTCAGATCAATAAGGTGAGTAATTAGAGATAAAATGATTCTCTATTATGAGAAGCATCTGTTATTTTATCTGATAACTATTGGAATTGTTAAATTGGTTGTATTGTTTTACTTAACGTTATTGTTTTGTTTTGTTTTTCATCTACGTTTTGTTATTCAGAAAATATTGGCTCATGTTGACCTGTCGTTCATTACAGAAAAGGCGATGGCCTATGTTGATCAAATTAATTCCTTGTTTTCTACTGGTTACTTATGTTGTTCACAAAATGACCTAATACTATCAATACTACTACTATTGGTGAAGAGAAATCATCTTCAGATTATGATTACCAACATGATCAAACCTTTTTAAATTCACCTCAAGTCAACTCATTATCACCAAAGGCTTTACGAACCTTAATCAACTCTACAAATAAACATGAGATTATCTTCAATATTGATAAATATGATTCAATAGGAAGTGATGATCCTGTAATTGTTATACAGGTTCATGATCGTGTTGAATATCTTCGAGCTCTGATTAATTCATTGGAATCTGTTGAAGGTATCGACCAAAGCTTGATTATATTCACTCATGACGTTTATAATCCAACTATCAACACAATCATTCAATCAATTAATTTTTGTAAAGTAAGTTTTCCTATTCTTCCTGTGATTTGCTAATTACTTGATATTAACATGTTTAAATTAATTGATTATTTTATCCAGGTTATTCAACTGTTTTATCCATTTTCCATCCAAGCTTATCCTAATGAGTTTCCCGGAACAGATCCCAAAGATTGTCCTAGAGATATAAATCAACAAAAGTAAGTGATCATTTGAATGCACCATTTAATCAATCAATCAATCATCTCAATTAACTCTATCATTATGGTTATCGATTAGAGCCATGGCCATGAAGTGTCAAAATTCAGAGCATCCTGATACCTATGGACATTACAGAGAAGCTGTTTACACCAAACGAAAACATTATTTAGGTAAATATTAGAGTATTTCGATCATTTTTATGTACGATTTGTTTAATCAACCTTTGATTAAACTCTAATTCCAGATGAATACAATTTTCGACAAATTAAATGCTACAAAGAATCACAATGGACCTTTCATCTTTCTCGAGGAAGATCATTATGTTTCACCAGATTTATTATTCATGTTCAATGATCGCTTACAAAATCAAGTATGTAACTGTTAAGTAACTTGCAATTAATTTACTTACTAATCTAATTACTTTTGATTGTAGAAATAATCTAGATGTTAACCTTTATACTCTTGGAGCTTAAAAGATTTTAATTATGCTTCCAATGGAAATAAATTGATATTAATCGATGGGTTTCGAGTCAGCATAATATGGGCTTTGTTTTACTTCGAGATGTTTGGAATCAAATAAGATCATGTTCTAAGCACTTTTGTACATACGATGACTACAATTGGGATTGGTCTTTACAACATATAAGCGAAAATGTTTGACAAAACCTTTGATGACTTTATCGACTCCCGGTGAGTCTCTCATCTCACTTTTCAATTGAATCTAATTAATATTCTCTCCTCGTTTCTATCTAAAACAGAGTTTTCCATGTTGGAGAATGCGGAGTTCACCATAAAAAGTTGACTGCTCAAAGAATAAACTAATTTCAAAGTACAGCAAACCCTGAAAGCAGCAATTAAATACTTATTCCTAGTCAATTGATTCTTGCAAAATCAAATAGAAAAATTTCAAAATGCCCAAAGTAAACGGAGGTTGGGCTGATATTCGAGATCAAATTTTATGTCTCCAACAAGTTGTTCATCCCGAGAAAATGGAACCATTTAAATAAGCCAATATTTGACCAATAACTTTTCCATCATTCCATAAATTAATTAAGTTCAACAAAAATCATTCTGGTGCCCTAAAGATTCAAGAAATGGAGAAGCAAAAAAAACTAGTCCAATCAAATGATTTCCAATCAAATATCCAAAGGTTAACCAAGATCATCTGAACAACCGTACAAAAGCAATCAACATCCTCGAAATGTGTGTTTTAATCCGAATCATATAAAAGTTAATTGATTGAAATGTTGAACTTGAAAACGAATCAATTTAAATTAATTTTCGAAATGAAGCAAAACATTAGGATTGCCCGGGTTCGAACCGGGGACCTTTGCGTGTGAAGCAAACGATTACCACTACACTACAAACCTATTCATGAGAAACTCAGATTAAGATTATATTAGAGGTGAATTTAAAATATTCTAGGTCATTTCAGATCTCGGAGAATAAATTTAAAACATGACGTTCGAGAATTATCTGGACTGGATTAATCAGAGAAAAAGAAAAAAAGTTCCAATCAGATTAAATGAACAAGAGTAATTAATCTGTTACTTTTGTTTAGATTTTCTCATCACCGCAATGCTAAATGCTGTCTCTAAATTACAATTTTGTATTGTTAAATCAGCTTTGCCTTCAACAATTCGTGAACACACAAAGTATGATTATTATATACATCAGAGCTGTGTTTCCTTCCTGAATCATCAAATGACAACAATTAACAATCAATGATTCAATTTGAGGCTCAACAGGTTTTGGGATTGAATTTTTTGTTCCCTCTGTTAGCTAATTGATAACAATGATAATCTATACAAACCTCATCATATTCATTTACGTTGACATCTCTAGCAATTAAATAACGAAGCACATGAACATGTCCATTAGTTGCTGCAAAGGAAAGAGCTGATTCTCCATTTTTACCTCTAACCTTTGGATTAGCACCTCCAGCGATTAACATTTTGACGGTAGTTAATTGTCCATAACCTGCAGCCAAATCAACAACGGTGAAACCATTTTCATCGACCTGATCAACTCCGCCAGCGTCAAGGTGATGAAGGTAAAGTTCCCCTTGAGCAGCTAATTCAAACACGGTTCTCTCTGGTATTTCACGAATACTTTGGGTCTTAATGTTTCCCCGTTGCAGGTTCGTCAATATAGTTGAAGGCTGAAGGGACATTTTCAAGGAGAAAACAAATGCGAAAAAAAAATAAACAAACAAAACAAAACAAAAAAAGACAAAATTAGTTACAACGTTAACAGAATATCCAACCCATCGCTTATGAATCCAAATGGAAATTAAACTCACCCTGTAAGGAGTAAAAGCACTTCTTCCATCTCTGTTTAATTTAAGAAATTTCATCTGGTAACTATTGTTATTAGTTGATTGCTGTTTCCCACTACGATCTTCCATGATGATCAATCAAAAGACTAAATGAAAAACAAAGTGAACCTTGTCAATCGAGTCGATTACTTTCAAGACAATTCACAGAGTAGATTAAATTATTAACTAATCGATTGATTTTTTAGATTCACTTATTCTCCATAAGTAAGGGGATAGTTTCATCAATTAGATTAATGATTAACTAATCCATTGAGTTGAAAGGTTTTACTATTTGGATGTTGATTGTTGAAGCAAAAAAATTGAGAGTCAAATGTTTGTTTACATTTACGAAAAAAAGTAAACATTAGATGGCGCACTTTTGGTTGATAATTTGAGTTCGCAATTCAAATCAGTTGGAATTAATTGTTGCGGATTAATTATGTTCACCAATAGAAAAATTTATAGTTTATATGCTAAAGGTTTATTCTTGAAATATGGTTACAAATTTTGTAAAGGAAAATTTAACAATATCTCATCTAGAAAGATTATTTCATCGGAATTTTGTTTGCTGATTATTTTGAAATCGTAACAAAATATTGTTATTATTAATATTATTGTATTGTTATTCTGATGAGAGAGAGAGAAAATTTTGACTGTTAAGTTGTTCAGGACCGAAAAGTGATGATCACAGTGAGAAAATTATTCCATTTTTTGATTGGAACTTTTGTTTTGCATTAGAAAATCAAAGAAAAAGAAATTGATTTGGATTTAATTAAGGCACAGTTTGTTTTCATCACTTAATATATTCATCTGTTTGATAGATTTAATATCTTTTGTCTCAATAAGATGAACAATTAATGTCTTTCAACAATTCACTCTTTCAGGTGGAGGAAGATCATTTTCCGAATTCAATGAATCTCCTTGTCTCTGGATACATTAGGAAGACAGGCTAGCGAAAAAAAAAATCGATTCGATTCTCGATTTGTTTGTTTATCAACAGCTCGTGTAGACTTGAATGTAGAGCAAAGTGAAGGTTCCAATGGTGAAAATTGATTGTATCACTGTAAATGTGGAACTTGTAATCAATTAAGATTAAGAGAAGGAAAAATCCAGAATTGAGAAAAATTTAGTAAGCGTAGAGTAGAGATGAAAATCGAAACCATTTTAAGGATGAGCACTGATTCACTATTAAGTTTTGAGTGATTGGTGATGTTGATGTTATTAAGATAATAAATCGATTACAATCAAAATAAAGTCAATAAATAGTGTAAAAGGGCTGTGAATAGAGTCTCTTTTCATTATCACTTTCATCATCAGGATCTTCTCCATCTTTACCCGGTTTCCTTGATTCCTCACTAAATGCACCTTCTTCAATCAACTGGATTAATCGATAAATCTCAGCCTTATCTTTTAGATCAACTGAACCATTCTCATGGGCACTTATGTCTTCCTCTTGGTGTAACTCACAATATCCAATTGATAAACTGAATAATCAAAGACGGATGACCATAAACACCGATAGTAAATTCAGGACTAAAATTGTCAGGAATATCGACAATATCAATACCACATGAGACACTTTGTAAAAAATCCAGAGAATTGAGAAAAATTTAGTAAGCGTAGAGTAGAGATGAAAATCGAAACCATTTTAAGGATGAGCACTGATTCACTATTAAGTTTTTCAGTGATTGGTGATGTTGATGTTATTAAGATAATAAATCGATTACAATCAAAATAAAGTCCAATAAATAGTGTAAAGGGCTGTGAATAGAGTCTCTTTTCATTATCACTTTCATCATCAGGATCTTCTCCATCTTTACCCGGTTCCTTGATTCCTCACTAAATGCACCTTCTTCAATCAACTGGATTAATCGATAAATCTCAGCCTTATCTTTTAGATCAACTGAACCATTCTCATGGGCACTTATGTCTTCCTCTTCGGTGTAACTCACAATATCCAATTGATAAACTGAATAATCAAAGACGGATGACCATAAACACCGATAGTAAATTCAGGACTAAAATTGTCAGGAATATCGACAATATCAATACCACATGAGACACTTTGTAATTGATGAGTTTCCAATTCAGTGGTAGGTTTTACTCGGTCCTTTGCTATATAGAGATCAGCATCACCTTTTAAAGTTGTTAAATTACTCTTAATCTATTAGTTGATTTATAAACATAATAACTGTAATTTGAGGCATAAACAAGATCTTTACCAGAGACAATCTGGTAACCATTACAAATAGACGACCAGTATGCTAGAGTAATGATCAGTGAGAAAAGAAGCATTTCAATGTAAATTTCAAAGAAGAGGAAAGGAAAGAACAAAATGAAAATATAATAATAATCAAATCAAGAGTAGTAATTAAAAAAATCCAAGACAAAAACAGTTGATGAAAACCGAAGGAGAAAAAAATTTAGAAAATGAAACAACTAAAGCGACCATAGAAGCGTAAATATAACCAAAGACAGGGAAAGAATTCACAATACTCGAGAATAATGGTAACAATTAGCAGAGATTTAGATGATGAGACATGTGATGATAAACAAAATAACGATAATTAAAGGATTATCTAATTGATTCATCTTAAAGTTGTTGTTCCAAAATTGTAACAAGAAAAATTGTAGAGAAAAATTCTGCTCGAAAAATAGCTCCATATGTTGTTCCTATTCTCACCGCAAAGGCATGAGAGTTAATCTTTCCTTTCATTTACTGTTTACATTTAATTCAATTCAATTAGCTAATTATTGTCTATTTATTTTCCTTTATTTTTCTTGTTTAAATTGTAACTTTTTTTTGCAAAGATTAACATGATTATCTCTCTTTATAACAGGTCGATACCTTTTGTTTCCAACAGAATAAAATTCATCTTTAATTCATCTACTAGAAACTATTCTTGGTTCTGGCAATCTGATTCCTCAAGAGCAAAAAACCTTAAGGTTCAGGTTGTTTAGTAAGTAATCAATTTAATTGTTTCCAATCTCAATGTATTCTTGACTTTGTGGTGATTAACACTTGTTACTTGTTTTCTCTGTCTATATTTGTTATTGTTACTGTTCAGTGTTCCTGAGATATTACCTGATGGACCTGCTGATAATCCGGCATTAGTTATGCCGAAAGGTGAACAACAAATGATCCAATTTAATGACATAACTCCAATTTTATCTTTACGTGCATTTCTTAAAAATGTCACTCAATTTGACGCAATTTTGGAAGAATTAATCTCAGGTATTTCATTTAGCTATTCTATTCCATAAGTGGTAATCAATTGTTTCTTGTTGACTTTCATTTTCTTCATCAGTATGATTTCAGGTTTTCTTTCAATATCCATTGTATGTATTGTAATGATGTTTTGATTAATTCTTTCTTATTTATCTTTTAGGTGCTGATAGATTTTCATCTCGACAAATCATGGAAAAAATTGATTTTGCTCTTGTACCAATGAGATACAACCTTAGCCTTGCTCATGTTTTGACTCATGCTTATCCAAACGATTACAAATATGGAGTCTTGGATGATATGTATCACTCGTATTTGAAGCATGAGTTAATCGTTTTAATCCATTAACTTATCATACAGCTTGTGAAATAATAGAATCAACAAAAGGTACAAATAGTTTTGATGAATTACGTCAACTTGGTCAGTTTTACCGGTCGATGGAAAACTTTACGGCTTCCATTTAGATCTTTCATCTCAAGAAGTTGTGAATGAACATTACATGAGTATTCAAAAACATGTCAGCACTTTTATTTCCAATGTGAATAATTGTATCAACAAGGAAGCTGTTCTGATAACCGATGAAAACATAATCAAAGCCTTACCTGAAAGTTTCGTTACTAAAGTGTACAATAAAACGGGGATCAAGCTACCATTGCATCCAACGGCGTACGAAATTTTCATGACCTTTTGTCCAGATAAATCAACCAGACGAAAAGTTTGGGTTGCTTACAATTCTAAGCCCCAGCAACGAGATTCGGTAAACAACTCGGTGGAATTTGAAAACAAGAGATCACCGACATAAATTGGCCAACGTATTGGGCTACGTTAATCACGCTGAAATGGTGATCTCTCGTAAAATGGCTGGATCAGTGGAAGTGGTTAGCAAGATGTTAAACTCAATCAATGAAAGAATTAGTGAAAAATATAATCAAGACTTAGAAGACATTAACGCTGAAAAGGGGAGAAAAATGATCGGCCAATTGGATCTATGGGATCTGCCATACCTCAAGAGAATATCGATAAACAGAAGGTTTGGTTCTAAAATCGATGTATCCGTTACTTCCCATTGGACAAAGTGATTTCTGGGACGTTTCAATTAGTTGAAAATATGTTCGACATTAAAATCGAGCAAGTTGATTCAAACAAATGTCAAGTTTGGAGTCCACACGTGAAATTTTACCGTCTCGTTGATAGTAACTCAAAAATTCTGGGCCACTTTTACTTTGATCCTTATTGTCAACGAGCCGACCGTTATGGATCTAATATTATCGAGTTAACCAATAGAACGAAAACTTTTGAAACTACTCCATTGGTCGTAGCATTTTATCGAAAAACCCTATTACAAAAGAACAACAAATTCTTTTGTCTTATCCAGAATATTTAAGTTTTCTATCCATGGTTAGTACTTTCATCTTCCCTGTGAAACCAATGATTTTATACTAATTGTTTTCTTCTCACATGACAGATTGGTCGTATTCTAACAATAATAACGTCACAACACAATTACTTCGAACTGTCCACAATTTACAACCTGCCCAAAGACCGATTAGATTCACTTGGACGCGTTACTATTGTATGGACTTCACAATCTAAAAGCGGTGCAACTTTGTGTGCCAATATAACAAATGGTGAACCTTTACCTGAGCAAACTCATAATCTTCTCAAAGAATGTAAGACGCAAAGATTATTAATTTTGGCCTATTAGTCTTTCTAACGATTATTTTCTGTTTTGTTTTCAGATATTTTATCTTTCGAGAGTATTGGATTAACCAATGATATCTTCTTGTCGGCTTTTGATATTGTACACTAACACTGAATTCTGGAGAGATATTACAAGTATGGCGGAAATACATGACGAAGTTTGAACTACCCAAGGAATATGCTTACCCTTTGTCTTTTAATGAAATCGTTTCAAATGATGGTGCTGCCGGTTATTACTCGAAAATTTGGTCTCAGGTCAGTGGAATTGAGAAATTATTTCACCGTTATTTTAGTTATTTGATTGATTGATTTCAATTTTAATCTCAACTTTTGATATTTTCCATTTAGATGATCGCTTCTGACATTTGTGCGGCTTTCTTGGAGGGTGAAGCCAATGGCGGACTAAAGGAAGTGGGCAAACATTTAAGAAACACTATTCTCTCAACCAATTCATCTCTTTTAAGTGCTGAACTATTCCGTGAATTTCGTGGTCGCGATCCATCATTAGCACCACTTATAGAATTACATGATTTAACAGCAAAGCGAATCACACAATCATAAAACTGACTAGTCTTCATGGAAACAAAATTAATAGATTGTGAATTAATCAGTTCATCAGCTAATTTAAAATGAATGAAACTTTTTCTTTGTACAAAATTTAACAATAACAAAAATCTGATTATCTAATTAACAGACACTGATTATAGTTTGTTAAATTTTATTTGTAAAACTTTGGCTAATCTATTAGTATATTAATGTGTATTATGTATGTTATTTTTAACTTCAAATCAAGAAACATGATTAATGTTGATTAAAGATCAGTGGTCAAATTTGTAAATGTAAATTGCTCATCTCTTGATTTAAAACATCAGACCACAATTATCCTTTCAACCAAAATTAACCACAGTTAAAATGGTAAATTATCTTACCTAAATTGTGATAGTGAGATGAAGATTCAATTTAATTGCAATCGACCGATTGAATATTAATCAGTGATAACAGTAACCACCCTTTCTTATCCCTAGTTGATCCTCATCATTTGTTTTCTGAATTGATTCAGTTCATCATGATGATATTCAAATCAGAAAATTGTATCTAATCAGATAGCTGAAAGAAAATTAACTATTTCATTCCTTTTGTTTCATAATAATTAAGGTATTTAATCATCGACTAATGATAGAATATCTTGATTTAAAGGTATTTTAGTAAATTGTTAATAAATCTGATCAAATATTATCAATCGATTGTTTTTAATAAGCGAGCATTCCAAATAAAATAGACTTGTACAATTAACTCAGAAGCAAATATAAGCTAATTCTTTGACAAGTTAATTGTATTTCTCTGTATAACAATCAACAACAATTTATTCTAATAATGATTAACTTTCCAACCATTTTATTTGTTGTTTTACTTTCATCAACTTGTAAGTGTTTCGAATCACAATCATCATTACTTTTCAATACTAAAAATGTGTTGATAAAATATCGTTGCGACGATTGTTTGGTGATCTTACTTCAATTCAAAATGATATCGACACGGCGCGATCAGGCATATTCCCATGTTACGACGTGGCTGTAACAAATATACAACACCGAGTGGGGTTTGCAATTATATTGACTCCATTGTTAAGATTTATGACGATCTAGAGGCCAAAATGAAACCACGAAGTACTTGTACTAACACTTTCATGCTTGTCCACAACCGAAGACCAGTAAACTTGATATTCAGCAATCAAAAGTCAATGAGTTTAATAAAGTAAATCTCATCGCCCATCGCCCCAAATGGCTCTGAATAACACACCATCAGTGTTTCTATCTGATAAATGTGATAATTGCAGTGATTCAATGGATCGGTCTTAAGGTCAAAAGATATGCAACCTCGCTAAAGAAAACTTTAAAATATACTTGTCGTGATTACACTCACAATTATTTATTATGTCAAAAGTATATGAGAGATCTATTTGATTCCGATATTACTGAATTAATTTCGAAAACAAGTTCAGACTATTTCTGTAAAACAATCTTTGGACTATGTCCCTAAGAGATCGAGCTGCTCGAGAAAAAAACTAATGGAAATTTTGTCAGCTCTAATGAAAATTGAATAAATTTATTATTAATAATTGAACTTTCAAAGCATCTTTGACTGTATTTACCTTTATTTGATACTCGATTATTGAAATTATTATTGAAATGGTTGATTGGATTAATCAATTAATCGAGCAAGTTGATCCAGTGTCAATAAAGTTTACGTGAAAAATTTACCATCTCATTGATAGTAACTCAAAAATTCTTGGCCACTTTTACTTTGATCCTTATTGTCAACGAACTGATCGTTATGGATCTAATATTATCGAGTTAACCAATAGAACGAAAACTTTTGAAACTACTCCATTGATCGTAGCATTTTTATCGAAAAAACTTCCTATTACAAAAGAACAACAAATTCTTTTGTCTTAACCAGAATAACAAAAATCTAATTAATGTATTGGGTTTATTTTAATAGAGATGATTGGTTTTGATTAAAAATCAGTGGTCAGTGCTTCAATAATGAAGATTGAAACGTTCATTACAGATAAAAGGCTTTTCATAATTGCAATCGACCAATTGAATATTGATTATGATTAAGGAGGAAATTGTAAAAGTGAAAAGAATATAATCATTTCTTGACAATCTTATCAACAGTATTATTAATACAATTTACGACGATTTAATTCAATTTTTCTAGTTCTTATCACAATTTAAGTTAAGATAATTTAATTTGCCTTTTTTGTCTGAAATCAACCGAATGCCGTTTTAATTATTTGCAAATACAACGACAAGTTAAATATCAACACTGATCAAAATTGATTATTGGGACAATTAAGTGAAACTCTAATTTCAGTGGTTATTGATTACCATCTACTAATTCAGAAAATTCCTTTCCAAACTAATACAATTGAATCTAATAATGGGATTAAATTGATTAACTTTCTTAGGGACAGATGAGAACATTTTGAACAATCAGATTAACATAAACTCAATAACAATCAAATTGTCATTCGAGGAAATATGATTAGAATTGAATCAATAAATACCTTGGTTAATTAGTCCTGGTAATTGTATTGATTTTCACTTAATTGTTAATCAATGATAAAAGGAACAACCTTTTTGCAAATTGGAATGTTTGACAAAATCAGATAGTGATTAGATTAACTAATTATAGTTTCATTCCCTTTGTTATGTTTCAATAAAAGTGTTTTTCTAATTGTTGATTATCAGATTCGATGATTGATTGAGAATTTAAACAAATTGTTTGTAAATATCTCTTAGAAATGTTGATTGTTATCAAGAATCCAAACCGACTTATAAATACATTTAGTAACAATTTACTTCCAATCAAAAATAAGCCAATGCTTAGACCACAAACAAGTTAATTGTATTTCTCTGTGTAACAATCAACAACAATTTATTCAAATAATGATTAACTTTCCAACCATTTTATTTGTTGTTTTACTTTCATCAACTTGTAAGTGTTTCGAATCACAATCACCATTACTTTTCAATACTAAAACTGATCTTTGCGACGATTGTGTTGCTGCCGTTTCTTCAATACGGGAGAGCGCTCTTGGAGCTCAATCAGATCATATTCCCAAGTTACGAAGTGCCTGTGATCAGTACACGACACCAGGAGGTGTTTGCACTCATTACATTGACTCCGTTAATAATATTTACAACGATATAATTGGTGGTATTGGTTTCCCACGAAATACCTGTAAGAACTTCCGTGCTTGTCCACTACCGGTGACCAGTAAACTTAACGTTGTAAGATCAGCAATTAATAAAGACGAACCGGATTGTTTCCTATGTAAACAAGTGCTAAAACTTGTATACAAAGTGATCAAGAATCAGCCTAATGCTGATATCAAATCTGCTCTGGACAAAGTTTGCGATACCAAGTTACCTAAATCGAATCGTAAAATTTGTTACAAGTACGTTGACACTTATACCAGTTACTTGACCGAGTTGATCCAAACCAACACTAGTGTCGATGTGGCCTGTCACAAAATCGGTGTGTGTGAACACGAGGAAAATCTGACCAGTCGGCTGACTCAACTGAACCTGACTGACCCTACAATTTTGTCGTCCGTCGACTGTGACAGTTGTAAGAAATCAGTGGCCGGAGTCTCTGATATGGTCAAAAGCTACGCAACCTCGTTAAGTGAAACTTTAAAAAATACTTGTTCTAAATATCAAAGTTATTTGTTCTGTATCAGGTTTATGAGAAATCTATTTGATTCTGATATTTCTGAATTAATTTCCAAAACAAGTTCAGCTTATTTGTGTACAAAAATCTTCGGGCTATGTGACCTTTAACGAAGAGATCGTATGAGAAACTTTCATTTTGAATAAACCAAAGTTCTAACAATTTAAAGCATCTAAGTATATTTATTTACCAAAAGAAATAATTTCTATGATTACAATTAATCATTGATTTAAAATATGTATTGATAAATTTGTAAGAAAAAATAAATATTTGGGATATAAAAAGTTTTTGGTTGATTCTTATTTCATGTATTTGAAAACAATTGTGGTTCCTTTATCATCATCATCAGCATCTCCGTCGCTTTCCCCGTGGTGGTGGTCACTTTCATCGGAAATGTCCCCTTGGTCAATATTCTCATAGAATTTGATTGTTCTTTCAACTCTTCGAATAATGTTCACTTGTTTTTCTTTTTCGATTTGATTTTTACTTAAGGCCAACGATTCATCGACTGACAATTCTTGTAACTGAATTTCCCTCGGCCCATAAACTAAACCCGTGTCTTTGTATTTTTCAACGATTTTTTCAGCTCTGCTTTTGTTTAATTGATTTGTAGTCGTTTGCAAGACATTTGGCTTTATGTCCATCGAAACTGATTGACCTGTGGTTGATTCCAGAGTATTTGATTCGGAATCCTTGGTAATCTTCAGTAATTCTGGTGTTGTTAATTTGATTGTTTCCTTTTTAAGTTCATCTTTACTTTTTTTTGGCATAAATTTGGTCACTTTGGATTTGGGTAATGTCTCATCAAGAGCTTGACTTAAGACTTGAGCATAAGGATCGACATTAGATTTTGTAACAATTCCGGAACCAGAGGCCTAGAAAATTGATTAATATTTTAATCCAGTGAGATTAACAAATTTCTAGAGCGATTCCTTACCATAGGATGTTGAAGATCAACCTTTTGGTTAAGGTTTAGCTTGGCAAGAATTGAGGTTGTCTGTTCAACGAGCTCCTTTGATTTCAGTTTTTCTAGAACTTTTTGTTGATAATCTTTGATTTTCTTTCCTTTATCCGGAAGAGAGTTGATGAATTTTCTGTTCCAAGATGAAAAATGAATCTTGTTTAATTCGGTATCAATCATTTGCTAGTGTACGAAATGACTGACAACTAAACCAGTTATTTAGTTCTGTGAGTTTTACGATGACCATAAATGAATCACAAAATCTGTTTAATTGTCATCATCTCAATACAGTAGATACAAAAAGTATTAATTGAAATAAAACCTTACCCGTTACTCAAAAGCTTATCCTGTCTTTCCAAGATATCTTTGAGTTCAATTATTGACAATTTACTTAGATCACTTGTCTTTGTATCATTGAATGTTATCCCCGGTTTAGTTAAATATCCATACATTTTAACAGTAAATCAAACCACTTGAAAAGTAACAATCAAGTACATCAACAAATTATAAACCATAATGATGAAGTAACAACAAGCAAACATTTGAATCACATGTAACAACAAAAGAAACACTCACCTGTGGACAGAAATAGAAACCGCAATTTAAAAGATTGAAGAGGTTAAAGATGAAAATGACAATTAATTGCGAGTAAAACATTAAATTTTCACGAAAACAGGACAATTAAATTAAAAATTTAGAGGAAAATGAAAACAAAACAGTTAATGTCAATTTCCCAAAATTATTTAGCTTTTTGGAAGAGCGGGCGATTTGAAAGGGTTAAAATTAATCAATTCGATTGAAAATATCGACTGTTGTTTTTTAAGACGATCGGGAAGAGAATGAAAGATATTCTGCTTTCAATTTTAAATTTTTAGACTGAATCGATCGAATTTACTTTAGAATTGATTTAGAACAAAAATAAATATCTTAGGTAAGGGAATCGAGTGATTCAGATTAGAGATGAAGCTACGTTTGATGGACAATTTTAGGTAGGCAAGAAAAGAGACTTGTGATCTAAATGTAATTTTATTAAATGTTGATCAATTAACTTGAGATCATGATAATGATGCTTTTGCTAAAGATAATGAGAAGTTTAGAAATTAGAATAAATAAAATATACATTGTGGCGCTTTTAGAAGAGAGATTGACAATAATTAGAGTTTCGAAGGAGAAGAAGAGATTATTAGGAAAGTCTTAGTTTTGGCCCAATTGTCGTGTTTGTTTTGTTGTTTCCATGAATCTTTATTATTCAAGAATCTTTATTCCATGAATCGTGATTCTGTCCGTGGTATGGACCATGTTGGTATTGGTTTGATATTGGTTTCGGTGTTGGTTGTAATTGTTGTATTGGTTTGGGTATTGGTTTCCATTGTTCCATGAGCCAACATGATGACGACCATCATGATTGTAACCATCATGGTGATTGTAATGGTTCCTTGTTTCCTGAGATAATATTAGTGTAACTGTGACCAGAAGGATCAGCACCATTGTAAATGGCATCAGCAGAGTCGATTGAGTCAACAGATGGTTCGTTTGAGTCAATTTAACTCGGAATCCACTTTTATCGGCAATATAGTTAACAGTTCGGTGACGACCATCGGCAAGTTTAAGTCCATATGAACCGTGGACATTACCCCAACCATCACCAGATTCTTGTCGGTAGTTGGATGATCCCAAGGATCATTGATATCATAACAAAATTGTATTTTCCACTCACATCTTGGTTTCGATAAATTTACTCTGACCTCCGTCACCGTGATTTGTAGCACTAATTGTTGTAGAAATGGCAACAAGAGCAAAGAAAATAATAGCCAATTGATTCATTTTTATAGAAAAGTTTTAAATGTTTTCGTTTAGTTGTTTTGTTGTTGTTGTTTTCGTTATTGGTTTGGACAGTTGAATGATAATTTCTCAAACTTCTTTCGTTTTATATAGTAGACGAAAAGTGAAAATATCAATTTTAGAATATCTAAAATACTAATCGAGTGAGAATAAGGAACGAGTAGGACACAAAAAAAAAACGGTAATTAAGATAAAATCGAGTAGAAAAGGCGGAAAAAGTTCATTTTGATAATTTTCTAATGCTTCGAAAACTTGTACCAAGCAACCAAGTTTCACTTCTACTGAATTTGTGCATAAACATTTGAGCCAAATAAAATTAACTTTTCTAGTTAATTTGTTGATATTAACAATTTGAATAAAATAAAATTCTTAATCAATTAGTTTTGTTTCAATTCTAATTTCAATTTGGCTCAAATGTTCATCTCCACCTGTGGATCCCATCCACCCAGCTAAATTTATCAGAGTATAGTTGACAGAGTTAATTCAGATGAATTCTGGTCCTTTGACCCTTATTTAGCCCTTTAACTTTTATTCACTTGACCAAATAAAAAATTTTATTTCTGGCTTAAATTAATATTAATAGATGTTTAGAGCCTTTACCAACAAGATAATCGCACTAGCGGGATAATTATAAATATCAAAATTAATAATTGTGATTCCTCAGCATAAATTGAACTTTCACGAAAACGATAAATTTTGATGTTGATTTTTGACCATAAGGGAAAAGAATTTGCTACCAAATCAACTCACTCTTACATTGAAAATTATCAAGATGAACTTTTTCCGCTTTTTCTACTCGATTTTATCTTAATTACCGTTTTTTTGTGTCCTACTCGTTCCTTATTCTCACTGATTAGTATTTTAGATATTCTAAAATTGATATTTTCACTTTTCGTCTACTATATAAAACGAAAGAAGTTTCGAGAAATTATCATTCAACTGTCCAAACCAATAACGAAAACAACAACAAAACAACTAAACGAAAACATTTAAAACTTTTCTATTACAAAATGAATCAATTGGTTGCTATTCTTTCTTTGCTCTTGTTGCCATTTCTACAACAATTAGTGCTACAAATCACGGTGACGGAGGTCAGAGTAAAATTTATCGAAACCAAGATGAGTGGAAAATACAATTTGTTATGATATCAATGATCCTTGGGGATCATCCAACTACCGACAAGAATCTGGTGATGGTTGGGGTAATGTCCACGGTTCATATGGACTTAAACTTGCTGATGGTCGTCACCGAACTGTTAACTATATTGCCGATAAAAGTGGATTCCGAGTTAAATTGACTCAAACGAACCATCTGTTGACTCAATCGACTCTGCTGATGCCATTTACAATGGTGCTGATCCTTCTGGTCACAGTTACACTAATATTATCTCAGGAAACAAGGGAAACCATTACAATCACCATGATGGTTACAATCATGATGGTCGTCATCATGTTGGCTCATGGAACAATGGAAACCAATACCCAAACCAATACAACAATTACAACCAACACCGAAACCAATATCAAAACCAATACCAACATGGTCCATACCACGGACAGAATCACGATTCATGGAATAACAAAGATTCTTGGAATAATAAAGATTCATGGAAACAACAAAACAAACACGACAATTGGGCCAAAAACTAAGCTTCTTTCCTAATAATCTCTTCTTCTCCTTCGAAACTCTAATTATTGTCAATCTCCTTCTTCTAAAAGCGCCACAATGTATATTTTATTTATTCTAATTTCTAAACTTTCTCATTATCTTTAGCAAAAGCATCATTATCATGATCTCTGTAAGTTAATTGATCAACATTTACAATAAAATTACATTTAGATCACAAGTCTCTACAACTTTTCTGTTTCCATCAGTCCAAATCGATTCAAAGTTTCATTCATATTTACAAAATCTAAAAGACACAAAAGGTTCAAACGAGTTAAAGGTAATTCATTCAACGAAGTTTTTTCAACATTTCTCCCAAGATGAAAAGAGAAGAAAGAATTGAATTGATTAATTAAGACTAAAAATAAAATTAACTAAAAGTAATCAAATTTAATCGAAATCGGCAAAAAATTGATTCGTTTTTAAAAGAAAAACTGAAGATGGAGGTTACATTAACCTTCGTTAGATGGAGTTTCTATCACACTTTTCTCTATTGATGTTTGATGAAAGTCTTTAGATTATCGGGTAACTACTTGGTTACTAGTAACTAAATTAACAAATAGACTTTTAATTGTGATTATTTCTAATTTACATTCTAAATTATTACTATGTAAGTAGATGATGAACCGATTTAGAGTATTTCTATTCCTCCATTACAATTGAACATCTTGTTTTTCTCTAGGTCCGAATATTGGAAAGCTATTCCAAAGAAATTTTGTGAAGTCTGTAAATGTTGGTTTACTGATAAAGGTGTAAGTTTTTTCTTCTCTTGGTGATGTTTCTTTTCTCTTTAAATTGTTTCATTTAAATTTGTGAATCTTTTTTATTTTCGAATTTCCTTTTAATTGGATTGTGCGGTTCTTCTATTGTGACAGACTGGCGAATTTCACGAGAAAGGTCTTCGCCATCAAAATGCTGTTAAGAAAAGATTAACGGAGGTAATTTAATGTGTTACAATTTGTTTTTGTTTTTGTTTTTCCATCACTGATCTTGGTCATATGTTTGTGATATTTTGTTTGATTTTTTTTTCTCTCCTCATCTTTAATTTCTATGTGATGAATGAGTAGAGTTTTTTTTCTCATTGTTCTAATGATGTATTTTTTTAATATATTCTTTTAGCTTTCTAAACGTAATCAAGTTCAAAAACATGAAGCTGATAAATTGAATGGCGAGAGGATGAAAATAGATTCTGCAACCATGAGTGCATTTAGTAAAGATAAAGCAGCTGATCCAAATAAAGTACAAGGATTAACATACACTAAATCCATTTCCAATACAAATAAATCTCAACGAGATAAACCAAGTACATCTTTAGGAAGCAATAGATTTGGGGTGATGTCCAGTTTAACACAGCCAGAGGAAAGTAAAACATTGATATCGGTCAGAGAAAAATGTTCTAACACGATGACAAGTAAAACAGCTAAACAAAAACCTCAACATTTGGACAATAATCCGTTAAATGAGGCCATGAAAAGAGTGACAATGAAACGGTGATTCTGAGTTGGAACCTTTTAATGATCTCAAAAGAAAAATGATCCAAACTTATCTAGAATTAAAGGAAGAGGAGAATGAAGATGAAGAAACTACAAATGGATCTCCTTTGAAAGGCGATTGAAAGACTAGTGACCAAATTCAGTTTAAATTATTTAATTTTAAATCTATACCCAAACAATGAGGGTTATTCCATTGAATGAAAAATTGTTTCAACAACAGTGAGAAAAATAATCTTTATAATAATATTAACAGTTCAAATGGTATTAGTCCTAAAAGCGGTGATAATAAAAAAGACAACAAATAATAACATATTCAACAACAATAAGAAGGACGTTAATCATTCTGCCCATGATAAGAATTCTGCTGATCATAATCGTACCAAATGTAAAGAACCGATAGAAAGTGAAAAATGTTGACCTGACCTCTGAACCCGAATTCATAGAGACCATAAGATTACCTTACGAAGAGGAAGATTTGTTGGACTTTATTGACAATGGTGAACTTCCTCCAATGTTGGTTGATATCTTTGATGATTTCAATGAGAATAATGATCATCAGCTGTTTTATTGCGGCTCCATTTTCATGGAGGTTCGAGACTATCGGAAAACTACTTCATCATCAACTGCAAATGACCAAAAAAAATTACGAATCTTGTTTTGTTCGCCTTAGGCCAACCAATCAAACGCTACTTAATGATATCGCTCGACTTACCTCATCTCTATCTCATCTAAAAAAATGGACTCAAGAAGAAAAGACAACATTGGAAGCTAAAATAATCCTCGAAACGGCTGAACCTCTTTGCCTTGACCCTAATCCCGTTGTCGCAATAGTTTCAAATAAATTGGATTATGAGAAAAGATGGTTTAAAGCATCAAAGAAAATAGAAAGGTAACCGATTCATTCACTTCTATCCAGTGTTCCCATTTTATTTCTCTTCCTCTCCTTTACTCATGAATTATCTCTTCTCTCTTCTGGTATTCTTTTCTCTTTTTTGACAGATCTACCAAAAAGAACTCACAAGTATATCGAAATAAGATTAAAAAGTTCGAAAGCCTACCTGCTCCTAGAGGATTAGAACTGTTCGATTTTCTTCAAAATCGGAAAGACCGAACTCCAATTACTACCAGATTGAATAAAAAGGTGTGCATCATCATTTACCTTTCTCGGTGGATATTCTTGTGATGATTGTAATAGAATTCAGTAGATTATTGTCTCTACATCATCTTTCTGAATTGTTCAAAATTCTCTTCATCTTATCCATTCACCTTTGGTCAACGTTCAAAAGGATAAATTTACTTTACTTTACCTTCTCTCTCTCTATCTACAGATAAATAATGTAAATGTGATGAATAATAATCTATCTAAATATATTTATCATTTTTTCCTGCTTTTCAAGATATATTGACCAATTCAAAGAGATATTAACTGAAAACGGTAGGAAACCTGTTAAAATTACTCATAAATCAACCAATCAACCTCCCAAAGTGACTTATACAAACTCTGCCATTCAAATTAACGGTCCAACTTTAAACGACACTGAAGATTCAGAGGGAAGGGAAAATGTCTCCAAAAAACCAAAGATTATCCAAACCAATCAAAAAAATGGTATCAAATTTAATCACTTAAAACATAATAGATTAACCCTTTTCAATTTGCTTCTAATTTGATATTTTCCTCTCACCTTTTCTCTAATCAGCTGTATCTGTGTTACGAAATCAACCTCGTAAATTGTCCTCATCTTTACTTTCAAGTAATTTATCAACCGCAACTACCACCACGCCAACATCAACACCTTCAACCTTAACACCATCAACTTCATCTTCATTGACACCATCACCCAACCAAATAACAAATTCAATACCATCAACAAGCACTTGCTCATCTTTAACAATTCCAATCAACGAATTTACTTCTCCTAACCAATCTGCAATCCAGGTTGATTCTAATTGTATTTCCAACCACAGGAACTTGGATCAAGGTATTATAACTGTTGAAAATAAAACTTACAATTATCCTTGGTAGATAGTGAAAATCATCAGAATTTTCATCTTCATCTCTTTAAAATTGTCTAACCAAAGATAATTGTAAGCTTCTATTTTCAACACCCTTTTAAATAGTTTCCATTGATTAAGAAAACCTTTCTCACCGCTTTCTAATTTTCTCAAGCTATTGCTTAATTAAAACAATCGACATTGATTAATAATATTATAACCATTTACTATTAATCTCGCCTTCCCCTTTGCTTTCTATTTTCTTCTATCATTCTCTCTCTCTCTCTCTCTCTCTCTCTCTCGCCAATTCTAACCAACTGAATTATAGTATTAATTAACAAGCAACTTAAGACAATTAAACCATCAGCCTCATTTATACCAATCGAATCAACAACTAATCTGCTTCAGTCCAAGACTATCATTCGCAATGCTGCGATTGCCGAGCGCCAAACAATTCCGACTCTTTTTCTTACTAGTGTACCTCAAGTCTATGGATCGACCAATTTACCGAGTACTTTAAATCTCTTTTTACCTTTTCTTGTTTTGATAATTCCAATTTATTTATCTGTTCAATTTATATTCTATTTCGTTTTATTTTCCATTTTATTTTCCATTTTGCTTACTTCGCATATTAACCCTTTTGTATTTTAAGTTATTGTTTATTCATTTTCTACATGTAATGTAATTTATTGTCAATTTTCCTAATTTTTTCCTTTTTTTCAATTCTAACCAACTGAATTATAGTATTAATTAACAACAACTTAAGACAATTAAACCATCAGCCTCATTTATACCAATCGAATCAACAACTAATCTGCTTCAGTCCAAGACTATCTCGCAATGCTGCGATTGCCGAGCGCCAAACAATTCCGACTCTTTTCTTACTAGTGTACCTCAAGTCTATGGATCGACCAATTTACCGAGTACTTAAATCTCTTTACCTTTTCTTGTTTTGATAATTCCAATTTATTTATCTGTTCAATTTATATTCTATTTCGTTTTATTTTCCATTTTGCTTATTTCTGCATATTAACCCTTTTGTATTTTAAGTTATTGTTTATTCATTTTCACATGTAATGTAATTTATTGTCAATTTTCCTAATTTTTTCCTTTTTTTCTCAATGATCTTTTCTCCTATTTAGATGATGGTAAATCAATCAGAGACTTTGTTGTTGCTCCATCTCTACCTCTCGGAACTTATACCATAACTGGTACTAATCCTGGTACCAATACTAATCTTCCTCAAGGAATTAATCTCGCAAGTCTCAATCTGGCTCAATGTTCAAATTTGCGGCTTCATAATTTGGTTTCATTTCCAAACATTCAAGGAGTCTCTCAACAACAGATCGCAGTTCCAATCTCATTAACAATGATAGTGGCTCTAGTCAAGTCCCAAACGGCGATGACTGCAGCAGCAAATAATAATATTGTTAATCTGCAACAGCATCAAAAATCAATCAACAGATAAATCACCAAATGAACCATCAAATTAATAATCAACCACAACAACTTCATAATCCACCCTCAAGTTCAACATTCTCAACAACAACTTCAACCACATCCACAGACTCAAGCATATATTCATCCTCAAACACTTTCTCATCTGCATCAACAACAACAACAACAACAACAACTTCTACCCCAACCACCACAATCCCAACCACAACTACAGCAACAACTTCATCCTCATCAACGAGCCTTTCTCATTGACTATGATTCAAGAAAGCAGGTCTAGTCAAGCCTAAACTGCTACACATGGCTAAATGAGCTTGTTAGACAATTAACTGATATCAGTTTAATAGTAGCCATAAGATTTAATTCCTTTAATTGTTTTCATGTAAATTACTCGCCATGCAAAGTGTGCTCATATTTGAACATCTCCATTTTCACCATCACCTCAACCTAAAGGTCAACTCAAAAAATAACTTTAGGTTGATGATTAGTTGAACTGTGAAAAAAATCATTGCCTTATTTGAATATAAAAAAAAAACAAAATCTAATCAATCAAATTCTCAATTTTCTGCTGTTATAAACAAATTAAATGGTTCATTAACTAATGGACACTAATTATAACTCATCAAGTGGAGTTTGTTTCATTCATTGTTTGTACATGGTGATGAAAATACTAAGCAAAAACCTCAAAGATCTTTATGATTTTTTATATTATGTAATTTCTATTCGATTAATTAATTGATCAGTGTTCTTACAATTTAAAAGCAACTGTCAGTGTGATTTATTTATATCTAATAAATTAAGAAGAAAATTTTTTCAACATTCAATCATTGATGTTTTGATTCCAATGATGATCTTTAATTATTCACTCAGTCAAAATACATTTAGACTTGAACACAAGTATATACATTTAATTAACTTGTAAACACACAACTCTTTGAGACTAATGGAAGGTTAATTTAGAAGTGATTAGTTGATTATTACAATTAACATCGTTTTCACAGAGGAGAAAATCATTTCTATTCCAATGGAATCAATTTTTTTTGCAACTGTCACGTTTTGTTGTTTGGCAATTTAAGACACATTGATTAGAGTGAGATAATTAAGGTAATTGTTATGGTGGAATGTGTCTAATTGTGATTAGAGATGGACAGGGAGAGTTGGTTTGTCCAACGGGCTGGAATCAAGCAGATTAGATTATTAATATTTAATTTGGGGGTTTGAGTTAATTGTTGATTTGATTTCACAGAAATGCACTCGGATCTGCACGTGGATTTTTCTGATTCCTGTAACGGATTGTTAACCAAACACCGAGAAATTCAGTGAAACTGAAAAATAGTCCGAGTGATCCCGTTATTTCAAGTCCATTGTTAATTGCGGTGACGATTTTGTATTTACAGGTTGTACAATGACAGTCAGTTTGTGATTTACAACATGATGTTATCTGAAAATGGAAAACAAGAGGATCGAAAATTAATTAGAAACAATCACAATTGTGGCAATTTCTTCAATCAATTTGTCTTTTAGTTTACAACCAAGCAATTAATTAACAAAGATAAGGAAAGTGTATAAGATGTCAATTGGTTTTGAAAAAGTGACTCGATTTTATCATTTGAGTCTCAAGAAGGTAAATTATGATGATTAAGATGATAGATTACAATCAAATTGATCATTAATTGTAAGACTCAAAGTTACTCATGAATAAAATAATCAAAGAGACGTAGTTTAATTCATAATGAAACTCAAATCAATGAATTTTGTAATCACTGAACTAGTTGATTCGCTAATTTTTTTTAAGACGAAATGAACCTTAATTCAGTCATTGAATAGTGAATATGATGTAAAGAAAAAGGGACTTACATGGAGACATTGATCAGGTAATGGAGATGAATCAAACCACAGCAATTAAAAACAATTGAGCCTCGTCTCGAGTTTGAACATTTGATGAATTCCAGCCTTTGGTGGCGATGTCAAGCTTTTGGGTGTCACTGATTGAGAGACAAGCGATGGCGATACAAAATTGAACCACGAACAGCAGGAACAAATCACCATGTACTGAATGAGAGAGTAAATAATTGATCATCAGACAGAATTAAATGACTGGATGAAATTAAATTAGATAAACTGAAAAACAAGATAACTTGATGATGTTTAGCGGCACCAATCAAGCCCATGAGGGAAAAGGGCCAAAAGACACCACATCCTACGAAAACTTGAACAATTTCAATATTACCAACGATTGATGAATATCGAGCATAAGTCGCAACAGCAATTAACAAACATGAAACCAGCTAATAAGTTAATTAGTGATTAGTAAAGCACAATAATTAGAAAATGGAAATCAATTGTAATTTAAAGTAAGAGAAACATATGGAAAGTTATTCCAATTGTTGATTATGTTTATGTGATTGTAGACCGAAAATGATGATTGTAAACATCATTGATCATTTTTTCTAATTGTGATGGTTAATCAACTTACCGTGTACAGAATGTTCAATGCTGATAATGCATTACGGTGCATGTACCACCGCACATGATTTAATGAATGAATTGTGGTGATTACATTTGCAATTATGAGGAATAAACAATTTAATTTGTGTTGGTTGAAGAGATGAGTGGAAATGTGAATGACAATAAGAGTTAACGGTAAAAGACATGGAGTCAACTCGAGGAAATGAAACCATTTGAGTAAACAGTTTCCTCGGTGAAAGGAGGAGTCGGAAAGGTGGAAAAAGACAGAGGATGAAGAAAGAGAAATTAATTTCAGGTAAATGATGAGGGATGATAACAGAAGGAGCGATCATGTTGGAAGATAATTGCCTCAACACTAATTAATTGATTTCACTTCTTCTTTTCACTCGTAATAAACAAAGGTTACTAATCATTGTTTACTATTTGGTTTCTTTTCATCACCAACGAATAGCATCATAATTAAGAAACAATTATTAATACTATTGATTGGTAATTGATAATATTTCTGTTCTTTTCTATATTTTCTAGTTTTTTTCAGTTCGAATTTCGAGTTTCATGTAAAAAGTTTTCGAAATAGTGCCAAGAAAAAGCTCATAAAGCTAATGTAATGTTATTTTATTTTTCTCATTTTTACTCTACATTTGAATTGTTTTTTCCATAGTTGACAAGAATTAGCAACAATTAACTGAAACAATGTTAAAATTTAATCTCCTAGATTAGGTGTATAATACTAACGAGCGATCAGTATGAAAGAAGTTAATTGTTGGACTTTAAGTTTCTCAATTGATTTGAAAGTTTCTTCGTCAAGTTCAAGATCAATTCTTTTGATTCGGTGAATTGGTTTGTTCTAATACATTTTATAATTTTCTTGGAGATATTCATTGATTAATCTCTACGAATTTCTTTGAGATGTTCAATCTGGTCATTCGTGATGGAATCGTAGGTTGGTAGGTATTTTAATAAACGATTAAGCGATTCCTGTCTTGTACTAACAGCAATCAATTGGATTGATTGTAGATCGTAAGTTCAATATACGTGCGTGTCCTTTATTGGAAGTCATTGTCGTCACAGAATTGATTATGATAAACGATTCATTGTGCAGGTAGATGAGAATGAGTTTTCGTTGTTTTGTGGTGAACAATTTCTGCTTCAGACTCGGATGAGGAGTTTTCGCTTTGAACACAATTTGAATCTACTTTTTACTGTTACGTGAGAAAATGAATAAGAAAAAATGATGAATGAAATTTTGAATATTTTTGAGAAAATCTGTGAAATTTTCACTTTGAAAGTAAAGATGAGGGTCGAAAAACAGAAATGATGAAGAATGAAAGTGAGTAGAGAATAGGATTGTTTAAATTGAATTTTATTCTAATTTAGATAATCGAGTTTCATGAACGAGGCCTTCGCCATCAGAATAATGTCAAGAAAAAGCTTTCAGAGGTAATGTAATGTTTTTTTGACTCCTTTGAGTCATATGTTTATTTGATTTGTTTTTTAATTTTACTTTTACTTTTTACTTTTTATTTCATTTGAATAATTTGTAGCTTACTAAACGTAATCAAGTTCAAAAGCATGAGACTGATAAATACAATTCACAATTGATGAAGATTGAAGCTGCTGCTCTGAGTGCGTTTAGTAAAGACATAGCAGCTGATCCAAGTAAAGTACAAGAATTAGCAACAACTAAATCAATGATCTCTACAATTAAAATGCCGAAAGATGAGGCAAGTACATCGTTAGCAGGAAATAGATTCGGTGGTGGTGGTGTTTCCATTTATGGAGATTGTATGGAGGAAAATAAAATTCTGGTTTCGGGTCGAGAAAAAGCTTTAGATACAATTACGAGTAAAATGAGCAAAAAATATCAATGGTTAGAATCTAAAACATCAGAGGGAAAAGCTTATTATTGGAATAGAAAAACTTTGGGTAAGTTTAAACTCTCAACATTTAGATACAAGTATTAATATTAATAATTAATAATCAATAATTAGTTGTTAATAGTTAATTGATTGCTCTCTCTCTCTCTCTCTGAGTCTCTCTTTCGGTCTCTTGTTGTTTCTGTTTTCTTTTTCTTTTTCTTTCTCTCTTATCAAATATATAACTTGATGAATTTATTGTTTTCAGAAACCATTTGGGAACCGCCGAGCTCAGGATATTTGACAATTGATGAACAACAAAAGATGGGAATTAATCGAGATAATGTTCCGTTAATTGGTGCACTAGGATATAAATACGATCCTTATGGTCAATGGGAAAATATCGAAAATAAATCAACAGAAACATCTCCACCCAATTTTCAATCTCTTCGAGTTCTTTTGCTTGATCTGACTCCTGAAACTGATGATACGGAAGTGGAAATAGTGGTTGTTGCAAGGAAGTCAAATTCACCTTGCTGTTGATGACCAGAACCAAATGATCCTAGTCTGGGTCGCTTGGAAATATGAACTTGAGATTGGGCTGTTAGCTGTAATTGAATAGCTGAAGTGTTCAACTTATCAGCTAATAATAAATCTTTCAATCCAATCATCTTCTGACTTTGGAGGTAAACAACAGCTTCACTATTTGTCTCTTGTCGTTGATCATCACGTTTAGGATCTGAATCGTCAGGACTATCGATCGTAGTTCCACTCTTGGAATGTTCAATTGATGTTGATTTCCTACCATTTTCAGATGATCCGATTGATTGATCACTTGACGAGTGAGCAACATTTGTCCGATCTAAACTTGGTTGACAAGAAATATTTAAAGCATTTTCGGAATTAAGTGTTGAGTCTGAACAGGTAGAGGCCATTCCGACTATTCGAGGGTCAAGCTCGTCTTTGTCGTATGTACCTGATTTAAGGTCATGTTCGATCCTTTCTCCATCTTCCTTAAGACCATCTTCGATAGACTTGATAATTTCATCAGGAGTTCTTATCGGTGATGATGGAGATTTGGATGGCTCTTTCTCTTTATTATTTTTACCTGAAGTTTTGGGACTGTTTCCTTTTCTACTACCATCCAAAGTATTTTGATCAGAGTAATTTGATTGGCTTTCTTCATTCATTTGGTAGCCATGATAACCATGATTACTTTTAATGTGAAGACGATGGTGACCATCATTATCTTTAATTCTTATCTGTGCCTTATTACGAACATGAGATGTGAACTTAGATATTGTGGCAACGAACGGTTTAGCCCAACCAATATGTAAAACGGGGGTTGGTGATTCCTCTTCCCAACCACAAAGTCCATCGTAAAGGCCAAAAGTGATGCAAAACATTCAGGATCTTGAAGAAGTGGAATTTCTGAAACCCTACTAGGTTCACATCCACCCGCAGAAACAACTTTAACCATGTGAGGAATTAGATCATTCGCTATTTCAAGAAATTCTTTGTAAATTTCTTCATCATCACGAGTATAATTGTAACGACGAATAACCGATGCAGCGTCAGCCCAGGATTGAAGAGCTTCTTTAAATCTTCCATTACGAAAATAATATCCTGCCATAAAACAATAGGGATAAACATGATGATTCTCATAAAATTTTTTGTTCACTTCGATTGCTTCTTGAAACAATCTACCAGCGTCTCTAATTGCTTCAGTTGTCGCACCAACTTCCTCAAGATCACCGAGACTATCAATACCCATTGGATACTTGGATAAATAGCCCTTATCATAGAGATACCATAAAACTTTCTGTTGAATAGCTGCTAATTGACAAGATTCAGCTGATGGGGTAATAGAAGGGTTCATGCATGAAACCAGTGCAGCATAAACCATAGGCGGGGAACATACAACCGGATAACCGTTCAAGTACAACCAGCAATTCGCAGTAACAACGGGTTGTCCTCTTCTGTCCTCACTCCCTTTTCCTCTCCATGATATCTGAAAATACAAAAAGATAAGAACAATTAAAGATTCCAAATAAAATTTGTCAACTAATATTCTGAATCAAATGAGAACCGAAATAAAACCAACCTCTGCAGTCTGTTCGTTTCCAGGTTCGCCGAAAATAACCCAAGCGTGATCTTCACTCAAGGCCAAACGGGCATCATTAAGCTCTAATACTTGACATGCAGCGCGCATAAGATACACCGAAGCGATCGAGTTTATCTTCGGTGATATAAGAATAAAGTGTTTGTAGATGAGGTTTATTTGTATAATAACCTCGAGATAAATCGGACCAAATGGAATCAACCACTTTCTTAATAACGTCACGAGTAGTTTTCTTTGGATGATGATCGACTGCACCTAAGCAAATGAAATCAAATTAATCAACATAAAATTAGATTGCATCAAATAGAAATAGAAATAAATTTCTAATAAGATATTCTAAATGCAATTAAGCCGCTAAACTGAAATCATACCAACAGAAATTATGTCGATTTTAAGTTGACTTTACCTGAAGTCAAATCCTCGAAAGCTAATTAACTCTCGTCAAATTTAAACTTCAGAATAATATGAACTTTACCCATTGAAAACTAATTTAATTTTAATTCAATTTTAAATTGGTTTCGACTAATTTTTAATCGAAAATAGTTTTTCGTCCATTTTTTAAATTTCATCTTCGAAAGACCTTTTCGAATTATCAAAAATCCTAAAACGTTGAACAAGTTGGAATTGTGCTCAAATGTATTAATATTAATAAGACTGATTCACACTAATTGAAAATTACAGGACAATTAACCTCAAATTATTATTAAATCAAATGGTTTAAAATTGAAATAACATAAGACTAGAATTTACAGAAACTTTCAATTGATTTAAAATTTGAAAATTAAAAGTTTTATTAAATTAAATGACGAAATTGAAAATGTTCATCAAATAAGAGATCATTTTCTATACCTAAATAATATAAAACTTTTGAGGATATTAATTAGATACACTAGATTAATTAAACATGTAAATTGATATGGAAGAGAATTAATAATAAAAGCTAATTGAAAATATCAATAAAATTCTCAATGATCGTCATTGTAATTTCATTTATTGTTTTCAATGATTAATTGAATCGAGTCAAGTTAATTTATCTGAAAAAATAATTTAAATTGCAGATTAGTTAAGGAAAATATAAATGATCTCGTCAAAGAAAAAATTATTCTGGTCACTCTTGGTCATCTGATGTGGATTCTATAAAGTTAGACTGTTGTTTTAACTCTTTCATTCAAAATAATAACCTTGAAACAAGTTTATAATAATAATGGTGTTCATGTCCATTGTTACCTGAGTTTGAAATGAGGGAGAAAGAGATAAATGGAAAAGAAATGAAAAGAGAGAGAGAGAGAGAGAGAGTGAGAGTGAGAGTGAGAGAAAAAAAACAAAGAACTTAACTCTTTGAGTGAAAAAAGAAATGATAACGAGCGATATCAAAATATCAGGTAAAAAAGAAAAAGCTAAATATTAACAAAGGTAAACTGAAATGGGTTAGAAAGAGTTGGAAGAAAGTAAAGCGAAAGAAATGAAAACTGGTTAAGAAAGAGAGGGAAGAAAAGAAAGCAAAGTTTTGCTTCTTCATGTTGGCGGTTAATCTTTCGATAGTCGGCCTTTTAAAAGCATGGTGAGAACAATGGAAGTTTACTACAGGTAAATGGAATAGAATTTTCTTTTCAATTAAATTGTTCTCTCTTGTAAATTAAAGCGAGTGAAAGTTAAGAGTAATTAGGGTGATAATTATTGGACAATTTACCTTTGATTTGGGTGACAAATTTTTTGTACAAAGGTTCAATATGTTCCCATTTGACCCAAGGTATTTCAAAATGATCTTTAGCCTGAGAAGGTGAATCATCGGAAAGTAAAGGTGATGCTGATCTGTCTTTTCCATTTGTATCACATGAAGATGCATCACCACTTCCACTACGATTTCCATGAGATGAACAATGACCATTGTAATTAGTTGTATAGGTAGACGAAGTTGTAGATATACGAGGTTGTGCACAAGTTAATGTGTGCTCAAGGTATCCCATAAGAATAGAGAGAAAAGTTAAATCAGTTTGATTTGATTCAATACATCGTTTAACCAAATCGACGACATTTCCAACAGTTTTCAATGGAAAATAACTACGTAGACTGGTGAATTGTCTATGACGACTTGACATGTTTACAGTTTAAGAGTTGCAATTCTTGTTTAAACTCCCGTTATATCATCAATTTAAATTAATATAATTCTTAGGATTGTCTGGATGACAAGAGATGAAGAATTAAGTCGAGATGAAGATGAGAAAAAAAGAGTTAAAATAAAAACAAAACAAGAAAGAAAAAAACAAAACACTATTATCACATCACGATGATAATACAAAGTAAAAAAAAAGGGATTAGATTAAAGGGTTAAAACAGTCAACATAAGCATGATTCTTAAATGGTTGTAAAGTATTTAAAAGGTTAAAAGGATAAACAATAAGATGATTTTGATTAATTATCCAAATGAGTTTAATTAAAAGACAAAGGGAAGTTTAAATTGAAATGACAATTATGATGAAAGTAATTGATGTAAACATTGAACAAGAAGGTAAGAGTTAAGGGAAAAACTTTCATTGGTCTAGAGATGAATGAAGCAACAGCCAACGGCCAATCAGAAGAGAGAAAAAGATTACCCGCGATTTTTGAAGTTACGATTTCCAAGTTTAATTTTATCATTTTTCCAATTTTTAGTCACTGATTTTATTAATACTCGATTGTTCTGAAAGGTTGAGATCGTTTCCGTACAGTTTATCATGTTTGGAAGGGTGAAATTAACTTTTTCCATTCTTTTCTATCAATCATATTATATAACAATTCTAATGAATCCAAAGTTTCTCTTTGCAAAGTTAATTGTAATTCTATTGATATTAATTTAAGATAATTGTATTCAATTGATTATTTATGTTATTTACTGTTAATTACTGTTGATTTTAAGATCTTTAAAGTTTGTTATTCAATGATATTTAACTATCATTGAGATGATTAACTTTTTTTGCTCAGGTAAGTTTTGTTTTCTTTTCTAATTCCAATAGTTTGGCAACTAATCAATACTCTAATCGAGATTATCATAAACTCATCATTATCCTTGGATATTAAATTTGATTTATTTAACTAGCATTTTAAGTCGTAAATAGATTATATAAAAAAATCTGAAAGTGTACAATTGTGTCAATTGTTGAGAATAACAATTGTCTCTTTGTTTCCATTTCTTAATTTAGTTCGTATTTTTATATTCTTGATTTTTCAACTAAAGTTTATATAAATCAACCAACCAGTTGATCCAAAGCAAATATGAAAACACACTAAATTTATTTCCAATGGAAATAAATCACAACGGAACAATTAATAAAACTTATCAAATGTTGATTCGTTTTCGTATTTCTGTAAATTGTTTTATCAGATGAAAAACTTTATTTATCATAATAAATAACGAACAAGATAATAATTTGATTCTCAGCTTTAAATTATCGAACAAAAAAAGAGAAACAATCATTTTCTAATTTGGTGTTCTCTTGCTAGTTCCTGTCAAAAGTTTAAGCTCTCTCAATCTCGAGTGAATCTCTATTTCAGTTTTCAAGAAAAGTTCAGTGAGTATTATTAGTGCGCTCAGAAATCACCGACGTTGCGATGATGCGTTCGTACTTAGAAAACCGGTAGATGGCGATAGTGTCGATTCTCATAAACAACAACAAAAATTTTCTCATTGAGTGAAAAATTTTTACTGAAAATTAATTGAGTTGAAGTTAAGTTAAATAGACTTTTGATTGTGAGCAAATTCTAATTTTATTCTAAATTATTACCATGTAAGTAGACGATGAAACAATTGACAATATTTTCTTTTTCATAATTACAAATGAACATCTTGTTTTTCTCTAGGACCGAATATTGGAAAGCTATTCCAAAGAAATACTGTGACGCCTGTAAATGTTGGTTTACTGATAATAAGAGTGTAAGTTTATTTTCATTTGTTTCTATTTTCTTTTCTATTTTGTCTAAATTGAAAATTTTATTCTAATTTAGATAATCGGTTCTTCTTTTATGACAGAGTGTCGAGTTCCATGAACGAGGCCTTCGCCATCAGAATAATGTCAAGAAAAAGCTTTCAGAGGTAATGTAATGTTTTTTTTTGACTCCTTTTGAGTCATATGTTTATTTGATTTGTTTTAATTTTATTTTTACTTTTTACTTTTTATTTACTTTTTATTTCATTTGAATAATTTGTAGCTTACTAAACGTAATCAAGTTCAAAAGCATGAGACTGATAAATACAATTCACAATTGATGAAGATTGAAGCTGCTGCTCTGAGTGCGTTTAGTAAAGACATAGCAGCTGATCCAAGTAAAGTACAAGAATTAGCAACAACTAAATCAATGATCTCTACAATTAAAATGCCGAAAGATGAGGCAAGTACATCGTTAGCAGGAAATAGATTCGGTGGTGGTGGTGTTTCCATTTATGGAGATTGTATGGAGGAAAATAAAATTCTGGTTTCGGGTCGAGAAAAAGCTTTAGATACAATTACGAGTAAAATGAGCAAAAAATATCAATGGTTAGAATCTAAAACATCAGAGGGAAAAGCTTATTATTGGAATAGAAAAACTTTGGGTAAGTTTAAACTCTCAACATTTAGATACAAGTATTAATATTAATAATTAATAATTAATAATTAATAATCAATAATTAGTTGTTAATAGTTAATTGATTGCTCTCTCTGAGTCTCTCTCTCGGTCTCTTATTGTTTCTGTTACTGTAACTTGTTCTGTAACTTGATGAATTTATTGTTTTCAGAAACCATTTGGGAACCGCCGAGCTCAGGATATTTGACAATTGATGAACAACAAAAGATGGGAATTAATCGAGATAATGTTCCGTTAATTGGTGCACCAGGATATAAATACGATCCTTATGGCCAATGGGAAAATATCGGCGATAAATCAACAGAAACATCTTCACCTGACTTTCAACTACCTCAAAGTGCTAATTCCACAATAGATGAATCAAAGGTACTCGAGATTCATTTGCATAACGATGAAGAGCAATTTGATTTCAAAGAGAAAACAATCGAAACAAAGACTAAATCTTCTGGTCCTGTTGGTTTTTCATTCAAAAAAAGGAAAATCATCGATAAAATGTCTCGAAATGTCAAAAAACGAGAAGATGATAATTGATTATATTCTTAACCTTATATAATTTTAATTAAATGTAAATTGTAAAGAAAACGAGATCAATGAAAATATATTTTCTACAATGTGATGATTATATACAATGATTCCTCTCAAAATGACCCATCGTTATGGTAACATTAAATTTGGAAGATTTTTAACTTTTAATTAGGATTAAATCTCATCAATTTGATCTAAAAAAATGAAAATTAATAATTTCACTTCAAGTTCAGATTGTTTTGAGGACTATAATTCATAATTATTTGTGTTTAGTATTTTTTTAATCAAAATAATTGATTAATTTCAACCCTTTTTAATGACCCGCTCTACAAATCGTTGTCACCATGATGGGTCATTTTAAAAGGCATCACTTTACTGATTAAATTCATTGATTAAATTAAATCAATTTGTTAAATTGTTGATGAAAAAAAAACAAAATATGAAGACAGAGACAATTAATCAAACTACAATGTATTTCCAACAATTATTTCAATTTACTCATAAAAAAAGTGAATTCGAGAAAAATTTGTATTGATAATAATATAAGGGAAATTTATTGATCGATTTACATTTAGAGAATTTTTAATTTGACAAAAAAATAAGTTGATCATTTTCGTTTAAAATAATCATGATGATTATTAGAAACTCAATCAAATCAAATTACATATTATAATATCTAAGTAAATTTCGTAACCTCGATGAAAGTTTCCGAAGTGCATGAGTTAAATCATCCGATGGATTAATACTTCGTCCAAACCTGTTGATTATAATCAAAGAATAAATTTAGTAATTAGATTAAAGTGACAAAATTAGTTCTAATCAATGAATGACCAAGTCAATGGAAATTGAATCAAGTAATTTTCTACAATTAGTTAATAATGATTATTATAATTTTTTTCGCGAATTGGTGTTGAACTTTTATCTATTAATATTAAAATATTAACGAGAAACAATCTGATTAAGCAATTAAACCAAATCTTGAAGCTTTTCACTCGCTTGATTGAAACGGAACTATGGCCTTGGCATTAGCCGTTATTCTAGTTTGTACATAATAGTATAAGAATTATCTGGAAGAGTACGAAAAGTTATTGAAACAAATAAATTTCGTGTTAGAAAATTGTACCAATGTCGATCTGAAGCTTCGAACGTGTCGAGCTACTCATTAGATCACAAGGGAATTATTATCGACGGATTTAGTTGTTTTGTCCCTACGAAATTACGAAGTCCAATTGTCCATTCTTAGAATTTACTTGTATTTTTCTCGTAAGAACTAATCAATTGCTCTCTAGTTAATTACTCACCTTATCCTATGGTTAATTGCGATGAAACGATCAAGACCAACGAGAATATCTTCAATTTGAGAAATTTGTTTCCGCACTGAATTGTCGATTTGTTGATTATCACCAAGTGATGAACTTTTAATTAACTCATTAGAATTAATTAGATTGTTATTGACACTCTGAAAATCCCCTGAAATCACCATTGTAACAACAATAGTAAACACAATTAAATGAGTTTGAATCATGATGATAATTAACAAGATGGATAACGTTATAGATTAATTATACTTATTCACTTCCAACCAATTTGTATTGTAATTGAAAATTAAGCAACAATCTAATGTATTCTCATGATTAACAGTGAATATAAATTTTGAGAAGTGATTCAAATGATACAATTTAACTAACTAACTTGTTGGTCAAATTTCAGTTGAGTTTTATTCCAATTTTTTTTATTCCACAGACAATTTATATAATTCCGACACAAGTCACATGAAATCAGATCTCCAATCATGATAATGTTAATCATCTTCATAATATCTGATTAATCATAATCTCACACATTTCAAGGTTTCTCACCATGTAATCAACTCAATCTTATTGTTATCGTTTAAATGTTTACATAGATGAAATTATGAGATAAATTTTTCGTTATTTAATTTTAATCGTCAATTGATCTCGATAATTTTGAACAAAAACTAATTGTCAGTTTGATAAGGGTCATTTATGGTTGATTAAGTGGTTATTTAATCAATTTTCAAGGGAATCTCATGTTTTTGAAGTGATTTAAATGAGTTATTTATTATGAAAAGTTAATTTCATGGTCCAATTGATTTGCCATTTAAAAATTGATAAATTGTAATTGTATGGTAAAAACAACGAGAAGATCATTACTTTTTGATAATCATTAATCAAATTTAAATCATGATCAAAATGAGATCAACAACAATGTATTTTTGATAAAAAAATAAAATAATTTCAACAATTAAAACAATAAAAAAACTGGATAAACAAATTAACAATGTAAAAATGTAAGGTCAATTTGTAGGCTGATTTGTATCTAGAAAATTGATTGTTGATTTTGTTGGTAACAATTAGGTTGATTGTTTTATGAAAATTGATCTTAGTGTTGTCTTTTCAATATTGATTAAAAGTGACAACAATCACCTCGAAATTTTTAACTGTCACTTTAAGTTTGTGTTTTGAATTGTTAACATCAACAAGTGGATTTAAATTTTCCTTTGATAAATTTACACGACTAATTGAAACTTTGATCGTTAATTTGGTCGGAAAATGGCCCCTAAACGTAAGTCACGAGCAAGTCGATCTCGAAGTCGAGCTTCATCTATGGACTCTAGTGAAGCTCCTCCAAGTAAAGCCATGAAATCATCGGTTCGAGGAAAATCAAAGAAACGATCTAAATCACGAGCAAGTTCAATCGATGGCAAAGATTCCGGAATGGGTTCCGATTCAAATTTAAGCTCATCAAGTGTCTCCAAATCAAGTGATTCCCAAATGGATTCTAAACCTTCAAAAGCAATGGGACGTAAAAAAAGTAAATCAATGGGCCCTAAGAAAAGCAAAGGTGCAGGTAAAAGTAAAGGAAAGGGAAAATCGAAAGGACGAAAGACAAAAGGTCGAAAAGGTAAAAAATGATCTCATTTCAAAATGAACACACAAACAACAACAACAACAACAAACAAACAAGAGAAACACAAACAACAGGAACCAATAGAAAACAAAAACAAGATCAACAGGATAACAATAATAACATGGAAATTTAGAGAAACCAGTTAATCAATTCCAATTTTTCGAGTCTCACAATAAATGTAAACCCTTTTGAATAAATTTGAGTATAAAAAGAAACAACAACAGTAAAAAATCAATAATTTTTTTTTTCTACGTGAACATTAAATGAAAAAATCTCCGAGAGAAAAATGAACAATTTGTTTGTTTACATTTTCCAAGGAAATTTTTCGAAAAATTCGACCAACAGATGTCGCTTTATATTCTTTTTTCAGTGAATTTTTTTTTCTCTTTCTCTCATTTTGCTTCGACATATAGATAACTATATGTTATTAGTTGTCTTTCTTTCTCTTCTCTTTTGTCTCTTTTTTAATTTTTGTGTTTTTACTCGTCGTTCTAATTGGTTTATCTAATCGATTGTTAACCAAATTAGATTTCAACTGTAACCACCTTTCAACATATTGACCAGGTAAAGTAGTGATTCCCTTTAATTCTTGGTCAAAATGGCGGATTTGGAAGCTGTTTTGGCTGATGTTAGTTATCTGATGGCGATGGAAAAATCAAAGTCAACTCCAGCCGCACGAGCCTCCAAGAAGATTGTTTTACCCGATCCCAGTGTTCGAAGTGTGATGCATAAATACCTGGATAAAATGGATGAAATCTCCTTCGACAAGATATTCAACCAGAAATTAGGTTTTTTGTTATTTAAAGATTTTTGTGAAAATGTATGTGACGTTGCGGTACCACAGTTAAAATTTTATGAAGAGGTAAACACAGTCATTTTTTTCTCTCTTTCCCTCTTTCCTCTTTCTTTTTCCTCTTTCTTTATTTTTAGTCGCCTTTTTCTTTTCTCTTCTCTCTCTCTCTCTCTCTTTCTCTCTGTTTATTTTCACCTTTCTTTCATTCCATTCCTTCCTTTCTCTCTCTTTCTCTTGTCCAACGATTTTCTCTCCAGTCACAATTTTTCTATTAATTGTACCAACCTTGATCACGAATCAAAACGACTTTTATTATCACCTTATTTACTTCATCTTTCAAATATCAATTTCATCTTTCTATTACATTTTCTCACTGTTTTTCTTTTTCTTTTCCTCCCTCCCTCCTTTTTTCTTCTTCTCTCTCTCTCTCTTTCTCTCTTTTACTCTCATATTTTTTCTACTTTCAAACCATTTATCGTCGTTGGATTTCTTTTATATTGGAATTAATGCTATTTGATTGAAAATTGTTCATCATTATACATCCGTACGATCAATATATATTAATCAACACTAACATGTGATTGTCACCATTAATAACAATGGACGATGGTTGACTTAATGTCCTTTTGATGATCTTCATCATCAACGTCAAAATGGATACGATGATTGCTGAAATTTTCCTTAATCCGCATTTACAATTAAATGGCTCGAAATTTCATGTGACTATTTATGGTTGATTGTTATCCATGTGTGCGCTCTATTCTAAAATCACCAACCACCACCATCATCATCATCATCATCATCGTCATTCGTAATAATTATTACCCTAATTATCATCTCTCTCTCCCTCTCACTGTCTCCCTGTGCTCATGGCTATGTTTTTGTGCATTATTCTTTTAACGAATCGAAATCAAAATGAAATCTGAACAAAAAAAAAGATTAAGAGCTACGAAGAACTGGAAACAGTAGAGGAAAGGCGGAAAGCCGCCCGAGGAATCTATGACAATTTCATTATGAAAGAACTGTTATCACATTCACATAATTATCCTAAAGAAGCGGTTAATCATGTACAAAAGTCTCTCATGAGAAATGAGGTTCCTGTGACTTTATTTCAACCTTACATTGAAGAGATTTTTAGCCAATTAAGAGATGATATTTTTAGGAAATTTATTGAAAGGTATGTTTATAACCATTTATTTTTCATCTTCTCTTTTCTCACCCCCTTTACTCTATTTGACTTTACTCTTTATTCTCACTCACTTACTCACTTACTCTCTTTACTATCTTATCGTTCACCATTTGAATTATGTTTTAAACAATTTACTGTTAACAACCTTTGACGTTTTCTATTTTATTATTATTATTTTTCTTTAGAATCATTTCTCTCTTTTGTTACCCTTTAAGTTTTTTTTGCTTCCATCTCTCTCCTTTCACGGCCTTCTCATTACTAAATCATCATCATCATCATAACCATTATCATTATCATCATTATTATTACCTCCCTCACTCTCATAAAATGACTATTCGTATGAATTAGTTTCTCTTACTCTCCCAATCAATCAATTGATGTAACTTTTACACCAGAAAATTAGGAGAAATAATGTCTCAATTTATATGGATTGCAAGGGTCCATGGAAATGTTAATTGTTAACCTTGTTCCATTGCAAATATCCTCTGTAAGAAATGAATCTACCTTAAGGCTAAACCTCATCTCTCATGTATTCACAACAATATTTTCTTCTCTCTCTCTCTCTTTTTTTCTGATGGTTAACATTAATTATTTAACTTATGTATCTAAACAATTGATTTTATTGCTGATCGATTATTTCTCTTTCAGTTTCTAACTGAAAGGTCAACAGCATTCACTTTGAAATGAAAAACCTTCTCAAATGAAATGGAATCTTTCATTTTTCCAATTATCCAAGTTAAAGATGATTTAATCTTCAATTTTCATCTCTCTTTTAACTCTCCCTTTTCCTTTTTCTTCCTTCTCCTCCCACCATGTAACTACTTTCACTTAGAAAGATAATTACTGTTAATAATTTGTTCTAATTAATTTATTCTTTTCTTAGTGAAAAATTTACAAGATTCTGCCAATGGAAAAATTTGGAATTAAACATCCAATTAACCATGAATGATTTCAGTGTTCACAGAATCATCGGAAGAGGTGGTTTTGGTGAAGTCTATGGTTGTAGGAAGGCAGATACTGGCAAAATGTAAGAATCCAAATCAATAACACTCTGTCAATACGTTTTTCTAGTCTTCATTTGATCTAACAATATGCTCCTTTTTTTTGTGTTTTAATTTATTTATCATTTATGTTAATTTACGCAATTAACTTTCGTATATTATCCCAACAAAGGTTGGAAAGAAGTTACTTTTATTTGGTACAATACAAATTACCAATCAATTTGAGAAACATTTAAAGACCTACTACTCTAGTTTTACATGTATTTATATGCATATTAATGTATTTTAAACTCTCCTTGGGATTTTCTCACCATTTTTAGGTATGCGATGAAATGTTTGGATAAGAAGCGAATTAAGATGAAACAAGGAGAAACCTTAGCTCTAAATGAGCGTGTAATGTTATCTCTAGTCTCTACTGGTGTAAGTACTATTATTACAAATATTTGAGAAATTTTAGCTTCTCATTTTCTTTCTATGGATTTTATATTGGATGAATAGCTAGAGAATATCAGAGAACTACAATCAAATTTACTTTATTTTACATTTATATTGATCTATGTTTACAGGAAGACTGTCCGTTCATTGTTTGCATGACGTACGCTTTTCAAACACCAGATAAATTATGTTTCATATTGGACCTTATGAATGGCGGTGATCTCCATTATCATCTCTCTCAGCATGGTGTCTTCAGTGAACAAGAGATGAGATTTTATGCTGCCGAAGTCATCCTTGGTCTTGAACATATGCATAAACGCGGTGTTGTGTACAGAGATCTCAAACCAGCTAACATCTTATTAGATGAACATGGTCATGTTCGCATATCAGATTTAGGTTTAGCCTGTGATTATTCACGTAAAAAGCCTCACGCTTCTGTGGGCACTCATGGTTACATGGCACCAGAAGTATTAGCTAAAGGAACACCGTACGATTCAAGTGCAGATTGGTTCTCCTTAGGATGTATGTTGTACAAACTGTTGAAAGGCCATTCTCCCTTTAGACAGCATAAAACTAAAGATAAACATGAAATTGACCGAATGACCATGACAATGAATGTTGAACTCCCAGATACCTTTTCTCCTGAACTGAAATCTCTCCTTGACGGACTTCTTTTACGCGATACTGATAAAAGGTTAGGGTGTAAAGAAAATGGAGCGGAAGAAGTAAAAGATCATCCATTTTTCAAAGGAATCGATTGGCAATTGGTTTATCTACAAAAATATCCTCCTCCTTTAATACCTCCACGAGGTGAAGTTAATGCTGCTGATGCCTTCGACATTGGCTCGTTTGACGAGGAAGACACTAAAGGAATTAAATTATCTGATTCAGATCAAGAGTTATATAAAAATTTCCCCGTTGTAATCAGTGAAAGGTGGCAGCAAGAGATTGCTGAAACAGTTTTTGATACCATCAACATGGAAACCGACAAAATTGAACAAAAACGTAAAGCCAAAACAAAATGTAGATTTGAAGATGAGAAAGAATCTGATTGTATACTTCATGGGTACCTCAAGAAGCTTGGTGGACCTTTCGGGTCGAATTGGCATTCAAGGTATGGTAAATTATATCCCAATCGACTTGAACTCCATAGTGAATCTGTTAACACAAAACCTGAACTCATATTTATGGATCAAATTGAAGACATCTCACCCGAATATGTTCAAGTTAAAAATGAAAATGCAATACTTGTCAAATTAAAAGGTGAACCCGGAAAAGATACCAAAATTGTGTTGACCAATCCTGATGAAATCGGAATTAAGGAATGGCTTCACTCCTTAAGATCGACTCACAAAGACTCTGTGGAGCTTCTTGGTAACATGGCTAAGAAAGCGACCAAAATTTATGGAGCCGAAAATCGTACAACACCAGCCAATATTCAGCCTCCCTCAGGACTTAATACCAGTACCGCTGCAGCTCATGTGACCAATGTTTTGAGTAATCGTAACAGTAATTGAAAAATTGTGAAAACAACTCAATGTTGATCAATTAATTTGGATCAACAAAATCAAAAATCATCTTTTTTTTTGAATAATCGTCTTTGCTGTTATATTATACAACAAAAAGGAGAAAGCATAAAGTCCTTCAATCAAAGCTTAAGTGGAGCTTTAAATTTACAAAGAAGCACCAAATTGAAACAAATCAACTCGATAAGAAGAATTGATTTGCATAGCTACTTCGTTCTATATATATAAGAGAATCAACATTCATAACATGCACATACACAGAAAACAACAACAAAACCAAATTCATAACTAACATTTCACTCATTAACTTCATTGAGAAAGAAAACACCGCATCTTCATTTTCACAAATCCAAACAACTTATACATACAAAATACATAGAGAGATTTAAATTCGTAAAAAAAATCAACCTTCTCTGCTCTTTTTTGCTTCTTCTTCTCTATGTAACGTAATATTCATTCTCCTCGTTCTATTTGTAACATCACCAACAGTTTCTCGATGATGTATGGATCTTCATCTTCATCATCATTTTCATAATTATTATCATCTTCATTCTCATCACTTGTCGTCATCATCAATGATATTTCTTACTGTTCACATCACGATGAAGAAACATTCGGAAGCCTATTTTGCTCTGTCGTGCGCTTTACACTTTCACTTCCCTTTTCATCATAATCACTCTCTCTCTCTCTCTCTCTCTCTCTCTCTCTCTCTCTCCCTTTCATCTTCTTCATCTTCTTCATCCTTTATCTGTCTCTTTGGTACTCTACTTGTAATCCAATGTCAATTTATCGGATCAATCCAAAGGAACCAAAAAATAGTGAATTTTATCAAGAGCGAAAAGACAAGAAAAATCAAGAAATGCGAAGGTAGAGAAAATGAAAATTGAGATTCGCAACAAAAAACAAGCACAAACACAAAGCCTAAATCGATCTCACTTCATTAACTTTTTAATTACATTAATCTTCATACTCATCCATCCTTTGCCACACTTCGGTCATCAGCTTTCTAAAGCCACAAACGGATTAGAGAGATTTGTAAATCTTGATAATACCTGTATAAATATTCATGAGAGGCAGAAACGCTTCAATCTATGTGATCACAAGCTACTTCATCGTATTTGGTTGTAATCTTTCCTCTCTCTTCTTTTCTCTATTTCTTTAACTCCTCTTGATGTTAAAATATAATTACCAATATTCGATCGATTCCTGCGTCCAATCAGATCGAGAACTTGTGCTTTTCCGTTAATTACCTTTGTTACCTACAACAAATTGATGTTTTTTTCCTCATGAACAATGGATAACAACAAGAAGAAAAGGATTGATCAAATTGTTTAATTACTGTTATAATTATTACGCTTATAAACTGGTTTTAATGGTGATTTATACTCAACAAATTACCTCTCGTTATTACTGTAATGTGTTACCAAAAGTTATAAGACTCGAACAAAGAAAGAAACAAGAAAACACCGTTAAGATATTCTCGTTGAAACGGAACTTTTATCAATCATCTTCACGAAAGAAAAACATCAATATTTGTAATCGAAATTTTCGATAAACTATCATAAACCTCGAAAACAAGGTGATGAAGTGCAAAAGAAGAGACAAAAAGTGATCTCGTTGATAGTAATCATCAATTAACGTAATGTTGGAATTCCCTTTGATTGTGACAACAATTGAAAAAAATACGTTAATCTCGACAAGTTGATCTATTTCTTTTCTTTTTATTACCACTGTTAATTACTTCTAATTTCCATTAACTGTTTTAAGTCATTATCTTTTTCTGTTACAAGTTAACCTTCTCTTCCTCTCTCATTTTAATCTGATATTTATAACTTTATCTTAATTAATCTAATATTGTCCAAAAAGAAACATCAACAACCAAACACAATTAAGGAAACAGGAAAGAAAAAGTAGTTACATTAATCAAGTATCAACACCATCATCAATATCATAATCACCATCACAATCATCGTCAGTAAACAAACAGCAACAATGTCCAATTGTAATGAAGGATAAACCAAACCAAAGGTTTTTAATTGTAAATCTCAATCTTGTAATATTACAACTTAAATCAGCCAAATCTCTGTCCCGATTAATTAGTAATCACTTTCTCCCTCCTTTGTAACTTATCTTCCTCATCATTATCATCATTATCTATTGTTATACCTTCTCTCTTTCTCTCACCAATCATTGTAATTGTTTCTTCTGTCCTCTAACTCTCTCTCTCTCTCTTCATCTTCTTCATCTTCTTCATCCTTTCCGGTTCCTCCTCCACTTCTCATCATTGTAATTCCTCCTTTGTAGCCTGAACTCGAGTTTATAACTGTACCTCCAACCTCATTGGAAGATGTTTTTTGTTGAGGGTCAACAGTTGATTAGTCAATTGTTTGCTTAAAGAAAACAACTTTATATCCACCAGTTAGATTGTTAATTGAAAACTCTGGTCAATTAATCCTCTCTTTTTACATTATCACCAATCCAAGATTATCCTCTTCTCATTTTCTACTTCAATTATTAGAGCTTTATAATGTTTGTAAAATCATCAACGTTGATCAACAAACACAACAACAAATGTCCCTCAGTAACTTTGTCATAATCATCAACTCTTTTTACTATTGTTAATCTTAATCACCTCCATTTACAGTATTCGTATGTTTTATGATGATTGTAACAATTATGATCATGATTATTACTCCATCATGTCTTTTTCTTTAATAGGATTCAATGTAAAGTAATAACAATTTAATATTACTACTCAGTGGAAGTAACTAAATTTAGAATCATTTATTGTAGGTTTTAACACAGAGAGATAGAGATAGAGGATAACAAGTTAACTTGTTTCAAAATGAAAAAAAATTGGATCGATGATTATGATTAACTTAATTTAAATAGATTGATGTTCAAAAGAATAATTGATGATTTTAATTATCTCTTGGAATATGAAGAAAGAAACTGATTGTTACTTAATCTCTTCTTTTTACTAATCATCACCATTCAGGTGATAATTTGTATTCGCATGATAACAATCAATTGCCATTCTCAATCTTCCGTTGAAAATGAACTGAAAATTAGCACCAACCATGACCTTCGATGAAAAATGTCTTCCAATTTTCAAAGAATTTTCTCCACCATGAATAACACTTAGTACTCAGAACAATTGAAATGATTAATTATACTACCATGGTAATAATACGTTGATTAGATCCAAATTGTTCCCACTTGCAGTTGATCATCTTCCACCTTCCACCTTGAATCCTCCGTCTCTCGTTCTCATCTTATTACCTTATGTAAATTTCTGGTTTCCAATTGATTAACATTTTCCACCTTCAACAAGTCAACTACCTCTCTTTTTAACTCTCACTTCTCATCATCATCTTCATTGTCTTCACTTCCTTTCATGTTTCCTCTTCATCCTTCCCACCCCACCCTCACTCTTGCTCTATCCTTTTTTCCCTCTGACAAAATGTACTTTCTTTTTCTTGTCATTTTTTTGTTGATGTCTCTTCATTTCTCTTCATGATGATGATGATGCCTGTTAACCCTTCATCTCTCTTCCTATCTCTCATTTCTCATCTTCATCCTTCTTCTCGTTTCTCTGTTTCCTCTTTCACTTTTCTGGACTATTTCAGTTCTAATCATTAACTTCAATGTTACCACTCAAATTATCAGAAAAAAATCAGAAAATCGAATGGGATTTGATTCTATTGTATAAAATAAACTCAATACGCTTTTCGAAATTAAAAAAGGAAAACATCTCATTTTTTTTCTTTATTCTATACTCAGTCAATTATCTTCTCCAAATATTACCTGTAATTCAATTAATTCATCAATTAACAGAGGTGATAAAGGAGAGATTGAGAATAGGTTTGTATTCATCTTACTTGAATTAACTATTTAAACAGCTCATTGATTGAAACAATTGACCAGCAATCGATTAAGAGATTGGAATAGATATTGACACTATTTTCTAATCCAAATTGCAATTAAGTTAATGAAACAGATATTTTCTCAAAAAGATCATGAAGATAAGTAACTAAATTGGATTTATTATAATTACCATCATCATCATCATCTTTTCCTCTACATCAACACGTTAATCATGTATTGATTCAACTTCAAGATGATTGAACAATCAACTTTAAAAAAAACCTGAGAAGACAAGTTAGTTAGTTGATTGCGTTTCATTTTTCTCAAATAAACTTTTTCCTCTTCTTGATCATCAACAAATCATCTTTAACTTTTCTTGTTAATCACTTTAAGCTAATACCTGATGTCTTAATAATCATCACCTTTAATTGTCTTCTTCTTGTTTACTTCCCACCCATTTTTTTCATCCTTCATCTTCCTTGTTCAACTTATTCTCATTTGCTTCTGTTATCCGTTGAACCGATCACAATAACAACGTGGACAAGATCAGCGACAACGACCTGATCCAAACCGAAGTAAAGTTTAAATTGATCTGAAAAATTTACAACTTCAATCGTAATCATTTTGACTATCGTGCTAATCAATTGTCCAGTTTATCTGAATCTCTTATTGAAATGACAACCGAATCAAGTAAAGTTGAAACAAATGAAGTAAAAAGTGATGTGGTCACTGGTTATTATGAACAAGATGGATACAAAATTCACTACGAGAAAGTTGGTCATGGTGATTGTGCTGTCTTCATATTTCCTGGAGCTTGTGGTGAGTCATTTAATTATAATTACAACTCTTATCTGAATGTAAAAATCAATCAATAACTTAATCCAATGTCAAAACTTATCATTGACCGACAATCATTACCTGTGGATTCAAATGATTGGTAATTGTTGATTGTTTTATCGAATCAGGAAATGGCCGAACTGATATGAAACCACAATTAGATGGCTTTGATAAGGATAAATTCACCTTAATTGCTTGGGACTCACCTGGATTCGGACTGAGTCGTCCCCCTGAACGAGATTATAAACTTCATGCTGAGGATAAGTTTTTTTACCAATACGATGCTGAGACTGTGGTTAAATTGATGGCAGTAGGTTCATTTTTCTTCATGTTTTCCTATTACAGATCAAATTGTTGTTCCAATGTTATTTAAATTTGATTGATTATTTAGTTTTTTCATTCACTAACTTGAGAAAAAAATTCTTTCATAACTGTTGATCAAATTGAATGAGAAAAGTTTCAATTGAGTTTTTTTCTCTCATCAAATGAATGAACAAATCTTCCTGAAACTTTGTCAACATCAGAAGTTTTCATCTTTTATCATCATTTTCATTCAATTTAATTCAATCTCACTTATCAATTAATCTTGTATTTTTCAAGTTGATCATTGAGAGTTAATTTAACAGGTTGATTTGCAATTAATTATTTACAATTCGAGTGTTAAACCATAAGGATAATTTGATTTTAAGGGTTATAACAATTAGTGTAAATTGTCATTCATTTTAATTAGTTGCAGGTTTATAAAAACCAATTTAGTCTTGAAATGTATTCAGTTTAATAACTTTTTAGGTGAAAAATAAGATCAGTTTTTTAGGTGAATGTTAGTTCATCTAATTGTTAATAATCAGAAAAATAGATTCAAATGATTGGTTGAATTAAAAGTAAATCAATCAAATTCATTTCAATTCTGTCTGCTGGTAATCAAATTTTTTTTTCTCAAAAAGTTTCTAATCTGATTACTTTAATAACGAGGTTATTGGTAAATTGTTGGAGAAAAGCTTAGTAATAATCGTTAAAATTGGATTATTTTCGTTTCCAATTAGTTGATTGTCGAGTTTTCTAATTGTATCAGGACAAGAAATGCGAAAAGCAATCAACCTAAAGTTAATTTGCATGTCTCTTTTTTTTCTGTTTCCAATTAAGACTAATTATCGACGTCAGTTCGTTAGTTTGAGGTCACTTTTGTTTCCAATATCTAAATTGTCTTTAAGATCATTTGAATGTTTGATGTTTTTTACTCATTTCGTTTCATTCATCATAAAGCATTTAGGTTATGACAGTTTCTCTGTAATGGGCTGGAGTGATGGTGGTAAATCTGCCTTACTGGTTCCCATTTTGTTCCCGGCGAAAGTTGAAAAGCTTGTGGTTTGGGGAACTTTGGCTTATATTCCAGAGAAATATAAAGATATGTGGAGAATTCTTTGTACTCTGGAAATGTGGGAAGAATCGAAGGAATGAGTACATCAAAATCTATGGTAATCGTGAGACACTCGAAAAGATTTGGTATAAACACATGAGTTACACTTATACCACAAGCGACATTTGTAAGGACAGAGTAAAGGAAATTAAATGTCCGACTTTCGTGTTACATGGTAAGAAAGATACTATGATCCCGAAAGAGTTTTCGACCATTTGGTGGCAAATATTCCCGACGTTGAATCTCATCTATTTCCTGATGGAGTTCATGATATTCATGTCAGTCATGCTGAACAATTCAACAGGCTGGTTCAGAGATTCCTTTTAGATTGAATTCGTATTGATTGACACGATGAAATCTAAAATAATAAACTAATTTGATTGTACGATGTATTCGTCTATTACTATTAAACGATTTTTAGAATAACCGTAGTTTCATCCACTGACCTGCGGTTGAATGAATTGTATATTTGCTTTTATCACAGGTAAAACTACATTATTTACAGTTAAAAATGTCCCCGATTTACAATAGACTTTACAAAGGGAACGACATAACTGTACTAATATTTACACAACAATTAGGAGAGAATATAATTAGCTACTTGTTTATTTGTCTTTTTTCAACGATGCAAATGGATCTGTCCATGACTTGAAACCACCGGGTTGAATGGACTCTTTATCAACTCCTTTACGATTCCTTTCTTGAATCCGACCTAAGAAAATAAAATAAAACAAATCAAAATCAATTTAGTTTTCTAATAAAATATATTCCAAGTGAATCAGATTAAGGAAAGATCTGTGACAATCTCACAAATAAGCTTCCAAGTCACTGAATTTTCGATTGTATCATACTGAACACTTTTGAACAATAAATAAACAGTAAAAAAATTTCATGAAAAAATACAGAATTTCAATGAATTAACTTTACTTACGATATTCAGCATTTCTTGATTTCGGAAAAAAATAAAGTGGATAAATGGAGCCGATGATCACACCAGCGACTATTAAAACCAGATTACGACCCTTACCTACCTTCCATGTAGACAACCTGATAGACATGGATATAAAATAATCAACCAAATAATCTGAACAAAACAAAAATAACACAATTAAAAATGAATTAAATTCAATCAAAGACAAAAATGAAAATTTTCAAAACATAAACAACCACAAATTTAGAGACTTTTTCTCCCGCTAGATGGCACTGAAATTCATTCGTTAATTTAAATCAATTAACTTTTAATTAAAAGAGATTATGATGATTGATTGAATATTAATCGATTGAGAATTAAGTTCAACACAATGAGAAATTAAAAATTGAATATTCAATCAGTTGGTTCTAAGCAATTAGAATAATCTTTTTTTCTATTGGAATTTTTTTCCACATTGAAGATTAGGAGAAAGTCCCTGAAGATTTAAAATCCAAAATTTCCACATGGTTTTGGTCAGAATTTTGTTTGAATATAAATTGGAATAGAATTTTTTTCTAATTGTTTTTTTTCTTGATTTAAATTGTTTTGTGTTAATTTGTTGAACCATGGGTAAGAAAGCTACTGCCCGGAAGACACTTCCTTCTCATAAAAGAGTCTACATGACTCGAAGTCGGGCCATGCAACGGCTCCAATTATCATTGAAGGATTTCAGGCGTTTGTGTATTTTAAAAGGTGTTTATCCGGTTGAACCGAAAAAGATTAAAAAAGGAATGACTCGAGGTAAAACATACTATTTACGAGATGATATTAGGTATCTTGGTCGTGATCCGGTAATCTGGAAATTCTGGGAATATAAAACATTTCTTAGAAAGATGACTCGAGCAAACGCCCGGAAAGATGAACACAAATTAGCAACTCTACGAGATAATGTGCCGACATACAAAATGGATCATATTGTTAAAGACAGATATCCAACGTTTATTGATGCTCTTAAAGACTTGGATGATGCTTTATGTATGTGTTTTCTTTATGGAAATTTCTCCAAAATCAAAGGTGTTCCTGTAGAGATAGTTGATCTTTCTAGACGGTTAACACTTGAGTTCATGCACTATGTTATTGAGTCTAGATCATTGAGAAAGGTTTTCATCTCAATTAAGGGTTATTATTATCAAGCGGAGATAATGGGCCAAACAATAACATGGATTGTTCCCCATCAATTCGTTCTGTTGGTAAGTTTTTTTTTAGTCAATTCTAACTGTCAATTTAAATCTGGTTCGTCCCTATTTCATTTATAGTAAATATCTAATATTAATTTTTCTGTTCTTCTTTCCAAAGTCTAATCCCGAAGTTGACATGAGAGTCATGAGATCCTTCACTGAATTTTACATCACTCTTCTTGGATTTGTTAATCATAAGCTTTTCTCTAGTATCAACATGTATTATCCTCCAAGAGTAAGTTCTTCATCATCATTGTCTCATCTTGAATTTGCATTTCATTAATAATTTTTTAATTACAGCTTAGCCTTGCTAAAGAGATGGATAAGGAAATAATCACTGGAGAGGATAAACTACATGCTATGTATGAATATGTTGGATCATTAAATAGATCATTACCACGCCGAAAAGAAGATATTCCTGCGGAGAATAAACCAGATGAGTTTGAAGAAGATGAAGAAGAAGAAGAGGGTGGAGAAGAAGGTAAAGAAGAGAGTAAAGAAGGTGAAGAGGAAAAAAAGAAGAAGAAAACAATATCATATCATCAGCTGGTTAAACAACAAAACTTATTTAAAGGTCTTAAATTTTTCCTTGGCCGTGAAGTACCTCGAGAATCATTGACATTTGTGATAAGATCTTTTGGCGGACAAGTTTCATGGGACAAAATTTCATTCGTCGGTGCCACTTACAGCGAAGCCGATACTACCATAACTCACCAGATTGTTGATAAAGAAGTGATACCCAACAAATACATGAATCGCTACTACATTCAACCGCAATGGGTTTACGATAGTGTTAATGCTCGAACTTTACTTCCAGTCGAAAATTATTTCCACGATGTAGTCTTACCTCCACATTTATCTCCATTTGTAGAAATGAAGGAAGGCAGTTATGTGCCACCGAGCATTTCTTACCAACAAAATAACGCCTTTGGTGAACGACAGGGAACAGAAGAGAACGACGATGAAGAAAGTGGAGAAGAAACTGAGGAGGAAGAGCCTGAAAATAAAGTCGAACATCATATTAAGGAATTAAAGATGAAAGTAAAAGCAGGTAAAGTGAAAACAGATCGAAAACGTAAAGAAGAAGAGAAAGCCGAAGAAAAGAGACTTGCTGTCATGATGATTCCAAAGAAACGAAAACGATTGTACGATAAAATCATGTATGGAAAACGACGAAATGTCCGAACCGCTGAAAAGCTCAAGGAGAAACGCGAAAAGTACGAGGCTTCCCAAGGAAAACAGACCAATCAAAACAATAAATCTAAAAACAAAACAGCAATGAAAAGAAAACGACAACATTGATCATCGCATCTATTCAAGCAATCGGATTATCTTCATCTTGATGCTACTAGAAACACAAATTCACTTTTTATCAACTTCGTGCCTTTCGGACTCCAGTCAATTGGTCAATTATTTGAATCCCTTTTCGATTTTGATCAATTGCTTGTAAATAAACGCGCTAATTAATGGTTTATTAAGACGTTCAATCAATCATGATAATGGTATATAAATAAGTTAACAGTGATTCAAGTTTTTGTGATTAAATGGCTCGGATAAGAAAAAAAATCCCAGAATTAATTGTTAAGTGTAAATCCCTTGTTATTGATCACCTCATTAATCAATATGATCGCGTCAATAGTTTCAACCTTTTCATGAACAAGGATCATTTTTATCAAAGATTATTAATATGATTTAACTGTTTGATAGTTTCAAATGTTAACTCGCGATTAGTTGGTCATTTAAACGTCAACTGTTGAATTGATGTGTTCGACTCATCAATTAGTAACCATTGGTGAACAATTAACTTTAAATCAATAGGATTATTACACATCATTTAACTTTATTGTGTTAATCATTTTTTTTTTTCATCAAAATCGTTTCCAAATCATTAATCATTTTCACTGGAAAAAGGTAATCAAAGTTTAAGAAACAAATGATTGTGTCTCTTGGAAGTAAATGATTATTGTTATAAATTAAGTTAATGGCATTTCCTTCATCATGTTTTGGTTTCCAATTCTTTATCTTCATTAACTTTTTCATCTTCTTGGATAATTAATGTAATTAAATCACAGCGAGAAATGGGAAAGAGAAAAAAATGGCAAATTGTTTCGTTTACAAAATTAACATTCTGTGTAACATATTAAAATGAGGACAATGAAGTCTTATTTTTCATTGATTTAAATTGCAATCCGATTAGAGTTGATTCATTAGATTTAATCTGGATCAATAATAATAAAATGATTAGTTGATGTTTTTCAGTTGAACAGTGACTAGGATATACATATTAATGAATATGTTTAAAAGAACCAAAGGAACCAAAGGTAATTAAGATTATGATTCGAATGAGTTGATCAAAATTAAGAGAGAAGATGAAAAGTTGTTGATGATTGTTGATTCTCTCTGGATTTTTAGGTTGGAAACGGAGAGATTAAGAATCTTGGGAAAGGATTATCTTCGAAGTATCATCACAAAATCCATTTTGAATGTAGACTTGATTTGCTTGATAAAAGTTATATAATAGTAATGAAGAATAGAACAATTGATGAGAAAGAAAAGCTTAATTGTGAGCATTAATCTTTAGAAATGTTATTCATTATTTCAACCTTTTGGAAATGAAGGTAATCAAGATTTGACTGAGAATAGAAAGCAACAAAAATCCTAAAATCAATTTGATTTGCTGAGAATTACCAAGTAATCCAACAATTTCTGAGTTGCTTTGGGATGTTGATTGTTTCGTCTTCCCTTGTTGTAGACTTTTTGGTTGATTGGAGGCATTAGGATGAAGTTGTTTCTCAATGGTGCATAATTTATCATGAAGTAAATTCAATTTATCGACAATTTGTTCAATTTGTCCTTTTCCAGCTAAAAGAAGGTTGGTTTCAGTTCGATTCTCGAGATGCGAATTCGAGGTTGCCGATACTGAACTATGTTCACTGCCTAAGCTTTCAGTCTTCTGGTCTCTGGGTGATTTGGGAGATCGATGAGTGGACAATCGAGCAGCAGTCAATGGATTATCGATCGAAACAACTGAACTGGTTCGACAAGCAACTGTTGGTGTTTTATGACGAGTTTTGGTTTGGATTTGAAAGTTTCGTTCGTATTGTAATACATCCGTTCGTTGATCCCATGGACGTGAATCGAGATGTTTGTAAACCCAATCACCGCTACACAGATCGTGGATAAAATTGCGAGAAGTCCAAGATTCTTTGTTCATTAATCGTTCTCTTGCCCCTCGGCGTTGCTCTTCTTCAAGAATGGTCTTCTCATCAGTTGCGGCAATTTGATCGCCTTTAATTATTGCATTGGTTACATTTCTCCAAAGTTTGTCTGATTCAAAATCTTCTTGGGAATCTAATGGAACCAGAAACCTTTTGAGTCTACAATTTCTTACTTCCGGTGTAACCTCCCACAGAACAGATTCTTGACCAGTTCGTTTGTCTTTCACTTTGATCAGGGTGTCCCAATGTCCATCCAGAGTGCATAAAGTTTCCTTTCCAAGTTTTATTTTACCGACAACATTATTACACAGTTCAGATCCTCCAAGGAAAGGTTTCAATTTGAATTCCATTTCAGTACAATAGCCCGTTTTTTCACATTTAATGTCAACCTTACCTCCCAATTCTAGACTCAGATTCCCCATCAGGATACCTTTACAGTGAGCATAGGGCATTGTTAGGGTGTAGTCTTCACCACGGGTGAGAAAGGTTAGCTTAGCAGTGCCATTTAAAATGGCAGAAACTGAATTACCATAGAACTTTGATTTAGCAAGTATACTTCCTGATATACAGTAACCATCTTTCCTGTTAGTTACATAGAAGGTGCTGATTGGTGGATGATGGGAAACTTGCTCGGAAATATAAAAGGTTCGACTATCGGTTTCCGGATGAGCCCAATAACAGCGGAAACACTCACCCAAAATTGGATTGTAAGGTTTTTTGAGACCTTTGGGTTTCTTGTAGAAACCGGAAAGATACCATTTGACCACTTTTTTCATTCGTATTAATGGATCTTCCTCGATAACCGCTTTAGAAAGGATATCACAGTGGTAATAGTAGTCACTTAATTTGTCTAGAAATGATCGAGGTTCCAATATGAAAGTGGGTAGAACAACTTTCGAAAGATCCATTCCAGGTCGAACTTGTTTCAATAAACTCCATAGTAAAGATTTGTTCTCTTCAGCTACCTCTTCGGTTTGACATTCTTCGCCCATGGTTGACACATCTTCTGTAATCTCTTCAACGTAATTAGTCTCAATTATCGTCTCTTCAATTGATTGGCTTAAATTAAAGCCAAGTGTTCCACCGATGGATTGTTTAATTGCTCGAGATGGTCGTGGTTCATGTATACTAATGGTACTTGAATCAGAATCAGTTGAATGGTGTCCTTGAGAAGCTGTATCAGGATTTTCTTCATGATCAGTTTGCGTATCATCTTCCAAATCATGATCTTTAAAGTGACGCTCAATTTCACTTTCATCTAAATCTAATTTAGCTGATGTTGGTGGGGAACAATCTTCAGCTGAAGAATTTAAATTACTAATGAAAGAGTTTAAAGTGTCTCGAGGGTTACCCCCACTTCTCATCAATACAATTGAACAATTAAGAGAAACTTCTATCGCTTTCATCCAATTGAGACCTGCTTGTTCAGATGGAGCTCTAAAAATAAGATAGTTCATCGGTAAAGGCTGTACAATGGCACCGAATGATTCACCGCGAGGACCACGAGGAGCCCAAATAGTTTGATCCAAAGGGTTAAAAAGTTTGAAACAAAATCCATCCTTTTTAGAAGGTCTTTCAATTATCTCACACATATTCAGTAAAATGGTTCCAACCCAATATCCGCTTTTATGAGTCTTGGAATTTTTGTAAAGAACCAGAAGACCAGGTTTAAGCTCACAGTAAAGTTTTGTCCAACTTTTGAGTGTCCCCCTGACTTTAAGCCAGTCCGCCATCACGAGAACTGTTGGATCGTTTAAAATGGAAAGTAATTCTTCAACGGCCTTCTTTTTCTGCTTCTGGTATAATCGTTTACTGTCCTTATAAGAGTCACGCTTAATTGATCCAGGTGGAATTACCTCATAATTAATATTAGCTGTTAATGAGGTGGGAGTGGTAGGTGATAGAGGATCACTGGCATTATTGGATGAGATGGATGAAGTAGACATTGTTGTCTTTAATGATTGGTGGGGATGAGGATGTGATGAGTGTACATGATGGTGGCTGTTGATTGGAGCCAAGTTGATGGTATGATCATTGTTTCCCGTAGATGTTGTTGGTTGTGGAGAGGAAGATGATACTGGTTCATTTGATGATGTAGGTAAAGATGATAAAGTTGGTACAGTTGTTGATGTGGTGATACCATCACTAGAAGCCATATTATTTAATTGTAGTAAATGTTAAGAAGGTTAATAGATGAATGAAACTTTGATCACAATTTTATGATGAAGGTGATGACGACAACATTGATGTTGATAATTTGAGATAAATATTTCCTTTGTATTTCCTGTTAGTTCATAAAAATAACCAACACACAGATAAAAGATGAGAAATAAAATATCATCCAGGTTGATTGAAGCATGATGTCAATAATAATCTCGAGTAATGGGAATTGTTCATTCTCATCCAAGTAAAAAATACGAAAATAAAACACACAAACACAGACAACTAAAACCAATAAGATATTGAAACACTAGAAGAAGAAAAAGAAAAATATAAAATGAGAAAAACAAAACAAAAGCTTGAGATTGAGAGAGATGAAAATAAGTGGAAAGGAAATAACAACAAGGAAAGATGAAGGCAAAAGAAGGAAGAAACCAGAGAAAAAGGTAAACAAATGATAGTCAGAATTTTAAGAAAAGACGACAGCAGAGAGAGAGAGAGAGAGAGAGAAGAAGAGAAAGAAAATTGTAAAAAGAATAAAATTTATCAACTTACCTTGAACAGGAGAGATTGATGATTATTCAACAATAGAATAGAAATAAAGAAAAATATATCAGCTAAAAGCAATTAGTGAATCATGATAGACTCTATTGGAAATGTTGGTTTTGTAATATGAATATTATTGATGACTGATGATGATAATGATGACAATTACAATAACAGTTTAATAACGATCAAGATGATGGATAAAAAAGGTGGTGGAAGTAAACTAAAGATGATAAATAAAAGGTATTAATCTGTATTGATTAACGTAATCAGATGATTAAAGGGAAACATGAACAAGAGACATGCTCATATAAACAAAGTTCATTTAATTGAAATCCAATTACTTTTTAAAGTGTATTGTTAATTAGGTAGAGTAACATGATATTGGATAACACCAACATTCACAATAACAATTAATAAAATTAAACAGACAATTAAAGAGTCAATTGAAAGTCTAACAGTTGAAGAGAAAAAAATTAATTAAGGAAATGAAACTTGTTTTCATTTATTTTTTTTTCTCTTCTTGATTGAGCTGAGTGAGAATATTTTTTTTCTTCAACTAGATGGCGACACTTTAAGAGAATTTAAAACATGACAAAGAATGGAAATTAATTAATTTCTGTTAATTGTTAAGTAATTGGATCATTTTTCTTTATCATTTATTAATTGTTATCTTTTTAAGTTTGTGAATTATTCAGGATCAGGATTCTATATAGTAAGTATTGTTTTTTACTTTAGAAATTTGTATCAATTGTCTTTTCTTTAAGAAGGTTTTCTCTTTTTCCTTATTTATGACTAAAAGGTTATCACATGTTGAATTGATTTCTATTTTTGTTTTGATTGTTATTATTTATTTATTGATTAGATTTTTATTTTTAGAAACAATTAAGAGATGCCTATGACGGAGAAGGATATTGCTGATCAAATTAAAGTGTTGACATCTCAGCTTGGACTGATTAAAGATCAATGTAAATTATTGGAAGATGAATTGAAACGACTTGAAATGGAAAGAGAGCAAATCAAAATGAAAGAGTTAAAGGAAGAAGAGGAAAAAGAGGTTAAAGAACATCAATGTCAATGTCAATGTCAACAATTAGCAGTTGATGATTGGAGAATAATTCATTTAAAAGAAAATCCAGTTGACAATAGGATCAATCGAGACTGGGAACATTATCGATTTCTCAAAGCAGAGAATAAAAAACTCGCCGCCCGATTGGAAATAATTGAAGCTGGTCAGGTTGCCGACATCACTCGAATGGTCAATGAAGAGATTAATTATAGTTCGGAGATTGAACGTCTCAAAATAGCCTTACAAATATCCGAATCAAAGAGAGGAAAATACATTGAGGAGTGTAAAAAGCAAATCAAAGAATTGAAAGAAGCATTTCTAAGTCTAACTGGATGCCGAATCGAATTCACTTCCAATGGTTACAAGGTGTCGTTCCTTTACGCTGAGAATCAAGCATCGGATTTATTATTGTTCAAAATGGAAAACAAAGAGCTCGAACTATTGGAGAATGATTTTTCGAAAAGCCTGAAAACTTTTGTCCATCGTTATCTTGTCCAGCACGATAGTTACCCGGCATTTATTGCCGCAATAACATTACACTTATTCAAGAAATCATTTAATGTTGAATAAGTTGTTTTATATTTTTTATCGAGTTAATCAATTCTGCCTAAAGTTAATTTTTTCAATTTCATATTCTTGATTATATTTTTAATTTTTAATTTCTCTTCGCAATGATCTCAATCAAATACCATCACATTCAATCAAAATTTCTGAAAAGAGACAATTAATCTATTGGAACAGAGTAACAATTTCTTTTAACTACTAATACTCATTTCGATTTTGTTAAAAATCAATTATTTGTATCCAAATGTTGGTCCAACTTTGAAATTCAATTTCCATTTTATAAAATGATTAAAGTTTTTCGTATATCGTTTCTTTATTGAAAAAGAATCTCGACTATTGACAATCGATTGATCTAATTACATTTAAGAGTAAGAAGATTTGAAATTGTTCATCTAACTATTGTCTGAGAAATTTTCAGACAATTTATGTGAATTATATATAAATAGTGTGAATTTTGTTAATTTTGAGCAAATCGAAATTATTAATAATATAAGGCAATGATTGTTGCTTTGATTCGTTCGAGTCCTTAGACTCTTAATCATTTAAGGAACCATAATTGCTCCTTTGGCTTCTTGGGTTTTGGCCTCGATTTCTTTGGTCCAATCATGTTTACCAATTCTTGTAATTGTTTCGATTAGAATTTTTTTTGACACATCGGCGAGTAATTTGAGTCGACCCATAACCAGATCAACAGTGACCGATTCACCTTCATCTTCGTGCCAACAATCATAATCAGTAACTAAACCAATTGAATTGTAAAATAATCCTGCCTCAGCAGCTAATACAACTTCAGGAAAGGTTGTCATGCCGATGATATCACCTCCCCATGATTTATAAAGCCTCGATTCGGCCAGGGTGGAGTAACGAGGACCTTCAACGACAACAATACAAGCACCGGAACGATAATCAGCTCCAACTGATTTACAAGCATCGGCGATAATTGATTGGACTGTTTTATTAAAGGCATGAGCTTGGGGAATGTGAGCCACTTTATGAAATGTCGCTAATCGTGATACAGTCCTACAAGAAATTATGAAGGAAAAATATTAATATTAATAGCAAATATTGAAACGGTAACAATTAACTTACCTATCAATATATTGATCAACGATGGCGATCATTCCTGGTTTGTAATTTTCTTGTAACGATCCACAGGCATTTGTAACCAGAACATGAGTACAACCGAGTTGCTTCAATGTCCAAATATTGGCTCGATAATTAATATCGGATGGATTTCGATCATGTTTAGCTCCATGACGACTCATAATAACTACTTCAACATTGCCAATTTTACCGGTGGTAACAACATCATCGGATGGTTTACCAAAAGGTGTGGGACTCGTATTAACCTTGACAATATCTTTAACAATGTTGATATCAGCATCTAATCCCGTTCCACCAATAACACCGATTTTAACCATGGTTGAAATTGAAAGAAATTAACTGACAAAAGAAAAACGAAATCAAATTCACAGGTTAATAAAAAGCAAAAACAGAATAAAAAGTAAATAGTTTAGCTATTGATCTGATGAAGAATCAATAACCATTTAACATTGAAGATGAAATATTTATAATTACCAATTAATTGAGATAAGTGAGTTTCAAAATCACTATAGTAATTTAATCTCAAATTGATTACAGTTAATTAAGTAGAAGAATAGTAATACTATTGAGATTAAGATTAATATTTCTCAATACTTTACGTCGATTATTGGATATCAAAGATAAAGTATCTCAAAAGATACTATTCAAAGCTTTAATCTATCACCAAGATTAATTAACTACTCACAAATTGTAATAATTAACAATCAATAATAACAATTAGATGACTTGAAATCCAACCAAATTCGTTGGTAACCAGATAAAGTCATCAAATTAACGAGTTTATCAATCAAATCACAAATTAGAAAATTTTACAACAAACTCACTCCTTCAATTCACAGAAAAACAATCAAATTAAAATTAAACTAAATCACCAAGATACAAAAATTAACTAATCAACTTAATTCTGTTTTGATTAATAGCCAAAAATAGAAAACATGATTTTCTATAAATCGAATGTTCAAAATTTTTTGTTCTTCTCCCATAGATGTCGCCACTTTTTTGTTTTGATTCTTTTTTCTTATTCACATTTTGTTGTTCATTGAATTTAATTTTTAATCCAATTGTTTTCTTAAATTTTATATTCTTCTTTGATTGTTTTCTTTTTTATTTGGTCAATTGTTGTTCCAAGTTTACTTGGTTCTTTCTAGGTGCTCATGGGATTACAATGTCTTCATCTTTTCCTTTGGTTAAGTTGATAAGTTTAGCTGTTCGTCAAATGAGTAAACCGTTAGCTAATCGAATCAAGGAGAAAGCTAAATCAAGTCTATTCTTCCGTACCTACATTTGTATGCCTCCGGCTCAAACTTATCATTGGATTGAAGTGAATGTTAAAATGAAATTACTCAATTTAGGTAAACCCAATCAGGTGACCAAACTCAATGAAAATTCTGCAATTGAACTTGGAGCTGAACTGCTGGGTGAATCTATCATTTTCTGTATTGCTGTTATCACTGTTACATTAGAGTTCATGAGGTATTTTTATTTTCAATTGTCTATTCTATTTCTTATTAATATGTATTGTCATTTTTTACTCTGATTTGCTAATATTTTAATGTTCTTCTCCAATTTAGACAAGCTCGGAAAGCCAATAATGAAGCTGTTAAAACGGAAGAACGATGGTCAAGTACTGAAGAGAAAATGAGCCAAGTTGAGGAGCAGATAAAAGAGACTCAACAACATTTAGATTCGTTAATTAAATTATTAGAAGAAAAGAATAAATCATTTCTTGATCCATTGAAAAAAATTTTACCTGTAAAAGTTTAGAATAGTTAAATTACTGTTAGTATATAAACCAATATGAAAGTGTATTCATTTTACTCTGTGATTGTGTAAATATATTTTTGTTAATAGACTAATTAACTTTAATTTAATTACACAAGTATAAAGATAATTATTTAGAGTGATTGTATTATGTATGAAATTTTCCAACATTTCCAAGAGAAGATATTTTTCCAAACTGAGACTCGACTTTCAATTGAAAGGCTCCAATCAACGGAGGACAAATCAACGAAATTGTGTCAAAGATACTCGATCATTCATCAACCAGCTTATTGTGAACTCTCATCAGGCTTTTAAAATATTTAACTGTTTTCACCTTCAATTCAAGAGTCGCATCCTCATCACAGACCAAAGTTGTATTCGGGTGCATTTGAAGAGCAGAAACAGTCCACATATGACTTACACCCTCTTCGATAGCTTTATATAAGGCAAACGATTTAGCCGCTCCAGTAATCAGAATCATCACTTCTCTGGCATCCATGACCGTTCCAACACCCACGGTTAACGCTTCATGGGGAACCTTTGATACATCATTGGCAAAGAAACGTGCATTGGCCAGAATTGTGTCCATGGCAAGAGTCTTAAGCCGTGTTCGAGACGTTAAACTTGACCCTGGTTCGTTGAAAGCAATATGTCCATCAGGTCCAATTCCTCCGACAAACAATTCTATTCCACCAGAATCGACAATTTTCTTCTCGTAAGCCACACATTCAGCCTCCAAATCGGACGCGTTCCCGTCAAGAATATTAACATTAACGGGATCAATGTCAATATGTTTAAAGAAATTGTTGAACATAAATGAATGATAACTTTCCGGATGATCTCTTGGTAATCCAACATATTCATCCATGTTAAAGGTTCGTACATATTTAAATGAAATTGATCCTTCTTTATAAAAATTGATCAACTGTTTATAAGTACCAAGAGGTGTACTACCGGTCGGTAGGCCAAGATTGAAGAAACGATCAGGTCCAGGGTTGAATAACTTTATCCGCTTACGAATATACTTGGCAGTCCAAAGAGCGACATCGTCACTATTATCCAATATAATTAATCTCATATTAAATTATTAATAAGGTTGAAGATTATAAAGTCAAGTTGTTACTCAAATAAAGAAAAGGTTATAGAAAATATAATGAGATAATTGATTAACTGTGATGGAAAAAAAAATTAATCGAAATTATCTCGATCAAAACAATCTCTCTCTCTCTCCCTGAAACTGTGAGACAAATCAGGTTACACTGATTCCATTTCAATCATAATTGTCTCATTGAGAATCAACTAATCACTAGTTCAATGGTCTCAATTACCATCAATTATTTAGATACTTTATTAATAAATCACAATCAAAGAGATTCTCAATTGAAGATGAGTGAAAATAAAGTTTCCATGGTTACACTTCACTTATCAATACGAATGAGCAAACGCTCAAAATGTTACATTTTAAATACTAATATTTATTAATAGAATTTGTTTTTATCAATTACAATTTGTTTCTTTTCGTCCATTAACATTCAATCTTTTCGATTGTTGTCCCAATTTATTTCCATATTATCGTAATTATCTCGAGCTGAATACATGAGTTATTGGATTGGATTCTATTGCTGTGAACAGTTGATGAACATTTGAATTCTGGTTCGTCTACGAATTTTTTTATCTTTTCGTTGGTTTTTTTTATTTTCTCTCAACTTGTCAGGTAAATCTTATTATTAATCTTCTTTATCCATATTATCTTATTATTTTCTAGTTGAATTGACAGAGGAGCCTCAACGTTTGTATTGGACGAGAAGAAAAGTTTAAATTTCCATCAACGAGATAATTGATTGACTAATTTGCTGATCGATTTTGAAAATGGTTCTTGTTTGTGTTGTTTGCCGAAAGATGAACTTTACTCCTGGAAATGAGCCAGTCGAATGTGCAAAGTGCCACAAATTGTACCATCAAAAGTGTCATAAACCACCAATTAGAGACACCGATGTTATTGGTCCTCGAACGAAATGGTTCTGTGTCAAGTGTATGAAAAAAATGTTCTCGACTGGTAATAAATGAGTTAACAGAAGAAAAAACAACTAAATCTAATTAACGGGTATTCAATTTATAATAAATTTATTCGAAAATCATTTAAATGTCCTAAATTTCGTCTTGTAAAAAATTCGTAACTGTATTATGATAATAAAGAAAACTTAACTAAATGCCAATCGAACGAACGAAAATACTTATAACGATTCCAACGATTCAACTTATTTCGTTTGTATTTCGACATTTTAATTACAATTTCGAAATTAATTTCGATTAACTTTAATTCTGTTCACTTTTTATACTCATTTAGGTTTCGCGCTGTAAACTATTGATTTTTTTTTCTTCTCTCTCTCTCTCTCATTCTCTCCCTCTTTTTCTCATCTTCTTCATCCTGTTCATCTTTATTTTCTCTCCCTCTCTCACTTTCCTGGAGAGTTTTCGTTTGGAATTGATTTAAATTGTTATTTCCATTAATTGCCATCAATCTATTTGGTCTAATGATCAGTGATTGTCAATTGATCCATTAAAACACTTTAATCAGTTCCAGTGAAAATTGTGATTTGAATCTTTGCCTTTGTTGTCAATCTGAAGCCTCAATCACCCAATTGATTAACCAGTTTTTCCCTATTTTTATCAAATCATAATCTCGATATTATTTTATCATTTGAAATCATCATTAGAGATTTGATCTCGTCTTCTTCCTCTGTGAATTTGCTTATGTGTCGCTGGTGATTTTGTTTTCCTTTCCTTCAAATGGACCAACTAACATTTTATAGTAAAATTGCTTGGGTAAGTTTAATGGTCTCTAATTAGATTGAGAGCAACTGATTGAATAACAAGTTCACCATCAACAATCAGTTGATTAGTTTAATAATCTTGTTAGGAAATGTTGTAATCAAGTTTGTACCAGTTACCAGTTATATCCTTGAAAATTTACTCAATTTACAATTGATTTTGTTGGAAAGACAAATTCAAATGTGTTGATTGTTATTGTTTTCACAATTTGATGGGGCAATTTGTCATTTGCTATTGATCAATTAATATAAACACTTTGTAAACAATTAATTATATTTCTCTTTTACTCTTTTCCAGGAATATATTCAACCCTATGCTGAGATAGTTCAAGATTCATTGCAAGTACAAAAATCGAGGTTCAACTTTATCGCTGGTAAACATGAGCCTTTTACTTTGGTCGCCGTTACTTCAATCGTTTGGTTTATTCTGGTCAAAATTTGGTTAACCTTTAAACCCGATGTCAATGAAGACTACTGGTCAATATTTAAAAGAAAGTTGACCCAAGTTGTACTCAAAATTCCTGGTATCGGGTCACTTGCCAGGAAGGAGATTAATAAGGTTTTAGATGTGATTGATGAAGAGCTGATGGGCATCTACAAGAATCGACCTTTTCAGACCAATTTACCCGACCGAGGATTAGATGTAAATAAAGTGATGGAAATGGTTGACAATTATTTGTCAATTGGTTCAGTCAAATGGCAGGAAGGAAGAGTTTCTGGCGGAATTTACAGCGATCAAAAGATACGGCGTTTTAGATTTGATGGCTGATGTTTACCGGAAAACGGCTTATACTAATCCGTTACATGCCGATGTTTTTCCTGGTATCAGGAAAATGGAAGCCGAAATTGTTAGAATGACATGTAACCTTTACAAGGGAGGACCTGATGCTTGTGGAGTTGTTTCCACCGGGGGAACGGAGAGTATTGTCCTAGTTGTAAAAGCTTATCGAAATTACGCCAAATATGTTAAAGGAATTCGTAATCCTGAGATAATAGTGCCAATCACTGGTCATCCTGCTTTCGACAAGGCTGCAGAGATTTTAAAAGTACAAATTCGTCATGTTCCTATTGACCCGGAGACGAAAAAAGTTTACATCCGAAAGATGAGAAGTGCCATTAACAGTAATACCTGTTTACTTGTTGGATCCGCTCCAGCATTTCCTCACGGTATTTTTGACCCAATCGAAGAGATCGCCAAGTTGGGTCGACGTTACAATATCCCAGTCCATGTGGACGCTTGTCTTGGGGGATTTTTGAATCCATTTGTGGCTGAGGCTGGTTTCAAAGTCGACGAGAGATTTGACTTTAGTGTCTCTGGAGTAACAAGCATCACCGCTGATACGCACAAATATGGTTACGCTCCCAAAGGAACCTCTGTAGTTATGTATGCCAATGAAGAGCTAAGACGTTACCAATATTTCGTTACACCCGACTGGCCTGGTGGCCTTTATGCTTCCCCAACGATTCTTGGTTCCCGTCCTGGTGGTGTTATTGCTGATTGTTGGGCTAGTCTCATGTATCATGGACACGAGGGTTATGTCGAGAAGACTAGAAACATAATCGAGGTTACCCGATATTTTATTAAAAAAGCCGCTAAAATTGCTGGTATCAAGATTTGTGGTTCACCCAAATTGTCTGTGGTCGCTTTGTATTCAGATGATTTCAATGTATTCCAACTGAGCGATGGTCTCACTCAGAAGGGCTGGAACGTCAATGTCTTACAATTTCCTTCGGCTTTTCATATTTGCTTCACTCAGATGCACACGGCTAAAGGGGTTATTGAGACTCTTTTGCAAGATATTGAGGAAATTGCGACAAAACTTTACGCTGATCGAGGTAAATACGTCAAATTGGATGGACAAGCCGCTCTTTACGGGATGTCCCAAAGTATTCCAGACAGATCACTTGTCTCTACTTTCGCCAATCATTTCATTGATTCCTATTACTCGACTAAATACAAATAATTCTTATAAATCCTCTAGAAAAACACTCATGTCATTGAAATTTTAATTTAATAATAAAAAAGTTAATATTCTTAAACCAAAGTTTAATTGGAGAACTAGTTAAACTTAAATGACCAAACAATTACAAAATCTTCCATATTCTTGATCACCAAAAAAAGTCAATTAGTATCGATCTTAACTACTCGTAAATTATTATTCCATAAAAAAAAGTTCAATCAGATTTAACTTTCACCTTTACAATTTATCATTTATCTCTTTACAATCGGAAGCTGAATGATCATATGAAAGTTGATTAAATATTTACTTTAATTGGCATAATAAAGATTAACAATTCTAATCATTTATCATCGGAATTTGATCAGCCAAAACTCTCATCATTCTGCTGTACAAGAGAAACACCCTTAATATGATCATATGGAAAAGCTTTCGGTTGTAATATTAGTTGATTTCATTTGCTCTTTTTTCAATTCTAAGAGTTTTAATTATGTGATCGATAAAAAATATCTCCAAGTTGATAAGTTGATGGATCAAATTTAGTGTGTCAATCGTTTAGTGTCCTTTATTATGATTCGAAAGCGATCATCATCGATCGACGAATCGATTGTCATTGATTTACCACCGACATCATTGCCTAAACCATGTATTCCTTTCAGGTACTTTGTCATGTTCATGATTTTCTCATGCACAATGATTGGGTATTCAGTTAAATCAGTTATAAATGTCGCCATTCTTGCAATGGTTGATAATTCAAACGAAACGTCGGATTCATTGGTCGCGAGACATTGGCTGGGCAAATTTAGATCCTCTGGTCAATTCGAGCAAGTAAGTAAGCGACTGTACCTAAAATGTGTTGAAAGATTCGAGCTCTTTTATTACTTTAGTCTCAAACATTCAACTGGAATCAATATGATCAAGCTTTGGTCCTCGGTGGGTACTTTTATACCTTCACTGCCTCGCAACTTATTGGTGGCGTTATAACGGATAAGTCAAATATCGTCATTCTAATGAGTTTAACACAAGCATTTGCAGCAATTTGTACTCTTGCAAGTCCGATTGCTGCTTCAATTAGTATCTATTGTTTAATTGCCGTCAGAGCTTTGACTGGTTTGGCTCATGGTGTCATGTTACCTTCGTGCTTCAATCTAGCGAGCACTGGTTCCCGGTGAAATATCGTTAGTTCAAAGTTTAATTGCAGTTGGCTGTAATTCTGGTACAGCAATTACCTTAACATTAACTGCCTGGTTGTGTCAATCTAACCTTTGGGGTGGTTGGCCCTCTGCATTTATCATCATTGGAATTGTCAATTTAGGTTATGCGGTCATTTTTTACTTGACCATGTCAAATGATCCACAATCAAGTCGTTTAACAAGCAAATGGGAAAAATCATATCTTTCCAAAGTAGTTGTAAACAAAGTGACGACGAAAAAGGTATTAAATTAATCAATCTAAAATTCACAGTTACACTCCAATCAACTACATAGAAATAATTAACATTCATGATAATAATTATCAGACAAACTTTTAGATTGGATTACACCTCAAATGAATTTCGTCAATTTAAAACAATTTAGCTTGATGTTTGTATCATTTTCTATTAGCTTAAAACCCCATGGATTTCATTGTTCACTTCTCTACCTCTATGGTCCATTTTTTGGGTTCGAGGATTAAGTGGATTAGCTTATTATACAATTAACACTAAAATTCCAGTTTATCTTGAGCAAATACTTCATTATGATATCACTAACAATGGATTAATCAATTCATCGTTCTATGTGGTCATTGCTCTTGCACAATTGATTACTGGACCATTGGCTAAATTAATTATTCTCAAAAAATGGTTACCAAGAACTTTGACCAGAAAAATTTTCGAATCTTTTAGTAAGAAAATAAACAGAGAAACGTCCATCATTTAATCTGCTAATCAATTGATTTCATTTGTTAGTTTTACTTGGATTAGTTATCGGCTTAACGTTGATCACTTATTTGGGTGACAAACCAACACTTGCAGTTATCACTCTAATTGTTACAATGTTTTTCTATGGATTTGATTCTGGTGGTGATGCTCCTATGGTACCAGAAATGGCTCCTAATTTGGTTGGTACTGCGTTCGGATTTGCTAATACAATGAGATGCGCTTCGGGTTTCATTGCACCAGCACTGATTGGTTTTATTATTGGTGACGATGTAAATTCATTTAGTTTAATTGATATCAGTTTGTCATTAATACTTTTCTTTTGTTTTCAGATTAAATCAGAAAGTAAATGGTTTTTAACATTTCACATAATATCTGGTCTTCAGATTATTGCATTAATAATTTTCCTCGTCTTTGCTACCGCTGAACCTTTACCTTGGGCTACTATTAACTCTGATACTGAAGATGAGGAAGTAGATGGTGAGACAATTGTGAATGCTGGATAGTTAATTTAATATTATTTAAGTTATCAATTTAATCGATCAATTCAATCATTTTTTAACCAATGCTGTTTGTAACATTTCCAATATTATTGTATAAACTTCGGGAAAAGATTTTGTTACTTTTTTCCGCCTTATTTCAGATTCATAGGATTCCAAGGATTCTCTGTAAAGAATAAAGAAAAATGATATTTTAGATATAATTGACTTTAATTGAATTCTAAATTAGCTTTTAATGGAGAAAATCTTACTTGAAGAGTAAAAGACGTTGCTCTTCATCACGATGTTCATCCATCCAAGCAGAATATCTTGTTATGGACCAGCCACGATTTTCATGAGCAGATTTCATCTCTGATGGCCCTTGGGTTGATATCAAAAATTGGATCACAATTGAATAGGGAATAAGTTTGCCAATAGCTTGAGATTTAATTATCGCTGAAGGTTCATGGAAAAGTAATGATTTAAATGCCCGAAGGATACGATAGTGTTTACCAAGATCACCGATTAACTGATGGAATGTAGATAAAGCCTCTTCTAATTGAGCGAAATCAACAGCTAATCTCATTTTGACATTCTGAGTTAAGGGTCGGATTAAGGTTGCATGGCGAAGGAATAAATCGATGGTTCGAACGGCAACTTTTAGAATTCTGGTGAAAAAATATGAATAGAAATTTAAAAAGTGGGAAAAATATTCCATCAAAATATAAGAAGAGACAATTACCTGTTCCGAACGACCGGAGTGTCAGGGAAAAGTGAAAAGTAATCAGCATTTACTCTCGTGATGAATCCTTGAAGTTCTCGCATATAAAGTGAACATTGAGGGGGACCATTGAGAGAACTGCAATTAAAAAAAAAAGAGAAAATTAGTATAATCAGTTAAGAATTAGGATTATGATGATGGGCCATTTAAATTATATTTACTTGGAAAAATCTTCATTGTGAATGGTCAGTATAATGGCTTCGATTGAATCTTGAGCGGAATTCATAAGTGGATCAAGTGTATTGATTATTAATGAATCTAAATTGTTTAAATAATTACGGACAATTTGTATTGATTCATCACTTGATTCACACGAAGATAATAAGGTTTCCATTTGATTTCTAAATGATTCAAGTCGATGAACGATTGTTGCATTACATTGTTGTGATTTAGTCGCTGGTCCAATTACTTGAGTGGCATCTCCTTCAACACAAATTAACTTTTCACACTTAACTAGAAACATTTGCACTGATTTACCAATATTTTTGGCCACTGATTGACTTAATTCTGGATCTAAATTAGCAACATTCATTTCGGAAACAAGAGTTTTAATAAGTGAATCGATATCGTCCTTAGTTGGTAATACAATTTCACGAATACTGATCAACGAGCCTGATGACGACGAGTTTTCCTTTGTGTCGGTGAAAATTATGTTGACGGCATCGAAAAGCAATGAAAGTGACCTCGAAAGGTAAGCACTTTCGAACGGGTGTAAAATTGATCTCATCATAGTCTCAAGATTGATATCTTTATCATCTCGAGATAATCTCTTCCAAACTTCGGTAAATAAACGAAGGATTCTCGGATATTCACCTTCAAGAACTTCCTTGATTATATTTGATGAGACATTCGCTTTAATCATGGCCTGAGAGAGTAGATTGTTGATCCGAGTGATGAATTCAATCAATCCATTTGGCTTTGAGGTACTTTCGAGAAGACTTGATTGATTAAGTGGATCTCGTTTCTTTTTTAATATTTTGAAAAGTAAATCAGCCTGAGAGAAGGCAATGAAAATCTGTTCCATCAGATTTTCAATGTTATCCCACAATTTAGTCTTGTAATTTGCTGATTGAGCCAAAGTCATTGGGACAATGGCACTTCCTGGACCAGTTGAACGGGTTTGATTGTAAGTGGACATGTCAAACACATCACGAATGGTTGAGATTATCTTTTGCTCTTTCGATTGTAAAAATAGATCTATTTTCTCATCGAGAATATTAAAAAAGTAATAAACATGAAGAGCAACACCAACAGAAACAGAGTCCGATTTTGAGAAACCATTAGCGAAACAAGTATTGGCTATTTCAAGGATATCGTTTTGCTTATCGCCCAATTGGATTAAATCGCCCTTGATAATATCGATACGAAGGAGACTATCATCTTGAGAGATTAGGCTGTTCAACTCGTGGACAAATTGTGCTGCTTTAATCACTTCACGGTTGATTGTTGGTTGATCGGCTTCCTTGAAATCAGTTTGCTTGAGACGACGGGAAAGTTGCATGAAACGGACAATACGACGGAGAAGATCACAGGTCGCATGCAGGCGATTAAGAAGAGCAATTCGATGGGCAACCCTATTGTAAGGTTCGATGAGACGAGTTCGTAATTTGTCCAAAGTGCATGTGAGTGTTTCAATCTTTCCTTGGATTACAGATAAATGATTTTCCAAGATTTCTACCTTGTTGGTCTCGTTGAGAAGTTGATCAAAATCACTGGAAATCAAATTTTGAAGATCACCTTCAATTAACATTCGAGCTTGTTCAAGCTTTTGAACCGTCTCTCGGGGACTTAGTTGAGTAAGAAGATCATCAATCGACAGTGAAGGGGTAGAAGAGGATTTGGACTCTGATAGTAGCGATGATAAAAGTTGATCAGCTTTAAAAGCTTCGAGAGGCTCATTTAATGTTGAGTTCATTTTGTTAGAGTCTTGGTTGTTTGTTTTTTTCTTTGATAAAGTTTATGTACTAATTCACTTCACTTTTAAGGGTATGTAAATTGATACATGTAAATTAGTTTGTTTGCTGAGATAAGTGTAACTTGACACTGTGAATTAAGTGATAAGGTGATTTTTGGGTTAAATGGAAGAGAGTATACAAGGGATAAAGGGAAGATAGGGATTGACTATTTAGAGAATAGAGTAATAAAGGAAAAGGTTTTAAAGAAATTTATGGAAAATGATAAGGATATTAATGGAAATTAATTGCCCGCACGAATGGGTGGGGAAACCAGGATGACACCATCACCTCGGACAAAAAGCATGGGAACATTGCGTTTGGTTATTTTGTATACTTCTTCATATGTTTCTTCATCAATCTCAACATTGGTAATAATTTCCTCCACGTCACCAAGAACAATGTTTAAATGTTGATCATAAGCATGAAGAAGACCTCTCAATTCACGACCATGTCGCATCTTAACGTAAATCCTTTCATCCAAACTCAATCGAATCAGATCTAATGGTTCTTCAACATTATTGGGATTAGTCTATAAAATTGAAAGATGAAAAAAAAGACACAGAAATTCAGAATTTATATCAATTGGAAACAGAGAACATACAACAAGTAGTCACAAGTAAAGAACATGAGGGAGCAAAGAAAATAAAGGTAGATGAGAGAAAAAAGCAAAGAGAAAAGTAAAAATGATAAAAGCAAAACAACATTCAACTAAACATGAAAGTGGAAATAACAATGAAATAAACGCCTTCATCTAAACACCGGTAGCTGTTAACTATCATCGACAATATTGAATTTACTTACAGTTTCAGTATGTTCTTCCATAATTAACCAAGATGAATGAATAAGAGACAATTTTAATTAAAGAAAATGAGATGACAAAGTTCACAATTAAACGAAATCCGAAACAATTAATGGTCCATTCAGAGAATTAGCCTAAACTCTAATCAACCGAAGGCCTAAAAACGCTAAACAATGGTAACCATGACTACGAAATTCGGTGGCGGTTTTTTCGAAAAACGAAATGTTTCCTCTAAAAATCATCGAGAATTCGAATAAAAAACAATAAATTGATCGAAATTAACAAAAATTTTATTTCCATTTGTGAATAAAGAAATGAATGTTTATCGCATAGTTTTCTTTTCTTCAATCAATCCAAGAGAACCGAAGAGTTTCCAATAAAATGATGGAACTTTGAATGAACATGTAAGAAAACCATTCGAAGTGTGAATGAAAATGAAAACAAACGAATAAGATGAAGTATGACAATGATGATGAAATAGAAGGAGGAAAAATGGAAAAGAAAGAGATAAACATGATGGGATGAAAGAGAGAGTGAGAGAGGTAGGAAATTAAGATGAAATTAGAAGATAAAAAAAAGATGCAAATGATTGAAGGTAAGAAAAGATGAAAAGAAAACTGGATCGTTTATTCAGTCGGGATTTTTAATTCTCTCTCTTTCTCTTTCTCTCTCACTATTATCATCATCTCTTTTGAAACATTCTTGGGACAAGATGATGATAATGATAATGATGAAAAAGAAAGAGACAACTCCCATCCCTGAGGGAAGGTCAAAGGAAATGATTCTCTTAAGGCAACGAATTGAACGGCGAAAATTTAATAGAAAATAAGTTAAGCTCATGACGAAATATTACCAGAGAAAAATCGAGATTAATCCTGGGAGATTTTTCTCTCTCATCATCATCGTCATCATCTCCATTATCTTACAAGGTAAATTAATAGAAATTAACTTAAACAAGAGAAAAATTAACAAGATATAATTTTCTTTTCGCAATTTCGATTAATCAATCAATTCGACTTTTCTTTTCTTCTCAAAATCAATTTGACTTTTTCTCTTTTTCTTTTGAGAACGAAGTTGATTAGTGGAAAACCAGTTCATGATTAAGTGAAAAAGTGATTTAATATACATAAGAAAAATTGGATAATCATTTATATTGTTAATCATTTAAATTGTTGTTTGGTAGCATTTGTAACTTGTTTAATTTGTTTGGAGGCTCAGAACGGACAAGGTCAATAGGAATTAAATTTGAGGATCAAGATTAAACTGGTAACCAAATTGTCATTACAACTAAATGATGTTTAGATTATGAAACATATGTAACTGGATTTAAATTACATATTAGGTTCAGAAATTAAATTGCATTGGGATTGAAAATCCGGATTAATTGAGATAAAGTTTTAGATTAAACTTTAACCTTGAAATCGTCAAAGTTTTTTTTTACTCCATATGATTGATATTGTGTAACTTAATTGTGGTTAATGTCATGAGGATTTGAATGAGTTTGGAAAACTGTAGGATTTTTATTTTAATTGTTTCGAATTGGGTTTTTGATTATTGACAAATCAATGTTGATTTACGATTGATGATTAAGTTTTTTTTGCCTCATTTGGGTTAATTGACAATGAGAATCGTTTGGACAATTTTGGAGTTTGTTACGACAATTGGGACGAGGAAAATAAGCATTTACAGGGTTAAGATAATACTTTGATTTTTTTATTAATTTTGATTAGATTTGATCGCCTACATGATTATAATTATTGATTTAATCCAATTTAAGGTCAGTATTTATTATTTAAGATCAATTTGTTATTATTTTATAAAAATGCCAATTGGATATTAAAGTGACCTTGTGGCCATAGTTGGTTTCCTTCAAATGAATCAAATAACATCTTTAATCAAGGGTGGGAATCAATAGTCAAAATATTCGGGCGCCGTCAGATTCAGGGTGGGGTTTTCATCTTTCTCTTTCTTTCTCTTTCTTTTTCATCTTCTTTTTATTTCTTTTTTCACTTTCTCTCGTTCTCACTTTCCCTTTCTCTCTCTCTCTCTCTCTCTCTCTCTCTCTCTCTCTCTCTCTCTCTTTCTTTCTTATTCTCTCTCTCTCTTTCTCTCCATCCTCATCCATCTTCCTCTTCTCACTCAAATTAACTTTTACTCTCACTTTCATCTTAATCTCACTTTAATTTTTGGTATAAAAGGCTGATTCCCTCTCAATCTAAATCATCATTCACAATCAGTTAATTCATTTATTCACTTGATCAAAGTAATCAAACAACAAACCAACTAACTAATCATGAAGGTAAGTTTTTCATTTACTTTTCTCTTGACTTTTTATTTTTTATCAATTAGATTCCTAGAAATTCAATCAACCAATCAACTGATTAATTTTCTATCTGTGGATTATTAGGTCATCATCTTCCTCGCTCTCTGCGGTATTGCCTCAGCTGGAATCATCGCCGCCCCAGCCGCCATTGTCTCAACTGGTTCATCATCACAAACCCGAAGCCAAGATGGTCTTGGAAACTACGCTTTCGCTTACAATGAAAACCATGCCACCGGTGGTTCATCACGAAGTGAATCTGGAAACGCTCTCGGTCAAGTTGTTGGATCTTACTCACTTGGTGTTGTTGATGGAAGACAACGAGTTGTCAACTACGTCGCTGATGCTCTCGGTTTCCGTGCCGCCATCTCAACCAACGAACCAGGTACCGCCCCTAAGCCCGCTGCATCTACCAGCATCTCATCACCCGGAGTCATCGCTGCTGCCCCAGTCGCTGTTGCTGCTCCAGTTGTCGCAGCTGCCCCAGCTCCAATTGTAGCTGCTGCTCCAGCTTTCGCTCCATCTTACTATGCACCAGCTCCAGCTAAGATTGTCGCAGCTGCCCCCGCATACGCCCCAGCTGCCCTCCCCGTCGCCGGTGCTCATTATTCCAGCGTAATCAACCACGCCTCATACGCTCCAGTAGCCGCCAAGGTTGTTGCTGCTCCAGCTTTCGCCGCCCCCGCTCTCTGGTAAATTAATTAATACCATCAATTAATTGTAACAACTATAATGATAATTGTCTAAATTTATGAACAAACTGCCAAATAATAATAATAATGTCAATTCACAATTTGTAAATTGCTCAACCAAGTTTCTCATTCATTTCTCATCTATTATAATATTTAATCTCGGCTTATAATCAATATTATAATATAATCTAACATAATAGTCAAGTTCATTAGATTAATTAACCAATAACCAAAAACTAAAACAAAACAAAAACAAAAACAAAAATCAAAACAAATTAAAATGAAACAATCAGTTAATCAACTTTAAATCAACAACATACACAATCGGGTGTGTTTATAATCATCATCATGTTGTTTTGTTACCATTCAATCAATTCAAATCAAAATCAAATTCAAATCTCTCTCAAATCATTAAACAGTTATTATCAACTTTTTGACCGGAATATGTTACAATAGTTTAACATGGTAACACTCAGGGTATAACAAAAAACTTATCACTTCCTCATCAATAAAAATTTCAAATTGTTATCTAAGCCTCAGGGTCAGTTAATCAACTAATCTTATCCTTAAGTTAATCGTTAACGATTTACAAACTCAACAAAAAGTTTCTTTCATCATTCAAAATCTTAACAATTAACTCCCTGATTATCAAGTCAATCCTACAATTTAACATCATTTGCACCTTTATTTTCAGCTCTCATTCGTATTGTTTGTTGATTATCATGTATGAATATATGAAAACAACAATTAGAACCTTCAAAAAAAAGTAGAAATTAAAAAAAAAATGAAAAACATTTTCCAACCTCACGGTTGTTTGTTCATTTTCAATGGTATGTTTTTGCAAACCAATTGCCAACAATCAATTGATTCAGTTTAAATCATGAAGCTGATGGTTGATGATTAAAAGTTTTCGTTCAATTTTCGTGAATTGCTCAAGGCTTAAATTAACCACTTAATGTACACAAGGTCAGTGATTATTAGACTAGGTTAATAATGTTGTTGTTGGTTGATTAAGATGATTAATGTTATTTATTTATTATCCAAGATGAAGATGAAAACAAAACAAAATGTAGGTAAGGATACAGGTAAGGAAGAGATGATTAAGTTTAGAATTAACAATTTTAAAATTCTACAAATTTAATCCAACATTGTAATTGATTATAATGGCCTTTCGAAGAGTTAATTACATTGTAACCAATCATTTATTACTCAAAGACGATCCTTTGTTTACCGTTATTAAGCGTAACAAGGTTACCAATTCACTCGCCAAGGAGATCGCTTTTCTCAATCATTGTGCCGCAATTTTGGCCTTAGTTTCCGCTACCATTGGTTTAATGTCCATTTTTTATGAGGCCAAGGCTCATCTTCAGATCATGGGATTTGCATCCATATTTCATATCTGTGGTTCCATAGGAATTGAGTCTTATAAGAAGCGGAAAAATCGCTACCTTCTCTTACTAACTGGCCTTTGCAATGTTGCCTTTTTTGGGGTCAGTCAGGTCTTCTTGATCCTTTTCATCCTCGTAGGTGAGTTGACAATCATTTTCGACTTCGATCTGATTCATAATATTACAATCGATATGTTTTTTTTTATCTTTTCTTTCATCAATCAGCTGATGCGGAATCATATCCTTCAAAGCGAGATTTCAATTCGGAAACTTTTTTCCATGTTATTTTAATTCCTTGGATTTTATTGTCAATCATTATTGAACTAATGTTCCTAATCTTAATTATTTACTTGGCCGTTTCTAAAAAGATTCTAATTAGTTTGAACAGATCGGCTAATTAACAGATTAGGTAAACAATAACACCTACGAATTCAATATACATACATTGACCATCTCTACATAATCCAATTGACCACCGTTGAGAGTAAATTGTGATTCTCAGCTTTCCATCATCTAAATCAACGATTTAATTGGCAATTAATCAAGCAAAGGTCAAACATTTAAGCTGTGATTTTAATCTGTGTTGTGTTTTAATCGTTTCTCTCTCTCTCTCTCTCTCTCTCTCTCTCTCTATTAACCATCAATAACATGATTACAATTTAAAAGTTAAATTATCAATGTGACAAGCTGAAAGGAGAAAGTATATTAAATTGTTAAATCGTAATGATGATTAAGATACACACACATGTAGATAAACATTAACCATTTGATTAGCAATTAACTGTAAACCTTGAACTGAAATTGATTAACAGTAATCAAAACAAAAATTGGCCTGATATCTGTGATTGAAATGAGAATGAGTAAATTGTTGATTGTTGTAATTCATTTCGTATTAAATTGTTTTCCAGATAAAAATCAAATCTGATTAACATGGTTGTCATATAACAATTAAAACCAATTCTAAGTCTATTACCATGTATATCATTTATTTATTGTAACCTAACAATTAATTTAATCAATTAGAGTTACCATTTTAATCAACACTCAACTAAATTGTGTTACAATGTAAACAAATTGTAATAAGCTAATGAAACAATTAACTTTACATTTGTGATGCTTTTCAAATTGAACACGATTTAATTATTGATCATGATCTTACTAGTGATTAAAATGCTATTGTTAAAGTTAATTCATCTTTTAATTGCTATGATCAAATTTAATTCAGTTCATTACCTTTTTCGTGGCGAGAGAAACTTGATTTACTTATTTAGAGTCATAACTAAATCAAATTAAATTGGTGTTCTAATTAGATAAAATTAGATTGTTCCTCACGCCTTTATAAATTTGATCACCAAATTAACCAACATCCATTTAATCATAATCGGAAATAAATCAACAATCAAGATAATCCAAAGTAAATTAACTTGTTAAAATTTTAATTTAGTTAACCATTATCACCATTAAATATTATTAATACTAATTAAAGTAAATTAGTAACAATTTGTTTCAATATCTGATTTTTTCACCATAAAATGAATCTTTTTTTTTAATTAACTATTTACAATTAATTAATTCAGTTTGACAACATAAATCTTATTATTTTTGCTTCTTTTGACACCTTATCAGTAAGATTAACCCGAAAATACAACCTTAATCATTAGTTAATCACTACAATTATCCTTACAGTTATAATCACGTTCACAAAACCACAATTACAACTTAAGCCTCTCTAAATTGTTTAACAATTTAATCAAAAACGTTAAAATATAAAAATATTACAAGAAAATTAAATAAACGAAACCTTGATCATCGTTAAACGATTCAAATTGTAATTAAACTCGTAGTTCTTTAATTGTATTATAATACAACAATTAAACAGTATAATTAACAATCATTCCAAGTTAATTAACCAACTCGTGATGATAATAATATAATCCAATTTTGGGTTGTCAATAGATTTACTTAATCAATTGGCTTTTTTGTTCATTGATCATCAATTATAAGGTAAGTAAATTGTTGTTTTTTAATTATTCTAATTAATTGCTTCCTTATCTTAATGAATCGTCTCGCCAACGTAATCTAATGTTAAGAGGTTAGTTGATTAGTTGATTAGTTTGGTTAATCAAAAGGTGTTAACTTAAATAAGAATCGATTTGAAATCGATTGACCATGAAATAGTTTTCCTTTTAATTATTATCATTTAATAGATTTGATTGGTTCATTGATTGTTGATTGATTGATTGTGTGAACTTTTCTGATTCCCAATCAATGTACAAATCGTAATGTGGGTTTACCCGGTTCATGATTATCGTGATTAAATTAATGATCTTTAAACAGGTAAGTTAAAGTGTATCAATGTTACGATGATTAACTAACAATTTAGCTCAACAATTGAGATTTGATTTCTCTCATTTTTTTCTTGTTTACTATTATTATCTAATAGCCATCAAATTGTTACCTTGAATTAGTTTTAATTGTAATTGAAAAGTGTGAGTGGTGACAATTGATTGTTAATATAATTAATTTCCCTTCCTGGATAACAATTGATTATGTATTCATGGTTTGGTTTTTTTTTGTTTACTTGATGAATAATTAAAATTGATTTGGTTGTTGGTTAATCAAGGAAATGATTTCTGTTGATGGTTTAGTTAAATCATCGCAATTAATTTTCATCAATTTAGGTTTGGAAATGTTATTGTGTCAATCAGATATATTGATGTTTGACTAATTATTAACATGATGAAATTTACATGTTTCAGTTAATCAAATCTAATCAAATTTTAATTGTAAAGGTGAAACTTGATGATACATAATTTTATTTACATATTTTGTGTATTAATTATAATCAATTAATATTGACAACTTTCAATTAGGATTAACTTAATTGTAACACTTTTACCATTGTGTCAGTTTCAATTTTTCATCATGATTGTAATCATTTAAATTGTGCTTCCTGATTACTGATATTTCATCGTTACAATTAGAGGTTAAATTGTCACCCTGCAATTAACTATAATAGGCAAGATGATATCCAAATTATTTACCATTCAAATGTTAGTTGGAAATTTGATCTTACAATTTAAAATGGATAATATTTGTTCAGGTTGACAATTAAATTATTAATCAAAATATAATCAACTACTTGACATTAAATCATCGTTGAGGGTCAACTGAGTTTAGAGGTCACTTTATCTTTGGTCAAATAATCTGAGATTCTGAAATGTTAATCAATTTTAAATTAGATTGACTCGAAGTGAGTTAATCAACAATCAATGGAAAAGTTGATTAAATTGTAAACATTGAAAATTTAAATTCCCTAAGAGTTGATTGAGTTAATTTCCTTAAATAGTTATCATGTTATTCATGAAATTAAGATGGAAATTTTTTCCTACAATTAACAAATTATAATTCATTGATTCATGCTAATAATTAAACTTATCAATCAATATTAACCTAAATTTTTACTATTGATTGTTGTAAAATTTATCTAATATATTGCAACGATTAAAATCACCTTGACATTTGATGGTCAAAGCTAAAAAATTTTGATTTGATTAACAATCAAACAACTGAAAACAATTAGATTAACATAATTTTTGCATCAGGAAACATTAAATTGTAAGGGAAAGTATTATTAAGAAAAACTAACCATTCAGATCTAAATTAACAATCAAATTTGATTGTTTCTTGTTATCATTCAATTTAATTCAGTTCGTTTATTGTTATTTTTATCAATTTCTGTTCTAGTTAAACCTAAAAGATGATCATGATTATCAAACATTTGTCAAAAGAGATATTTACTTGTTAATTGCCTGAGGGTAACGAGCATATTGTAATGTATGTGTTAAATTATTAATTGATTTTGACACTTGATACCAATGTAACCAGGTTAATTGTACTTCCTTACGGCCTTTTGAACGTTCACAATTAAAACAAACAACGATAATATCAAGTGATAGTATTAAATTGTTGTATTGATTAACTGTCCAGGTTAACCGATTGATGAAATTGATGAGGATGTTAATCAATGATAGTAAAGGGAAAAAGATTTAAGATGAAGATAATATGTCACATTACATGTAAACAATTAACTAATTAATATTGGAAAGACTTTACCTCAGGCTATATTCAAACATGTAACCTTTTTGTTTACTTTTTTATTTGATTTCACTTGTTTTTGGTTAACCTTTTTTTGTGTAAACAATTAAAACCATAAGGGTAAATCGTTCAGTAAATCATTTTTAATAATCAATAAATTACACTTTAATTAGTTAATTTATAAACTTTGATCAAGGTAAAATTGATAATTAGCACACAATCGATCACCCAACGATTTGGAACTCTCTTCAAGGCATTTGGTGCGATGATATAAATTGATTCACAAACGGTCAGTATTGAACAGTTAATTGTTAACAGTCACGTTGTTAAATCATCTTTTTGTAAAAACCAATCAAATTCACAATCAACATCAAACTCAAAATGATTAAGGTAAGCGAAAGATTAAAAAAAACCAACATCTTTATCCATTGGATTTGTGGATGTGTTGATTGTAATTGTTTTTTCATTTCTTTCTTATTGTTTCCAGATCGTTGGAATCGTTTTAATTGCTCATTTGAGCCTCTCATCAGCCTCGGCGATTCTTTCATCATTACCTGTGGCTGTTGCGAACACCGGTAATTCAGTTCAAAGTCAAACTCAAGATTCTCTTGGTAATTATGCTTTTGCTTACACGGAAAATCATGCCACCGGTGGTACATCTCGTAAGGAATCAGGTAATCCTCTTGGTCAAGTGGTCGGTTCTTACTCGTTAGGTATTGTTGATGGACGTCAACGAATCGTTAATTATGTTGCCGATGCTTATGGTTTCAGAGCTCAAGTTTTAACCAACGAACCAGGAACTGCACCAACTGACCAACCTTACCTGTAGCTCAACCTGTTCCAGTTGCTGTTGCTCATCAACCTACAGCCTATCTTACTGGTCACCCTGGTTATCCTCAACCAGCTTTACCAGCCGTTCAACCTGTAGCTTATGCACCAACTTACAGTGTCTCACCTTATCTTGGTTAAAATTATCATCTTAATCTGTGTGTTCACTTGTGTTCATTTTAACATTGGATTAACTGTGATCTAAACTACAAAATTATCTGATAATCATCATCAATCACCTTCATCATTAGTGTTAATCACAATTAACAATTTAGTACAATTTTTCTTACCCATTGTTTTCTACCATTGTTCATTGATCCCTTTGGATTTGATTGATAATTAATCGTAACCAGTGTGATTTGTTGTTAATCAAATGTTCATTAAAAGTGATAAATTATTTTCGGATTAAGATTAATTTGCATTTCTAATTACAACGAATAGTCAATTTTAATTGTGATTTAAAACAAATATCTTGTAACAAAAAATACAATTTATATTTAAACGATAATAAATACTTGCTTGAAAAAAAAAACTTAATCAAATGTGATTCAAATTGTTTAATTTTTAATTGTGCTTCCAAATTTACTAATTGTGATTCATCAATCATTCATCTAAAAATTTGATTTGAATTAAATTTATAAATTGTGATGAAAAATGAATTGAATGATTTATTTATCATTGATCAACATTCATTATTTAATAAGAATTCATTTTCAAGGTTAGTTTGTATTGTATTATTTTGCTTGATTGTGTAACAATTAACAACAATCAATTGATCAGGTGAGAAGTGAATTAAATCAAAGGTTTTTCAATTGAAGATCAAATCGATGAATTATATTAATAGTTGCATAATAATTCAAAATGCTGAATAAGAATAAGAATAAACTATTTCTTTTAGAACTTTTGTTTATCGAATTCGTTAGAACAAAAAGTTCGAAACGAAAGTCCTCGAAAAAAACTGGGATGAGTTTCGAAAATTTTTTTCGATCAGATAAAGTTTCGAGTTAGTCGAATGTCGATTTCTAGAAGATCTAAAGTATTCGCTCTTCAAAATCTCCGATTCTCCTATTGATTTGTTTTCATTTTCTCCTGGAATCGAATCATGGTTCGTGTTGCAGTTCGAAAGAAACTTTGAACATTTCTGAGTATCGTTCGAGTTACGAAAGTTGTAAACATTAGATAGATTGTATAGAAAATGATGGAAAACTGTTAATTGTTGATCTTGAAATTATGTTCCTATTAACTGAATTGATATTTTTGGAAGAAATTAAAAATTTATTACTCGTTTAACTAAATTGCATTTTAATTTCTATCTGATAATGAACTCGATTAAAAACATTGATTAGAGTAATTAACTGAATTTCGTCAATACCTTAATGTTTACAATTTATTGATTGCTGTTATATTAGGTTAACAGTTTGTTAGGTTAGTGATTAAACCATGATTTTAATTTGAACGTTAATGATTTGAGTTAATTGTGATGATTAGTCAGTGAAGAGGAAAGTTGAGATGAAAATTATTAATAATTTATACCTTGTTGGATAAATTGTTGAGATTATATTTTTCTATTCAACTGGATTCATTGATTGTGATTAAGATATCGACTGTATGTTGATTGTGATCAAATGATTGAAAAGTGAAAGCAATTTAAGGAGTGAGTCCCTCAGGCTTAATTAAATGTTTTTATTTCTTAATTGTTGGAGGATTCAGTTAACTTTTTTTTTTGTTGAAATTCATTAAAGTTAATTGTAGCCAACATATTCCGGTCAAAAAGTTGATAATAACTGTTTAATGATTTGAGAGAGATTTGAATTTGATTTTGATTTGAATTGATTGAATGGTAACAAAACAACATGATGATGATTATAAACACACCCGATTGTGTATGTTGTTGATTTAAAGTTGATTAACTGATTGTTTCATTTTAATTTGTTTTGATTTTTGTTTTTGTTTTTGTTTTGTTTTAGTTTTTGGTTATTGGTTAATTAATCTAATGAACTTGACTATTATGTTAGATTATATTATAATATTGATTATAAGCCGAGATTAAATATTATAATAGATGAGAAATGAATGAGAAACTTGGTTGAGCAATTTACAAATTGTGAATTGACATTATTATTATTATTTGGCAGTTTGTTCATAAATTTAGACAATTATCATTATAGTTGTTACAATTAATTGATGGTATTAATTAATTTACCAGAGAGCGGGGGCGGCGAAAGCTGGAGCAGCAACAACCTTGGCGGCTACTGGAGCGTATGAAGCGTGGTTGATTACTGATGAATAATGAGCACCGGCGACGGGGAGGGCAGCTGGGGCGTATGCGGGGGCAGCTGCGACAATCTTAGCTGGAGCTGGTGCATAGTAAGATGGAGCGAAAGCTGGAGCAGCAGCTACAATTGGAGCTGGGGCAGCTGCGACAACTGGAGCAGCAACAGCGACTGGGGCAGCAGCGATGACTCCGGGTGATGAGATGCTGGTGGATGCAGCGGGCTTAGGGGCGGTACCTGGTTCGTTGGTTGAGATGGCGGCACGGAAACCGAGAGCATCAGCGACGTAGTTGACAACTCGTTGTCTTCCATCAACAACACCAAGTGAGTAAGATCCAACAACTTGACCGAGAGCGTTTCCAGATTCACTTCGTGATGAACCACCGGTGGCATGGTTTTCATTGTAAGCGAAAGCGTAGTTTCCAAGACCATCTTGGCTTCGGGTTTGTGATGATGAACCAGTTGAGACAATGGCGGCTGGGGCGGCGATGATTCCAGCTGAGGCAATACCGCAGAGAGCGAGGAAGATGATGACCTAATAATCCACAGATAGAAAATTAATCAGTTGATTGGTTGATTGTATTTCTAGGAATCTAATTGATAAAAAATAAAAAGTCAAGAGAAAAGTAAATGAAAAACTTACCTTCATGATTAGTTAGTTGGTTTGTTGTTTGATTACTTTGATCAAGTGAATAAATGAATTAACTGATTGTGAATGATGATTTAGATTGAGAGGGAATCAGCCTTTTATACCAAAAATTAAAGTGAGATTAAGATGAAAGTGAGAGTAAAAGTTAATTTGAGTGAGAAGAGGAAGATGGATGAGGATGGAGAGAAAGAGAGAGAGAGAAAGAAAGAGAGAGAGAGAGAGAGAGAGAGAGAGAGAGAGAGAGAGAGAGAGAGAGAGAGAGAGAGAGAGAGAGAGAGAGAGAGAGAAGAAAGAAAGATGAAAACCCCACCCTGAATCTGACGGCGCCCGAATATTTTGACTATTGATTCCCACCCTTGATTAAAGATGTTATTTGATTCATTTGAAGGAAACCAACTATGGCCACAAGGTCACTTTAATATCCAATTGGCATTTTTATAAAATAATAACAAATTGATCTTAAATAATAAATACTGACCTTAAATTGGATTAAATCAATAATTATAATCATGTAGGCGATCAAATCTAATCAAAACTAACCCAGTAATCACTTTCTATTACCATAATCTGTGGATCGTCTTCCTTATTTAATCTGCAAACTTAATCATCTTCACTAACTTTTAATCTTAATCACCTTTTCCAAGCCTAGGTTAGTATCTTAATCATTTTGCAATTAATCCTTTTTCCTAATTACCAATTATCCTATTATAATTGCAAAACTTGTCAATTAAAATTGATTCACTTTCGCTGTCATAAACATGAACTTTAAACTTATATGAACTAATTTCCAATCCTGATAGACTGAATTAAACAACTAAATCAGTCATAATAATCACGACCAAAAAGCAAAACAATCAAAAAATCAAATGCTCAACTCATTAAATTGCTCATATTACATCAGAACAATTAACAAATGATGCAAGTTTCTGATTAATTAGCATTTTCCTTACAAAGAAACCTAATGATTAACATTTAATTTCTCCAAACTCACATAATCCGAACAATTTAAATCACAATTATCTAAACATCCATCCGATGCTAATGTTCACAAGGACGTGGTACTAATTATGATTATCGTATTTTAATAATTGAAAATTTTATCAAACAATTAACTCCAAACCATTAAACCTTTAGACTACAGTAGGTGTTTAAACAACAATAGTTTAATGTAAATACAATTAAGATCAGTGTAAGAATCGCAAGCAAACACTAATTATTTTAATTTGATTGTTAATTTTAATTACTGTCTAGTTGATTGTTGTAAAATCCAAACGTCACCTTGTATCCATAATGATTATAAAAGTGTTTAAATTATAATAAAATATCAATTCGAATTCATTAGAACAAAACAAAAAGAAGAAAAAAAAAGTTTTTCTAGTAACGAAAAGTTCTGACGGGCAATTCCCACCTCTTTGTCCTTTTTCCTCTTTCTTCCTAGTTTTTCCCTCTCCACCTTAGTCTTATTTACTCACTCTCATTATCCTCATCATCCTCATCATCCTCATCATCCTCATCATCCTCATCATCCTCATCATTATCTTCCTCATCATCTTATACCTTCATCTTCATCTTCATCCAGAATCAACTGAAGATTAGAAAATGATTTTAACCTTGATTTAAGGGCAGGATAAATGTTGGAACGTTAATATTATGGGTCTAGGTGAATCTATTTAATTATCACAGTTTAATTTGTATTCTGTAGTTGGTTGATTGTTGTTAGTTAATCATCACCATCAGTAAATTAACCTTGAAGAAATTAAGAATAGAAAGAAAATTCTTCTTTCAAAATTGAAATTCTGTTCAACTATTTAAACAACAATCAGACAACATTGAGTGTTAACATAGAATTAATTTAATTGTTAATTGTAACGATTAACAATTAACATGTTTCTCCTTTGTTAATTTCTCATTTGATTATGTTTAATAATTTTAAGATTATGATTAACTTTTGAAGCTTCAAAGTTTCATTGATAATAACAAGTTTCTTATTTTTTAAGTGTTAATGTTTTGGCTAATTGTTAATTCATTTGATAACATTGATGATTTTCAAGTAGTTAATTGATGATTAATCAATTGTCTCAATGAAAAATTAAAATTGACAATAATTAATCAGAACGAGGTTGTTGATTTGTTTTAGGAATCAAACTTTTTCCCAATCATCTTACAAATTTGACTCCTTGTTTAATCACAATTAAAGATGATTAATTAATTTTTCAATGTTGATGTTAAATTGGATCGAGATGTGGGCTGTCATCTTCAAAATAATTTACTAATTGTTCAAATATTATAACAATTAGGAAGGTTTTTTATTCCACAATCAGTTGATTTTAAATTCAGTTCTATGATTATCATGGGTTAGGTTAACAATTTTTTCTTAATCAATATAATTTTCACTGTTAAACAACAATCAATGAAGTAAATTAAACGTTAATTACAATTATTGTAAACTGATTTTTCCTGTTAAATTATTTTTCTTCATTTGGGCGATCCTATCACAATTTATTAATCATAATTATAATAATTGTTGTTCACCTTCAGAAAGAAAAATTATTTTTCTTTACTTTAACAACAATTTAGTTAATTCCTCTATTATTTTGATTACAATTTGTTTTTGTTGAATTTTATTCAATCAATATTTTTCAAATGGTTACAATCAATACTTTTTGTAACAATTTGATTCATTGATTGTTAAATTTTTTTATAATCAATGAACAATCAACTATACGGAAAGAAAAGGAATCATCAATTAATCAAATTTTCATCCATAGATTTAATTGTTGACCAAATCTTTTAATTGGTCAGTTAGTTCAGGTCAATCTCGACCCTTATTATTAATCAGTTGATTAACTTTTCGACTTATTAACTTATTTTATCTGATTAGTTTGATGCAATCAGTTAATCATTTGTTTTCCTTAATTTTTTTTTACTCAATTAAAATTTAATAGGGAAAAGTTAATCATTTTGTTTCGTCTTCGAGATTAAATTAAATTTGATCAATTGGTGAAAAGTTTAAATTTAAATTATTGATTTTTAATCATTTAAGTTGAAAATGTCAATTTCAACTTTGTAATTTAAACCGATACATGATTAAAATTGATAAACTGTCCTTGACATTAAGATGGACGACACAAAGTTTAGGTTAATTGTTGCAATTAATTAGTAAAAGATTAAATCAGCTGATGGTTTAAGGAAAAAATGGTTTCTAATCATCTAAAAGTAATTAAGTAAAAGACTTAAATTAAAACGTTTACAAATCTAAAAGTAGGGGGATCAGTAAATTGGGCTATTTAATGGTCTACCTTATATGTGTGTTTAATTGTGATTAACAATATAAATACTAATTGTGATTAGGAAAAAAATTAAATAAAATTTTTCTCTAAATTGTTTCCACTTTTTGAATTGGAGATTTGCTTTGAGTTTAAGTTGGTTTAAGTTTAATTAATTAACTTCAATGTCAACAAGTGTAATCAATCAAAATGATCGTATTTTTAGGTGATTAATCATTAATTTTCTTTTAATTAACTTTGATTCTAATTAGTTGATCATTTCTTTCATTTTGATACAAGAAAAAAGTTCAACATGATTAGTTTCCTTTCCTGTTGTTAGATGGCAGCACTTTCGATTTGTTTACATTTTTCACTTCTTTTCGGTTTTGTGTTCAAATAATTACTGATTAATTTAGTTCAATAATTGAACTTCAATTGTTTTCCTTCATTGATTAATTGCTGATTAACCTTTTTAATCTTATTTCTAGTTAATTGTTCTCTGTTTCTGTTTAAGGATGAATGAACACTTTAGAGGTCCAAAGGATTCCATTGATTTACTTAATCGCGCCTTCGCTGAGATTGGATTGGATTTACCAACTATTCAATCAGGATGAATTCAATTGATGACGATGATACATTCCTGTTCACCTCTGAATCTGTGGGAGAGGGACATCCAGGTAAATTATTAACAACTAAATCAATTTGATGATCACAAATTTTTGGTTTGTTTTTGTTTTCAATCTAATTGAATCCATGGAAACCAATTGTTTATTTTAATTCATCAACATTGTTAACAATAATATCTGATTTATTAAGAGTTTTAATTGTTGAGTAAATTATTATTCTTGTTTTTTATTCACTCGTTTAAATTATTAGGAAACAAATAATTATGAAAGTAAGTTTGATTTCCTTTCGATTGCAATCTATTGAAATTCAATGATCACGACCAATATTCTGGTCATTCATTTGTTTCAATTGTTTTTCTCGAGGCAAATGGGAAGTTCAAGATTATCGAGATTTAATCGTTCATTGTTTTATATCATTGTTATTAATCAGCGTGTACTCACTATACCTGAACGAACCCATGGTTCGGGTCCTGTGTTCATAATTTGGCAGCCGAATAAAGCAAGTTACCTGGTTACAATGGGCTATGATAATACGGTGATAGTTCATGATTGACATGGAAATAAAATCGATACAATTAATTTACCAGGGTAATTAGAAAAGACGAAACAAACAATCAAGAAAAAGAAATTAAATTATTTTCTATTTTCTTTATTGTGCCCAGTCAGTGTACTGGACTTTCATGGAATGTTGAAGGTAATATTTTAGGTGCAATTAGTGGTAAATCACCGATAATTTACCTTTGGGATTCGAGTGTCCATAAGATGTCTAGAGTTGACACCGATGTTCGTGACATGTTAACCATGTTGGTTTGGTCAAAAAGATCATCTTCTTGCCGTTGGAACGAGTAAAGAAATTTAAAGGTTAACCTTCATTTTAACCTTTACCACAATTCAACCTCGAGATACAATTAATTCATCGACAGGTAATAATTGTGTTAGTCTAATTCTCAATAAGAAGAATCTATTTCTCCTGAGATTAACTGACATGGGAATCTTTATATCATGAGTTTCATGATATTTGAATCGAATAAGTTGAAGCTGCTTTGGAATTGGTTGATGACCATGAATTACACATTGAATGTGATTCTATATTGGAATCGTTGAAACTTTATTCAGAAGCTACTCAACTTTATGAACAGGGTGGTGATGGTGAAAAAGTGGCTAAATTATATTTGTCCGTTCGAAATACACTAAAAGTTGGACAATTGATCGATAAGTTTTCCTTAACTAATGTTGATATTCTTAATCAATATGGCCGAATCAAGGAAAGTCAAGGTGATTACAAAGAAGATGTTAAAGCTTATCTAAGCTCTGGATTAACGATTGATTCGGTTCGTCTTCTTCTCGATAAGCTTAATCCAAGTGAAGCCGTTAGATTGGTAAAAGATTCTGGTAGTTTAGAAGGAGCTAAAATGATCGCTTGATTTTTCCAAAAGATCAACGATATCGAATCTGCGATTAAATTTCTAATCCTTTCCAAGTGTACCGATGAAGCTTTTAAATTAGCAACTTCAACAGGTAATGTTGATATTTTCGCTAATTTCTTACTTGATTTAACTGATTAGCAACAATCAAAAAACAATGAACCATCACTATTAAATCACAACCATCAATATAATCAATATTTTCCAGGCTATTAAATCGTGAACCCGTTTGTCCAATGTGTGGATCGACAATTGATATTAAACAATTGGAAACCATTAACGATATTACCAAGTATTAAACCCAGAGCATGATAATTAAATCATTAAACTAATCACAAATTGCTCAACAACAACAACAACAAAGTTAATTGTTAATTTGGAATTTTATACATAAAATTGAAAACATTAAACTGATCACAATTAATAAGAAAAAATAACAATCCCAAACAAAAAGAGATTCATTTTCAATCAACAATTAAATCCTTATAGAAATCATATAAAAAACAGAACCAATTTAATTGTTACAATAAAATTTTCTAATTTAATTAAATTGTTCAAAATGAGCAAAAATCAAATATTATAACAATTAGGAAAGTTTTTTATTCCACAATCAGTTGATTATAAATTCAGTTCTATGATTATCATGGGTTAGGTTAACAATTTTTTCTTAATCAATATAATTTTCACTGTTAAACAACAATCAATGAAGTAAATTAAACGTTAATTACAATTATTGTAAACTGATTTTTTAATTTTCTTTTAATTAATTTTGATTCTAATTAGTTGATCATTTCTTTCATTTTGATACAAGAAAAAAGTTCATCTTGATTAGTTTCCTTTCCTGTTGTTAGATGGCAACACTTTCGATTTGTTTACATTTTTCACTTTTTTTTTCGGTTTTGTGTTCAAATTTTAGTTCAATTGTTTTCCTTCATTGATTAATTGCTGATTAACCTTGTTAATCTTATTTCTAGTTAATTGTTCTCTGTTTCTGTTTAAGGATGAATGAACCTGTTTTTATCAGTCATTATGATAAGAAGTTGATCGATATCAATGATCTTCCTGTTGGTAATCCGGTTGTTATTAATACTATTCAATTACTCCGATTGTTAACCAAATTGGATCAAGCCGGTTCCTCATCTTCATCTTCATCTTCTGATTTTCTTATTTCCTCTGATGATCTTCAATGTTTAGAACTTAAACAAGCTTCTTCTAGTGATGATTATGATCACCTATCACGATTCTTAAGTCAAGAATCTGTCCAACAATTGTTGAAACGATCTATCATTCTGATTACTACTCATGCTGGATTCCATGAGACCAGTGAAAGTATCATTGAGATATTAACCCAAATCACTGGTGATTATCTTAAGAAACTGACACATCTATTAAGATCTTCAGATGATTCCAAACACTTTAGAGGTCCAAATGATTTCATTGATTTACTTAATCGCGCCTTCGCTGAGATTGGATTGGATCTACCAACTATTCAACATTACGAATCAACTTTAAGATCTTATCGTAATACTGTTCACAAAGAAGTAGTTAAAAAGTTAAACATAATTCAACAAAATAATTCTGCAAAATTTAATTGAGTCATGTAAATCTCCTTTTTTTACAAACATATTTATATATCTGTAATTGCACATAAGTAGTAGCATGGAAATGAATGAATTCCATCGGGTCTATTGACTGTTTCTATTTGATTTTGGAAAATAGTAATTTATCCCTTCCATTTTAACTGTTATCCATTCATCTTTTAAGTATTAATACTTGATCCTTGTAAATGTTCACATTTCCTCTGTAGAGAAGTAGATTGTGAGATCTTTAAGGAAGGGGCCAAGGAATTGACAGAGAAATTGAAACGGACCCTCTTTAAAAAACATGTCTTCTCAATTCACTGTAACCCATTTTGTCCAATGTTGGTTGAAGTGTTTCCTTGACCATAGCCGGTGGGCCACACATCATAATCATCGTATCATCAGCTGGTGGGAACAAACAATCTCGGATCATATTATCATCAACCCGACCCACTTTGTGTTGCCAACCCTCTTCTGATTTACCTAAAGTGTAATGGATTTTAACTTGGTCGGGAAATCTTGACGCTATTTGGTCCAATTCTTCACGTAAAAGAATATCATCTGATGTATGATTTGCAAATAGGAATGAAACTTGTGTCTTATCCTCCGGATTTGAAATAATCTCACGTAAAACGGCAAACAAAGGTGTAAGGCCAGTTCCACCAGCGATCATACCCAATTTATCGTAATGGTATTTAACCAATGGATCAGTTTTCTTTTTCTTAATAAGAAAATCACCATTACCAATGTAAATCGCTCTTCCATCAGGACCTCGAATATCAATTGTCTCTCCTATTTTCATACTTTCTAAGTATTGAGACATTTTTCCTCCATTAGGATACTTTGGGTTTTGGTTAGCAAAATAAACCTGAAAATAATGTAAATGTAACGTGATGAGAAAATATAATTGACATTGATCTACAATACGTTGAATTTGAAATCAATATATTGATTATATCCAATTTAATCATCTTGTTCAGATCATATGAAACTTTCATCATATTGTTTCTCATAACATTAGTGGTTATCTGGATTTATCAAAACCTCTGACGATTTAATTTGATAACTAAGCTAACATGTAATGGTTTTGTATCCAAATAAGACACAAATTGTTATTAGACTTGAGTACTTGTTTATGAGGTTGATTGGTAACCATTTTGTCAAGATTAACAATCGATAAGTTGATTTACTCTTCAAAACGAAGATGCCAAAGTCTCTGTTTTAAGCTGTAAGACATCAAGATACTCACTTTGATTATGAGATCGAAATAGCCTTTGGTTTCATCGCCAGTGATTGGTGAATAAGGACGAATTACTAAATCGCCGTTGATTTTAGCCGATAGATAAATATGTTCACCAGGACCAACACCTAGAACAGAATCTTCCGTAGGTAAACCGAATCTAAAGCGTCGAGTATTCCAATTGATATTCTATACATAAAAAATTAAAAAGACAATTAGATATCTGACTACCTGATTAACCAGAATTTGACCCATTTTCCTTCAATTCAACAATTGAGGTTCAAAGAGTAAAAGGAAAATAGTAATTACCTCTTTACCAAGCAATGGAACTTGATACTTGACATTAGAATCCATTAGTAATCTCTTTTTACTTTTTGATTTACCCTTTTTAATCCATAGAAATATAAAAATACCAACAATTAATGTAGTAATAGAACCAATTACAGCTGAATTAGCCTTTAAAAAGAAGGAAAAACAAAAATTAATTAGGCCCAAGGATTAGATAGAAACGAATGACAAAAAATAAGTAAACAAACCAATAAGAAGGGATGAAAACTGAAACTGGAAACTAATTAATTTATTGTTGACGTTATAATTACTCACCACAATTCCCATATTGGTAAACAATCAACGATGTGACACTAATAATAGAAATTAAATAGAAATCAATTAAAAATGAGGAACAACAATCAAAGTAAAAGTGTAAACATCAACTGAGTCTTTCGGTTGAGTAACAAACAGAAAACATATGATGAGACATGAAGAGTACAAGAGATAAGCTGAAAATGAGAAAATGTTGTAATCGTTATGATGGAAAAGTTAATTAAATTTAATGGAAATATGGATCGTTGATTGTTGATTGTTACCTTGTCACCGAGTTAATTGTTATAACAACAATTTGGATTGAAAATTTGTAACCTTGACTTTGAGTGCGAATTGAGCAGATTGTCAAAGTCTCTTTATGTACTTAAATTGTCGGTACTTAATTGTGACAAAATCAAACATCTACACTTAATCAATCACCTTTTTTTAATCATTATCGGGTCAATGATTAGTTTAATCAACGATGGTTACGACTAATGGATTAATCAATCCATTAGAGTATTATGTTAATGATTGATTGGTTTTCCTTCACCAATTTGATTAGTATAATTGTTGAAAGAGTAGAAATTAAATTGTAATCACAATTACGATTACGATTCATATTGTTAATTGTTAATTGTTGATTAGTTTGTTTGTTTTCAATTTCAATGAATGAAAATGATGAGATTATGATTAAAGGAAATTGATCTTTTAATTAACTATTTAAAAACTTTTCTTTCAAACTAATTAACATCTAATTAACTTCCGAGAAAATTAATCTTATCATATAATTTCATTAAACAAATAACTTATCACTAATTGTTGTTAGTTGATCAATTTCCTTGTAAATTGATTGTTAAATTGCATTTTCTAATTAAATATTAAATTACTTTGTCTATTAGTCAATTTGCCTTATATGATATTAAGTAACAACAACAATTAAAATAGATTAGTTTTCCTCTTTCCAACTTTTTAACAATTAAGGTTC